TCTGGGAATTGTACGTCATATATGCCATACTTTCATTTTTGCAGCCAATTCTTCAGATGTTTATTATAAGTATTGAACAAATAAAAGAATCAATCAACTGTCCTCACTTTTAATTGGTCTTCTATTCTACCATTTTGTGTTAGTTTTTAAAACCTATAAGATTCAAATGTTTGTTTTTATTAACTAACGATTAGTTTACCTGTAGACTTTCCGAACAATGATCCTTCACGTAAAGCTGAAATCAGTTCAAGTGAGAAAACTTATTAAACTGCGAGATCACCTTTAACTGCAGAAGAATTGGTGAACAAAAAAGTTTTTCCTCCGTCGGCGGAACTTCCCGTATCTGGCAGAGTTGGAACCACCGATGATTTTGACAGAAATCTCTTCTTTTTTATGAAGGGAGTTCCTGGTCGTGATTTAACAGATAATAGGCTGGATTTGGTTGAGGCTGGTGTGATGGAATCACAAGTCTCCGAGTTCAGGTGTTCAGGAGTTCCTGTTTTACTGCACGCAGATTGATATTTTGAAGACAAAGGTGTGTGTTGCTAGAAATGCATTATTCTTCCTAGATTTTCGAAAACGAACCACGGCATCTTCAAGATTCAGCAAAGATTGTGATAACTTCAGTTCATCATAATGTTCATGAAATCTGAACATCTATATGGTTCAACGAGTAGTGTTTACACTCACGAAGGTGATTGACCATCTTGTAAGAAACTTGAAAGATCAGTGATTCGGTTATGGAATAATCCATCCTGAAAACAGTGTTCGGAGCTAGCTAACGATATAACAGACCTCGCAGAACTTATTAACCAAAGCTTCGCTGTGGATTCTCAATTTGTTAGAGCTAATGAACACTCTCTCCGTAGTTGTTACAAAATCATCAGAGATTGTATCATCCGGTCTATACACTCTCTAGAAGAAACTGAGGATGATGTATTGAAAAAAAGCCAAACGAACAAATTTCTCAGTTATGTCCATGTTTCCACTTATTTCTATACAATGTGATATCCTATCTTGGTTTTTCGATACGACTTCATGTATGCTCACTTTGAACGGTTTTTCTATCTTGATCTCAGTTGGTGGCTTATCTATAAAGCTTTATTTTGACAACTCAAAAAGAACTAACTGGCAATCTTCTGGCATAACTTGACTTGGCTGAATTTGTCTTCACTTGCTGAGAAGTAATATTTCTTATCCGTTCTTCTAGTATTCTGGAAGACTTTTATGATGAAACAGATATGCTGATCTCCACCGAGAAGTTATATTGCAGACATATGAGAATTGAGTTATCGCCATAACGGACGAAAGGATCTTTGTCGTCAACATCGTTATGATGAACATGCATCACATGAGGCACAGAATCATCTATATTATCCGAACCTCTCACCGTTATAATCTAAAGTACGAAATTAAGGGAATAAGCTCGATAAGCTACCTTTCTTAAAATGTTCCCTTCAAAACATTCTGTCAAGGTATTCGTGAAAAGGTATTTGGGGAAAAAATCCTGGCTCGGCTTAATAGTATGTTTTTGATGATAATTCAGAAAATCACACCTCTTTTGTAACTCTCATTCTCACAACACGTAAGTTGCGATCAACCGCTTCAGCAAAACTTAAGCGCAAAAATGAAACATGTTTCATTTTCCCAGAAACTAACCGGTCGTTTTGCAAGCTTTGAGTTAGTAAGTAAGCCGACACTTAACTTTATTACACAATTATAAATAAACAAATTAACAGAGAAGGGTGGAATATTGACAAATGTGAACTGTGAACAAGTAGCAGAGCGATCATTCTTTCTTGATGGATGTGCTGCAAATATATTAATCAGCTTGAGGTTCCAAAATATAAACTTACTGATCGCCTCGGTTGGAACCACTCAAAACTAAGTATGGGGTCTGCAGTTGCTCTTGCTTCTTCAGTTGCTTCGAAAGAGTTCCAAGCGGAGTATCGGAAGAGTTCATCTGAACGTGAGATTATGTTGACAATGGGAAAAATGAATGAAGCAATTTACCTGTTTCAACATCTCCTTCTTCTCTCTTTGAACCATTCGCTTTTCAGTCTGTTTCTTTCCTGGATTACGACCGTGGAACCTTAATACGAGAAATTAGCATTGCTCTAACGATCCAAGTTTTACTTATATGATAACTCCCTGTATGCATCTTTAGGATCCATGGTTCTACCTTTATTATCGACGTAATCTGAAAAGCTCATCATGAAATCTTTGAGACAAGTAAACTATACCGAGGTTAACTTTTGGAGTATAATCCTTCTTCTCTGCGAAAGGAATAATGGGTCCTCTACCAGTTGTTCCCAATCGTTCCAATTTCTTGGTATACTTGTCTTCGATATCACTTAAACATGAATAGTTTCAAAGAAATGAAGAAGCAACTCAACTATCTGATAGCATCCACTTGCGTTTTGGATTTGTTTTTCAAATGGTCCAGATTCAAACCTGTTTTACGCATGGCGTTGGGATCATTTAGATAACCCTAAATACATAAGCTTAATGTCGAGGGAACATTTTTGAAAACTCAACCTTCTGATGGGCTAGCTTAAGCATAGGACCAACTCCTTTTGTTACGTCTGCTTCATTTCCTAGTACGTTGACGTATTCAGCTTCATCTTCTTCATCAGGTTCAGAGTCTCTTTCCTTGAATTAGTAAAAAAAATTAATGAGAACGTTTGTTGGGATAAACCTCTTGTTTAACTCTCTCCAACTCCCTTTCATCGTCGCTATCCAAATGTCCATCAGAAGTGCTAGGTCCAGTCCACCCTCCTTGGGAATCCTAATAACGACATTTCATGCCAGGAAGAATATAATAGATTACCTTAGATTTTTTTTCTCCTTGTTTTTTCTCTTTCGCTGCTTCAGCATTCGCCTTACGCCAATTACTATAAGAATGCTTAATGAGAATATTAGCAGGAAAAACAACTTACGCAATTGCGGTGCTTTCGTCTATGCTCTGCAACTCTGACATATCAACGGCATCAGTACGATTTCCGGCGAGACCGTATGTCAAATTCTCTCCTGTAAACAGAAAGTAACTATTTTTTCTACTACTATACTCACCAATATTTCTGCAGTACTCCATAGTAGAGTCAATAACGATCCCTCCAGCTTTGTCTGATTCGTCATCCATTTCATCTTCCTCCATCTTCGCAACTACTCCATGAATCTTCAAAGTAAAACTTTTCATAACCACAACCAAATAAAACTACCTTTAGAGCAGAATCACCAACTGGCTTCGACTCGATCTGTTTTAACTTCCTTGCTTTATCCAAGATAGAAGTGAGCTCATCTTCCGCATCATCGTCGATGATAACGTTTGCAAGGTTATTGTTACCGAATTCTTCTAAATCAAAGAACATCCAAATAACTTGGTTAAGAAGCACTCACCATCGCTGTCAGATTCCTCTTCCTCTTCCGCTCTACGTGCAAAACTTTTCAGCTTCTCCACATCGACTGCTCCTTGAGTCACTTTTTTCCAAGGACCTCTTTCGTCAGTTTCCATCTCTTCAGCTTCCTAAGAAGAAACAATTAATAAAGACTAACAACCATGAACTTACTCTCTTAACAACATCATCTTTGCTGGAACCGTTTTGCTCACTTTTGACTCTAGAACCTTGATTTCTAAACAAAAAGTATGAGAAATGTGAGTGATAGATACCTTGATCCTAAATTAGAAGATCCAGCGGGCTCTACAGGAACCAGATCATCGGCTTTTAACGTTTTTCCACGTTTTCTAATTTTATTTTTGTCTTTTTTGCCTTTTTTGGATTTACGGAACTCTATCATTTCTTCCTAAAAAAAAACAACAGCGTTAGTTGAGCATTATAAGCTGAACTCCAAACCTGTGTGTAGAAATCTGATGCTAGTTTGTACTTGGGCATATCCATATTGACCAGTGTTTTTCCGGCGATCTCAAGCTGCTTTTTGATTTTCATTTCTCTCTCCTCTTTGTCCACATCAAAGCTACCTCCTTCGTCAAGACGGAACGTTTCTCTCTGATAACCTTCTAGTTCTTCATCGTACTTCGCAAGAAGGCCCTTATCCAGAGGCTATAAAACAGAGTTTGAGGGAAAGACGACGACTAATGACACAAACATTTCCATAACGATCAAACTCTTCGTTGAAACCTTTGGCAGCATCCTTCCTTTTTCTGAGTTCCACATTTCTTTTATACCGCTCATTATCCAACATGTTGGGATTAACCAAAGTTTCTTCCCCATCGTCCAATACTCCTGTTCGGGGTGAATTACACATCAGCAGTTAAGTTAAATACCTTTATCTTCTAAAACTAGAATTTGATCCCGCATTTCAACAAAAGATTCTTTAGAGTGACCAATCACTAAGCCTGCAGTGCCGCTTCCCTTCGGCTGAAACAATATTTGAATGAAATACGAGGAACTATATATATATATATGAAGAGACTTACCCTTTTCGGTTTTAGCTTCTTCTTGGGCTCAACGGCAGCAACATTACTGTAGTTCTCGTCCATGTCATCGAGCATCTTCTCCTGAAGAAATGAATACTCAGATTTATTCAAACAATATAACATACCCTTTCCTGAGCTTTCTTTCTTTCCTCTTCAAGTTTACGCTGTTTATTAATCCAACCTTAACACTACTGTTTATGCAAAAGAGATATAAATGTACAACCTGCAGCACCCTCGTCTTCAGAATCAGAATCAGCTAACCCCTTTGTTTTAAAAAATTTATCACCGATTTCTCTTTTCCGTTTTGAAGTCTGAAGAGAGTATCGCATATATACAAGGTAATCAAGACAATACCTCAAGTTTTTCTTTAATTTCTTGCTGTCTCTTTTTCTCAGCCCAGTTTTCTGCTTTCTTATGCCGAAACTCCATACCATCTTCACAAACAGTTGTCGAACCATCTTCTTCCTCGCGAAACTAAGATGATTCGATATACTTCTTAATTATTTTTGTGTGAATACCTTGGGTGGATTTTCTTCTAAAGGTGCCAATCCTAGATGAGCTCTCATTGCGTGAATATCGCCCTCGAACTTCGGAATCTCTTCATCATCGGATTTCATGCTATCATCATCCTCGAATTTCGATAATTTAGTTTCTTCGAGTCTCGGTTTTTTACTTTCTTCAAATTTCTTTGTTTCCTCTTGGAATCCTCGAGAGCCCTTCCTCGAGCTATTCGAACTTCCTCGTTGTGAGTCCATGTATACAAGTTACAGTGCTGAAACAAACACCTTAAAATACAAGAAAATTTCTATGATTTTTTTACAGAGACGGTAGAGGTGAAGATATAACATAAACGAAAAAGATCAATATAACAAGATAACATAGCTGCTGGTAAACAGCATGCATAGGTGCCACGCCCACTGAGGAATCTTATGTAACCGACAAAAGCTTATAGAAATCATCTATTCCTCGTATAAGTTATTGATGAGAACAGTTCTTATGGTATTGTTGTTTTCTCGAAAGAGCTTTTTCCAATTGTGCTCTGGGTCAGTTGTTGTTTTAATGGATGAATGTTTCAACAAAAGTATAACGAACGATGAAAGTGAACAAGATTGATTCAACGCATCTGACTTTACTTAGGTATTATCTTGATTGTTTGAGCGGTTGGAATTTTTGAAAAAAATAGAATAACCATGTTGTGAAATATAGTTTTATGGAATAGAAATGGAAAATCTTGTGTCTGCTGAATTTTCAAATAGAAGAGGCAAGCGCAAAAATAGTCGGTTGTTCTGAGGGTTCCTCAACTACCTATCATTATGGTTTTATGCTGATTGTTGTTCGTTGTTGGTGCTTTCAATTTGAAACATCGAGACGTCGAAGAAACTCACCTCAACAACGCTGGTGAAGAAATCACCTCATTCTGTACTATTTTTGGTTGAATCTTCCTCAAACAAATGGAAGAGAAGAATCTGGAACTGACAGGTATAGCTATTTTTTCTTTATATAAGCATGATAACTGTATTGTTTCATACTTTTGATAAGTTAATTGCTCATTATTGTCATAGATAACTGCTCTATCATTTTCCAGAGAATTACTCGGAAGTTCTCAGGGTAATAATCATGAGGAAGTAGAACAATGACTGTTCCCATTTGTACCTGAAAAGAGTGCAGATCTCATAACAATTTTCATTCAAAGTTCAAGCATGATCATAGTATATACTATTTTGAAGAACATCCCTTAGAGCAGTGTTAATTAAATTTGATGGGACTTCATTTCGTTGTGGTGAAGCTAACAATTACGTAACGAAGAAGATAATGGAGTTGAATTCTATCGGAAACTCACTACCTCTTCCCACGTGTAACAAAAATATAAATGAATGCGTATGTGTTTAAATTTAGCGATATTTGATAAAAACTTGTTTTCTGAGCTATATTCTCGAATATACTGAAACATAGGAAAATAGCAAATCAAGAGCTTCATTCTCGGATATGAGGAAAGGTGTTTGCACTCAATCTGTCATGGATTCGAACTTGCTCCATTCATGCTACCGGGTTTGAAAATAGAACTGCTGATACGTTATGTTGTTGAAGTAATTATGGGATAGCGTGGGTGCGAAATCCCACTATCATTGATAAGATTCACCAAAATGATTAAAAAAGTGTTTCTTGAAGCATATATATGTGAATACATATGTGATGATATGTAAATCATTCCTCTCAAGTAATACTATGTCCAATTTCGCTGAATCGTTTTCTTTATCTCGAGTAGAGTTCATTTTCTTAGTTTCCTACTTCAGCTCTGAAATCGACGTTCATTCTGAAAAAAAGTAGAGTTTGTGCTGCAAATCAAAAAGTTCTTAATATTTGATTGCCCACATCATCATTAGCTTGAAAGATATGTTAATAATAAATTTTGGAATTATTAATTGATACTTTAACCATTAATCATCATATCCATACCATCGTAGCTCCTAACCGTTGATCTTTCTCGTTTCATATACACCTGCGTTGGATTGCTCCAGCCAGAGTTGTCATGACACCTTATTATATATATTTTGAGAATGCCTAACAAACTAATTTATGAATTTATGGGTTTGGCATTATAGCAATGGTTCATAAAACGGAAAAAGTTACTCATTTGAAAAGCGTCGGCTTCCCACTATGGCTGCTTTGATAACAGCCACACTTCTTTCTCTTCTGGCTATTGCTAACTGCCAATGGGGTAGGCTCACAAATCTATTTATCGATAATTTTCTCTTCAGCATGCCAAAATACCACGTGGAGCACGCCAATAGCCCAGTATCCCACGAATGGCAACTTCTCGATTCCAGCTAATTTCAACTGTTCTTATACGGTATTGATGTTCAGAAAAGCTGATTTTTACTGATTATTCCAGATTACTGTCTCAAATGGATCGGTAGCCGAGTTGAATCTTACTGCAATTGTACACGAGGCTGACCATATCTATGTTTCATATGGTAATAGCTCCAGACATGAGTATGCTTTATTTACTTTAAAGTTGTATATATGTTCATTTAAGAATTCCTCAAGATGGATCGTTTATTCTATCGATTCTTCCCCCATCCGCCGTTTTAACAGTAATCTCGGCAGTGAATTCAACGAGCAGTAATATTAGAGCTTCGCTTAATTTGAGATCATGTATGTTATTCTTTCCTAAGTTGTACCCTGAATGAAATTGCAACCACATAATCTCATTCGAAGAGGATTATATCGAGATTTGCATCAAATTTTAATATTCAGATATGGCAAACGTAACAATCAAAAATTTCGGAAGTCTTCAGCATGGTGCTGTATTCAATGTTTCTGCATCTCATGATACAACATTTGTACTGAATGCTGACAATAAGGTGATATATAAAGAAGTTTTTTCAAGCAACAGCCAGATTAAGGTCGCAGTTCATGCATTTCCTGCTCAAAAGCTAGGCTCATTAGTATCGATATTACTGTACGATGGTAATATTAACAATCAACAAGAGCTCAAATTCTTGGGAACGTGAGAATTCGAAAAGAATACAGTTCAATCCCAATGATTCCAGGCTATATGAGACTTATATGAACCAAAAGCCAACTATTTCCCAGGGACAGTCTATGACTATAAAATGTATCTCACCAGATGTGATCAACTACTTCTATGCACATGATTCTTCTGGTTCTAACTTCTCAATTTAATTATTTAAAAAAAATCTTTAAGCTATAACGGGCTACTCGGAAATCAAAACTTACATTTCACCTGCGGCGCAAGGATCGACCAGGCAATTGGATTTCAATGGGTTAAACGGAAGTGCAGTTGCGATGGTGTTGAACACATCACCCAAGCATGAATATTATATGACAAAGTATAGTTTGATGTCGAAGCCCGACGATGTTTGTAATTCTTAAGTATGAGGATTTCAATAGTCAAATTTCAGAAGAGTGCTCTGTTAAAAGTCTTTCCTGTGTTCCCTTCTCCATTAATAAACTTAGATTTGCTGTCACTGAAGGCATACGTGTAAGTAAAACCATCCATGTTTATCTTTTTTTCAGTTTGTTATGTATTTCCTATCAACTTACTTTACTGTTTTTAGTAATAACTCTATGAATGGTACAGATCAAAATACCGAACTACCGCAAGCTTTTATGGGACCACTCCGTTGTTTTATGATATCTAATGGATCAGCTCATATAGAACTAGGAGGAGATGCGTCAAAAGGTGAGGTCAATCATGTAATATAACCGGAATATTCTTTGGAGAACCCCATTAGATTAACAGGTCGAGGACCTGTCAAGTAAGTGTCCTGATAAAACGCCTTCGCAACTCCGCAAATTTGAGTTATCGTTCGAACAGGTGTAATCATCAAGTGAACTGAGTGCAAGGAAGATTGATATTGAAACATACATTTCTTCTACTGTGAGGAATCCAAACCTATGTAAAGAAAGAACCTTTGGATGTGAGGAAAAAAAGTGAGGGGAATGAATCATTGTTCAAAGAAGTTTTCTTCCCTTTTCTTCCCTTCTCATCTGTTCCTTATAAAAAAACTTTTTTTTCTCAGACGAATGGCAAACCATCGGTAACAACCGAGTCGGAATTTTGGACATTGAAGGTCTAGCAAGTGGAGAAAAAAAGAAATGGGATTTCCAATCGAAGAGTTTGTTTTCACAACACTGACCAAATAACAAGTGATGCGGATTTTAGCACAGAAGAGGGTAGTCCTAACCGTAAACTGTGACAACGATAAGGATATGATTGTAGAACTAACTCACGACGGTAACACAACAACACTGAACAAAACAGCGTAACTCCACGAGAACATAGAACAAAGTATAATTTATAATATTTTCAGAGCAACAGAAACTGTTATGACTAATTTCTCTATCAATACCGAGTTGAAGAATATCTCTGCTCTGGGATGCAACGTCATGTTTTCAGCTTATGACAGTCAGTTTTATATTTGCATCCATTCTCACTATACATTTCAGATGGATACTCTTCTTCATTCCAAATTCTCAGTTTCATACTCCCTGCATTGATATTCATCTTCAATCAATATGATGTACTTAACTGAAAAAACACAATAAACCATTTGTTCTCAACCGACGTTCGCATGTTCAGAGGAGGTTGACCCTTTCAGCGCGCTATCGCCAAATAGCAGCCCCAGGGCCAGGCAGCGCGGATAAAATAAAATTCAAAAATTTGAAAACAAAACTTTCTCGTTTTCAGTTTTTTTTTTGTTTATGTTTATGATTAACTTCAAGCATATTCTCTCTTATGTACATATTGAATATCATCTTGAATGATGTCTAATCGTTTGCTCAACTTGGTGATCATGGCTGTTCAGTTTTAGTAGAAAATCATAAAGGACCCACCTTTTTCACATTCTCTCTTCCCTGTATCAGGAGATGATGGTACTCACTTTAAAATAGTTTTTTTTCAACGCTTTTCTATCGACTCGAGATAATGATGGTAGATATTTAGTTCTGAACATTCGCACATTTCCGCATTGTTCTCTCTTTTTACCTCTCTTCATTCAAACTCTATACTAAATTCCATTTTTGAACATTTTCGAAGGTCCATGATGCCAGTGCGATCGCGCAGCAGTAGACTGTCCGCGTTGAAGGTCAAAACTAGCCTTCTTTCTTCTTTTTCGAACATTTTTGTTTTCATTTTCTATCTGAGCATTTAGAAATACCATTTGCTAGCGATGATGCATTCTTCGAAATGTTACAAGCTGTTTATCATTGCTGTTATCAGTTTCATATGTTTGTTTCCATCCTACTCACTTGCATTTTGTACTTCGCAATGTACTGCTGCAGTTCCGTGGTTTTCTTATAAAATTAGTCATTGTAAAACAGTGTTTAGTGCCTCCCACATGAATTAGTCAAAACAGTTTATTGTCATTAGTTGCGCTCAGTTGGTTCTTAAGCTGATTTCGTTTTTTCAAATCAATCGTGCTGATACATACGTTCTTATTTATCTTAAGTTTGTTGACATTGACGTTCACAAAAGGCGACAAAATGAAATGACCCTGTTATTGTGCCAACCTATTTACTTTTCCTTACTTTTATCGTTGGAAAATTTACAAATTTTGCAACTTTCTCAACTCATCGTTGTTTCCTGTATGTTCGCGCGTACATTGTTTTCCTGGTTATGGTTCGAATCTTCAACAAACCATCAACGGATCAATATCGCCACTATGACTCGTTTCAAATACTGAATTTTTTCATGGCCAGTAATATCTTATCAGTATGACGTATAACATCTAGGGAGAGGCTCACAGATGACTCGACTTGGAATTTTTTAAATACTTAACTGTAAACTTCTCGGCACTTGAGCATACACATTTTCTCTCAAAATTGTATCTTTGTTTTCGAACAGTTCCATTTAATCCTGAATATTGATTTTTCCATATTTTTGCTTCAATACTAGATGTCCATTGTGCATCAGACTCTGCCAGCTGTGGTCTTCTTCTGCTCATCCTTTTTTGTGCCCAGCCTGTCACATCAGCGTGTGCCTCACGGCCTCCAGATTGACCGCAATATTGTGCTTTCATTTTTCCTCTTACACAGTTGCCGCACGGTCGGTTGTGTGAATTTTATGCGCATAGACAATCTTCACATCTGGTCTCCACTTAATGAGAATGTTTTTTTTTGAATGCAAGTCTATTAATTTTCCTAGTTGACTTCATATTTTTTGAGAGATTCTATCTATTTGGTATAGTATGCTTTATGTGCGTATCGTTAATCCCTTAGCAGACTGACTTGGCTGCTAGGCAGTGTCAACTCACATATCGCAATTCGCCATTTCTCTCGCTTTCAACCAATTTTCCCACTATTACCCTTCCTTTTCCATTTTCATTATCAAAGTCATGTAAAATAACCCTTGGCGTTTCCCAGCACTTCGTATCTGTTTGTTCTTCTTGGATTCTTCAACTTCATTTAGTTGTATTAATTATGTTTGTAATTTTGCAATTGGAACTAATTTGCTTGAGCAGTTGAGCATTACTGTTATTGGTCTCTTTTTATTTCTTCTCATTACACTCTCATTTCTAATATTGTTGTTCCCTCATTGTGATGTCTTTTATTTATCTTCGGTGATGAGACCCATTATTTCTTTCCTGCGTAGCTCCTTAGCTTTTCAAAATCACTCAGATTGACACGTATGAAAACAATTCCTTTTTGAGTTATCCGTTCTGAGAGGAGGTGCAGCAACTATGATTTTTTGTTTACTTTTGGAGCAGCTCCTGTCATTTCTCGTTCCCTGCGGACATTCCGCGCGATCTACGTAATTGGTAACTGACTATGGGCTGTCGTTAGTGTCTTGTGCTGCCTTGACCTGTGGCCTCGTATTCGTCCAGGCTCGTCTTAACTATATCCTATCGCTCATCATATCTCAATATTGCATCTGCTAAAATCTGTAGCCGCACTATAACCTATAATTCGTTTGGACCACTTGGGTCTATCACTCTTCCCTACACAATCTTTCTGAATAGTGGTCCAAGTTATTCGTGTCAATCTATGAGTGACTAGAGTGCTACTTGATCTTTAAAATGTCATACGTTTATTCTGCCGCCATATACTCGCCAGGGGAGGGTAAAACTGTTAAAAACTTGGAAGGTTGGTTGCCTGTAATTCCTCGATTTAATGATTCATTAGCATTTCATTGCGAACACTCTTTATTTTTTATTCGTTTTCTAATTACGTTTGCCTAAGTCTTATCTTTCTGTTGATAAAGGACACCACTAAACACTCATTCATACACTCTACAGTTGTTCAGTAGTTCATAACTGTACTGTTTTTCTTACAGACGAAGCCTGTGGCTGGCGAGGTGAGATAGCATCTAGTAGAAGTGGCATCAATTTTGACGACCTGAGTGGAGAACAAGCCATGTCTCGGCACTATGATATTCCGGTAATTGTGAATGATTTTTTGAATAACTGATTGTATATTCAGTATCGAGTGCCAGCATCAAGAGGTGCTGCAGGGACACCACACGGGTCTGCCCCTTCACCTAGAATGGACGATGAAGAATACCATGACGAAACTTTATTCTTCGAAAGAAGTAGAATTAAACAACTGCAGGTGTGTGACTGGCGAGCACAAGGTTTACCATATTCGTATTCAGGATGAGCGTGTGCATATCCAAAAGAAAACATTCACTAAATGGTGCAACTCTTTTCTTAATCGGGTAAGTGTTTTATAGTTTTCTATTTTCTCCATGTTAGTAATATTGACCGTTATCTCTGTCAAATGGGACAGATGAATGGATAGATATTGTCTTCCGGTTGATCGGCGAATTTTCTACATTCTTATTGTATTTATCTCTCGGCGACGACTTAGGGGGTTTAGAATGATTCAAAGAGATAGTACAATAACGGAAATATCTCTCACTAGAGGGTGATTGACTTCAGGAAGAAAAGTAATGAGGTCAAGCTTTGTTCTACTGAGCATTGCTGTAGTTGAGCAGGTTAAGTTCAAAATGAAGCTCTTCTATTGACAAATGCTTGTTTTGGCTGTACACGAATCTATCCTCTCTCTATGATTGATGCGTGAGAGCTTGTATTTCGAGATTTTTTGTCAAAAGAAACGGGAAGACTCAATATATGTTTTAAACAGAAGATTTCAGGCTAGATTAGAGATTGTCGACCTCTTCGTGGATGTTGGTGATGGAGTCCTGTTGATGAAATTGCTCGAAATTATTTCCGGCGAAAAACTAGGAAAGCCAAATAGGTATCTATTGGCCTTATGTTTGGTCATCAGCACTTAACTTTCAGAGGACGTATGCGCGTTCAAAAAATCGAAAATTTAAACAAAGTACTGGATTTCTTGAAGAAACATAAGATTCAAGTTAGTTTTCTTCATTTAAGACATCAAAAGTGTGCACAGTTTTTCTCAATGAGTGTGAGGTGTCAATCGTGTTTTAGATGTCCACAGTTAGTTAACGTGGTGTTTGTGTATTTTGCGAGAGAATAAAGAAGAAGTCGAGAGTATGAGAGAGGGAGCGCGAAACTATTCCAAACGTTCCTCAAGATTTGAGATTAGTATTCGTATAATAGTTCAAAAATAGGGACAACATTTGGATATATTGATTTCAGTTAGAAAATATTGGTGCTGAAGATATCCTTGATAAAAATGAAAGATTGATTCTGGGTCTTATTTGGACTATTATTCTTCGCTTCCAAATCGATACTATTGTCATCGAGGTTTGTCACTTTCAAGTTCTGGTAATAGCATTAATCTCAGGATGAGGAAGAAAGAGGTGAAAGACGCCAAGCTAAAGATGCTCTTCTGCTCTGGTGCCAGCGTAAGACTTTGGGTTACTCGAATGTTAGAATCGAAAACTTCACTACTAGCTGGAGAAGTGGTCTTGCTTTCAATGCTCTCATCCATGCTCATAGGTATGCTTAATCGTCTTATGTTTCAATCTATATAATATTTTCAGACCTGACTTACTCAACTTTGACAGTCTCAATCCAAGTGATCATATCGGTAATCTTAATAATGCCTTCGATGTTGCCGAGAAGAAGTTGGAGATTGCTGTTAGTACCTCGTTTAAGATCCTTTTCATAATGATTCGTATTTAGCGCTTGTTGGATGCCGAAGATGTCGATTCAGCACGCCCTGATGAGAAATCTATCATCACATATGTATCTATGTATTATCACTATTTTGCTAAACAAAAAACTGAAATGACTGGAGCCCGTCGTGTTGCTAATGTGAGTCAAAATGTATCAGCTTGTTTTAAAGTATTACTCAGATTGTTGGAAAACTGATGAACAGTGACAGCCTAGAAGAGGATTTTGAGCATATCTCATCTGATCTCCTTCAATGGATCAATGACACTATCAAGGCTTTGGACGACAGAAGGTATCGTTTCAGTGATGAATTGTTTTCTTATTGTTTTTAGATTCCCCAACTCATTGCAAGGAATGCGTGAAGAACATACTCTCTTTAATAACTTCCGCACTGTTGATAAGCCACCTAAATATAAAGAGAAAGGAGAGCTGGAAGCATTGTTTTTCACTATTCAAACGAAAAGAAAAGCTATGGGTCGAAAGCCTTATGTCCCTCCACAAGGCTTGTTCATGCAAGATATAGAATCGGCCTGGGAGAGATTGGATAGAGCTGAGAACAATCGACAACTAGCTATCATCGCTGAACTTCAGAGGTATTGTACGCTAAAGGTCCCTCAATCACACCTAACGTTTCTAGACAAGAGCGACTTGAACAAATGGCTCAGCGTTTCCATAAAAAAGCTAAACTTCGTGAAGGATGGCTTGTTAATGTCAGATCAGTCTTGGAGAACATGGATCATGGTAGAAGTGCTAGTGAAGTCGAAAACGCTGTCAAGAAGCAACAAGCCATAGAAACTGACATATTTGCCAGAGTACGATCATATTTCTCAGCAATAGTTAATTATATCTTCTAGGAAGAGCGCTTCAAACTTCTTTCTTCCATGAGTTCGGATCTTAATAGAGAGAAGTATCATGAAGCTGATAAGATTCGTGCTGTAGAAAGAGATATCAATGAAAGATGGACTCAACTCCTATCCTTGTTGAAACAACGCCGCGATGCTTTAATGGGTCTAAATGATCTTATGAGTCTGCTTCGGAGCATTGACACTTTATCAAGCGAACTGAAACTATTAGAGGTATACTAATAGACTTGTGACTTGAAAAGTTTTCTTGTTCAGCCTCTCGTTCGTAATCGTGATGTCGGAAAACATCTTCTCGGTGTTGAAGATTTATTGATAAAACACGAGTTGATTGAAGCTCAAATCAATGTTCAAGGAACCGCACTCCAAAGTGTAACGGAACGCTCCCTTCTTTATATCAGACGTAAAGGAGAGCAGTATGAGTTTTTACAGAGAAAACTCAATGATCTTACTTCGCAGTACAATACGTAATGATAATCCGTTTGAAATCGTTGTTATATCAAAACTTTAGTTTGGCTGATTTATCGCAGTCTCGCCGTCTCAACCTTGAAAAGGCTCGAGAACTGTTCCAATTCATTCAGGATCATGGCGAAGAAATGGCTTGGCTAGAGGAGAAAGAAGAGCTTTGTAACCGAGCTCTTGCTAGTGGTGATGTTTCAGCCGTTCATCAGATAACTTTACTTTACAAGGTTAATGTGTAATATTCCACTATATAATACAGAATTTTTTTTCCAGAACTTGGAAAATGATATGCAACTTCATTGGGCTAGAAGCAAAGACTTAATCAACTCTGGTGAAAGATTAATTCAAGCTGGACAGTCTAAAGAAGATATCCAAAGAAGAATTTCTGTATTCCAATCTTCTTGGGAAAGATTGCGTGCTGTTGTACAAGCTCTCGGCCAATGGTTGAGTGAAGCACGTCAAGCTCAACAATATTTCCAAGTATGAAAGTTCAGAGTCAGGTGGTTGTACGAATGATTTTTAATTTCAGGATGCGAATGAAGCTGAATCGTGGATTAGAGAGAAAATGCCATTGGTTAAATCAGATGATCTCGGACGCGATGAAGCAGTAGCCGAATCATTACTTCAACGTCATGCTCGTTTGGAGGAAGAAGTTCACGCTTACCGATCTGACATGATACGATTGGAAGAAATGTCGGGAACTTTGGCAAACAGTTCTTTGTTCTCTACTGCCTCTAGCTCTCAAGAAACAGAGGATATAACTGTTCCACAGCTAGAAATGCTTTATAAATTTGATGGCAACGGAATGAATGTTTCTAAAGGCGAGGTTCTCGCTCTACTCGAGAAAGCTACACCCGAATGGTGGAGAGTTTTGAAGCAGGATGGTGTTGAAGGATACGTACCAGCTAATTATTGCAGAATTGTTCCCGGAGAAAAGGTGATAAATATATTTTCTCCTTTTTGATATCACAATTTTCAGGTGACGGTTACTCAAACATCAACTAAGAAAGGTTCTGAACCACAAGATGGAAAGAGAGCTGTCATTGATAGACAAAAAATGATTACTAATGACTATCGTCAACTTAATAACCTAGCTGATGTACGACGCAGACTACTTACGGATAACATTAAGCTCATGAAGTATGTTTATTGGATACCATGTCTTTGAATAATAATTTATAGATTCTATCGTGAATGTGACGAATTCGAAGCATGGGCTCGTGAAACAGAGCTCGCTCTTTCGGATGAACCCACTGTTGAACATATTCAAGCTTTCAGAAGACGCTTCGATAAGATTGAAGCTGATATCAGAGTAATCATCTTGTTGATCAGCTTGAATATATGAAAATATGTTTTTAGAGTAATGGAGGAACTCAACTCAAAGGAATTAATGACAAGGCTGAGGAACTTATTGGTGAAGGACATAGTCAAGCAAGACAAATCGAAGCTCGGCAAAGAAAAGTTAACGCTCTTTGGAACGAGATTGATCGTCTTCGCAAAATGAGAGGATTGCGTTTGGAAGCTACCGAGAGGGTAGCTGATTTCGAATCTTCTTGTGCTGAAGCTAGTAACTGGATGCAGGTTTTTATTGAATCATTGTGATCTTTTCAACGAATAGTGTTGTAGATGAAATCTGAAGGACTTGAGAAGAACCCTGATCTCAAAAGCTTACAAAACCTTGAGCGTGATTTGAAACCTCTTGAAGACACCATCAAGAATTTAGAAGACTTGGCTAATAGGGTTCGCCATCATCTGTTTTTGCTCACCTTGAATAATGTTCCAGATTCGCAAAGATCATCCTGAAGAGGCTGCTATGATTGATCAGAGAATTCGTGAATTGAAAGATCAGTATGCCAGACTTCTGGCTGGAGCCGGTGAGAAGATCAAAAAGGCTGAACAAACTCAAGGTACTCATTTCTTGAAAGTATCTATCTGATATTTTTTTCAGGACAAGAAATGTTTGATTCTGCTCTGAGAGGTGTTTTGACATGGATCGATCGTACTAAGAGCATATTGGCTCACGATGTGAGACCTGTTGATGTTCAAGAAGCCGAAGAACTCCTTAAGAAACATTACGAACTAGGAGAGCAAATGAAGGATAAAAAATATGAAGTAATTTTATCTGCAGTCCATTCCACCTACAAATACTTTAACTCAGGTCGAATACGTGCATGAGCTCGGACGTCGTCTTCTTGAAAAGAATCCAAGACTGAGAGAAGTAGAAGAAAAATTACGTGCACTCTCTAATGAGATGTCAGATCTCAAGGTATAAACATATATGGTTTGTATCACCAATATATTCATTGTTCAGGACATGTACCGCCAACGTGATGCTCGCTTGAAAGAACACTTGGACTTGCAATTGTTCAATCGGGAAGCAGAGCGAATCGATGCTACTACCAAAGGGCACGAAGCCTTCTTGGATTATACTGACTTGGGAGACTCGGTCGAATCTGTTGAGAACTTGTTGAAACGTCACAGAGACCTCGAAGCCAAGTTGGATGCTCAAGAGGCTCGTCTTGACGCTTTCTCTGTAAATGCTAATGAGCTGATCAAAGCAAAGCATTCTGAGAGTGGTTACATTGACAGTAGAAGAAACGAAGTTCTTGCTCACCGTGCTGCCGTCCGTAGATTGGCAGGAGATCGCCGTCGTCAGTTAGAAGACTCTCTGGAGTACCAAAACTTACGTCGAGACGCGGAAGAAATGTCAGCATGGATTCTAGAGAAAAAGCGTATGGCGAATGATGAATCTCACCGTGACTTATCGACCATCAGCAACAAATTGCTTAAGCATGAAGCTTTCGAAGCTGAAGTGGGAGCCAATCAACCAAGAATTGATAAGATCAATCGAGTGAGTTTATTAATCTACTAACTTGATAATAATTTATATTAGGATGGAGCGGCTCTCATTAATCAAAGACACTCTCAATCTGGAGCTGTTGAAAGCATTGTCAATCGAGTCAACGCTCAGTGGAGTGATTTGGGAAAAGCTGTTCTACTGAAAGGAGAGAAGCTACGTCAAGCCGCTGATCAGAAGGGGCTTAATCGTATATTGGAGGACGCTCATGCTAAACTCGATGAATTAGAAGCTGTTTTAAAATCCGACGAGTTAGGGTCAGATTTGAGAGCTGTTAAGGATTTGATTCAAAAACACGCAGTGCTGGAGCAAGAAATGGCTATTCATAAGAAAAGAGTAAGAGACTACAAATCATTTCATTTTCAATTTTCTTTAGCTCTCTGAAATCCAATTACGAGGAAAAAAGATGGCTGATCAAGGCCATTTCGATTCTGATAAGATTGATGCCACTATAAATGCTCTTCTGAACAGGTAAGCATATTATACATGAGTATACATGTCAAAAATAAGTCTTCAACGTCTATACTTATCATTGTAGCCGTAAGATACTGAAAGTTATGTTATTTTTTTGAAGATTTGATCAGTTATCTGGACCTGCTGCTGACAGAAAGTTAGCTCTAGAAGAATCCAGGAAGTGGCATCAGCTATCTTTCGACGTTGACTGCGAGCTTCAATGGATTGCAGAGAAGGTGAAACTTTTACCAATATCTTCAGATAATTTTTTGTTTCAGAAACCAGTTGCATCTTCCGAAGACACTGGACGAACTCTCACCGAATCGTTGAATATTGTCAAGAAACAAGAACAATTAGAAGCTGAGGTTAATCAGCATTCAAGTCATATCGAAAACACCATTGGGCAAGGAGAATCATTAATTCGCAGCGGTCATCGTGCTTCAGCACACATCAAGGCGAAATGTGAAGAGGTAATTCTTCTATTTCTTTTTTTATCTTCCAATAGAATGCTGATAGTAAAGGTTTTAGATATTTATAAGATATTGTGATAAGGTAACATACTGTTGTAAATGTAGATAGTAGTTTTTTGTTGTATGATGGTTATGTAATCGACTTCTGTTAATTTTCCTGTTTTCAGTTATCCAACGCTTGGAGAAACTTGAATGATCTTGTAAAACGTCGCAGAGCAATTGTTGATTGGGGTGTTAAGGAGCAACAGTACATGTTCGATGCTGCTGAGGTTAACAAATTTGTGTGAACTGATAGTGACCTTTATTTCGCAGATTGACTCATGGATGAATGAAAAAAGATCAGCCATCGTTTCCGAGGATTATGGTACTGATGAAGATGCTGCTCAGAAACTCCTTGCAAAGCACAAAGCTCTGCAAAACGACATGCATACATACAAACAGTGGATCGAGAAGTTAGCTGCCAAATGCAATGAACTCCTAAACTCGAAGCGTCCAAATGTTGAACGATTTGACATCCGTCAAAAAGAACTCGAAGCTGAATTTGACCGTCTCAGTGCTTTGGCTGAAGAGAGAAGACGAGCATTAGAAGATGCCGTTTGCTTATTCGAATATATGCGTGAGAGTGCTGATTTGGAGCAATGGATCAACGAACAGCTGAATACTGCTATGAGTGAAGATTATGGAGAAGATTATGAACACCTTACCGAACTGCAGTCTAAGTTCGAAGAGTTCAAGCAAAGTGTTAAGACAGGAAGCGAAAGATTTGTATCATGTGAAGCTGCTGCGAATTCTATTCTCCGCCGCAATCCACCATTCGCTCAAGACATACTCAAAAAACAAGAGAAGCTTCGATCGGTAGGTTCCTTGTAAAAAACTAAAAATGTAATTTGGTTTAGGTTTGGACCCTCCTCTTGGATTATATAGAATCAAGACAACAGAAGTTGAATGCTGCCCAAGAGCTTCATAGATTCAATCGTGATGTTGGTGAGCATGAAGAATGGGTCGCAGAAAAAATGGGACAGATGAATGGAGACCTTGGACGCGATGTTAAACAAGTAAAAAGCACAACGTCGCATAATCTTAGTATTCGATTCAGGTTCATTCTCTCTATCAACAACACGAAACTGTTGAACATGAAATTGTCAATATGGAACCTCGATTGAACAAACTTCTCGAAGAGTCAACTCGTTTGAAGCAGGCTTATCCTGGAGGAAACGCTGATCACATTGCTGTGCAACAAACCCAGCTTGCTGAAGGATGGCAAGATTTGAAAGATGCTGCTGCTGATCGACGCGATGCTCTCAGAGCAGCTTATGATCTTCACAAGTAGTTTTTTTTCATTGTTTGAGGAGATATATATGCTTCTAGATTCAATGGCGAAGCTAGGAACTTGATAGCCTGGTCAGATGTAACGATTGCCGATATGCAATCTGAAGTTCAGATTCATGATTTGCAACAGGCTGAATGGTTGCAAAAGGTTTGTTTCATAACTCATTATGGAATCATTTTACTGTGTCTTCAGGAGCATTCTCGCCTCAGTAATGAAATCGATGCTCGTGAACCTGAGTTCGTGAAGTTGGCCCAAGCTGGTAGAAAAATGGTTGCTTCTGAACACTATGCCAAAGATGAAGTACTGTACAAGATTGATTTGGTATATAACTTTGTATTTTCATTCGTAACTTCATCTTTTCCAGATTGAAAAGGCTATATCTCGTCTACGAAATGAGTGGGATATTAGAAACAGCTATTTGGCACAAGTTGTACAATGGCATGCCTTCCAAAGAGAAGCAAAGCAAATTCTTGCTGCCATATCTTCCAAGAGAAATACATTGAAATCTCTTGCTGTTGGAGGCCGCGTGTCTGATGTTGAAAATCAAATGAAACGTCTTGAGACTTTTGCTAAGGCTTTATCCACCTTAGACGACCGAGTCAGAGATTTGGATAACAGCGCTAAGCTATTAATTGACGCAAGACATATGGAAAAGACCAACATAGAGATTTGGAGAAGAAAAGTACATGATGCACTCATGGCTCTACGTGAAGATGTTGATCAACATCGCTTAGTTCTAACAGATGCCTACAGTCTCGCTGCTTTCGACAGTGATGTAGCTGATATGGATGCTTGGATCGATGAGAAGTTGAATGGGTATCGTTTGATGATCTGAGGCATGCTTTCATTTTGACTTTTCTAGAATACGTGCTGAACATGAGAGACAAGGACAATGTACATCAGTGGAAGATAAGATGAAGCTTCTGCAAAAACATCAAGCTTTGGAGGCTGAACTCTCAACGAACAAACAACAAGTTGATCAAGTTCTTAGGCGCGGAAAGGAGCTGAACTTGAAGCACAGAAACCCTGATGTAAGTTGACTTTTTTTTATCCTAATACAGTTCTTCTTAGATTTCTTCTCGATGTGATCATTTACAAAGACGTTGGGATGTTCTTGCTAGTGCTAGTAGCGACCAGTCAAGAGCATTGGAAGAGTTCCGTGACTTGCTCAGTTTCCGCCAATTGGTATTTGCAAATGAATTTTTTATTATTACTGTGTTCATCACAGGTTGACCGGGTCCTTCTCTGGATTAGAGAAAAGGAGTCAATGGTATCAGCCGGAGAAATGGGACGTGATCTGGAACACTGCAAGCTGTTGATCGAAAGATTGAACGGCACCACTGCTGACACTTCTGTTGATGAACAAACTTTAGTTGAAATCAACAGATTAGGTGAAAAATTAGTGCGTCAAGGAAGATCTAGCCATGAAGAAGTTCAACAACAACAGGATCAACTCAATCAAATGTATGAGAGGCTTTGAAATTTGGGTGAAATCATATTTGTAGGTGGATTTCGCTCCAAGGAAAGTTGGATAGCTATCGTTACGATCTCAATGCTGCTCTCGAAGTTCACGCTTTCAACCGGGATGTTGATGATACTAATGAGCGTATCAATGAGAAAATCGTCGCTATGAAGAGTGATGACTATGGAAGAGATTTTTCAAGGTTTTTCAAACTCCTATTACCAGTGTGGTACATATAATGTTTAGTGTTGATGCGTTGTTGAGAAAACAAACCGCTTTGGAAAGAGATATGAGTGCCATACACCAAAAGCTCACTGCTCACGATAAAGATGCTCAAGCTATATTATCCAAGGTATTATCTGTTTTGATGATTCTGAATATCTTTATCTTTCAGAAACCTCCTCTTAAAAATACCATACTCAACTCTCTCAAGAAGCTTGAAGATAGTTGGCAAAAGTTGAGCGACTCAGCATTGGAGAGAAACAGCAAACTTGACAAATCGTGAGATTATTCAACACCAGGCTATAGCTCAGCCAAACTTTTCTTTCAGTTATCAACTTCATAAGTATTTGGACAATGTCAAGAAGGCCGAACAATGGTCTTCCCATTTACGTAGCAAAATGTCATCGTATCAATCACCCCGTACTAGCGTAGCGGCTAGGCAGCTGATTCAACAACACCAGGAAAGAAAAGCTGAAATTGATGGACGACAAGTAATTGTTTTTTCTGTGATTAAAATAATTTATTTTTGTAGGATGAGTTGAAGGAACTCCATGAAGAAGGTCAGAGATTGACCAAGGAACAACCTGAGCATAAGAATGAAGTCCAAAGAGCTCATAAAAGAGTTCAAAACTCTGAACATCAGCTTCGTCAAACATGGGAAGGAGAAAAGTCTTCTCTTCAACGTGTTTTGGAATGGCTGCTCTGGTGCGATCAGGCTTCACTGACCGAGCAATGGGTGATAGATAAAGAAAACATCCTCAAGCAAGGTGATTTAGGAGACAACGCTGATGCTGTTCAGGTAATAAAGTTCTGAATATGTTTGACCTAAACTTAATTTTTCAGATGCTTATCAAATCTCATGATGCTTTCGAAGAAACTGTGAAGAAACAAAGTGAGAAAGTTGACATCTTGAAACGAGATGCAGACACCCTTCTTAAGAGTGACAATGAGTACAAGGGAGATATCTCTGCTAGGTGAGAGTGTTTCTTTGAAAATTAGAAACGAATTTTCTTGTTTAGATCTGAGGAAATCTTACAAAGATATTCCAACTTGTTGGATTTATCCTCGAATAGAAGAAGAATGCTCATTGAAAGCAAGAGGTATCATGAATTCATCCGATCATGTGGAGAACTTATCACTTGGATTACTGCCAAATTACAACTAGCTTATGACGAGTCATATTTGGATCCTATCAATCTCCGTTCCAAACTCCAAAAACATCTGGCTTTTGATTCTGAACTCAATGAGAATGAAAAACGACTCGCTGTAGTTGAAGAGCAAGGAAATGATTTGATCCGAGAAAAGCATTTCATGAGCGAACAAGTGAAGGCTCAATTAGTTGAACTTCGCAGTGGATGGAGTGAGCTCCGTTCCAAATCTGCTTTGAAAACTCAAAGGCTGCGAGAGGCATATGATGCTCATATGCTTCATCGCAAAGTTGAAGATATTGAACGCTGGTTGGATAAGATTGAGAACGAATTATCTTCCGAAGATCATGGACGTGATATCGAATCTGTGGAAAACTTGATCAAGAAGCTCGAGAACATAGAGGCTGAAATCAAAGGAAGAGCTGATGTAGTGAATGATATCAAGATCAAAGCTAAGGAGCTGATGAATAAGGTAACATACTAGCATTAATACGTATGAACAAAAGTTGTTTTAGTCTTCCACACAGCCGGAGAACATCCTTTCTCAAGTTGAACAAGCTCAGTTGCGTTACGCATCCCTTGGTGACCCTGTTTCAATCAGAAGGTATGTTTTACTCTTATGTCGATATGCTAACTTTGGAAGTTACAGAGAGAACCTAAGAGATGCTTTGCGATTGTATGAATGGTCTGCTAAAGCTGAAGACGAAATTGAATGGTTATCGGATAAACTTCCTTTCGCCCGAAGCACCGATTTTGGTGATTCACTGCATTCAACTATCAGTCTCCAGAAAAAACATGCTGCTCTGGAGAAGGTAACAGTATCTTGAAAATTCAAATATTTACGCTCAATTACAGGAGTTAGAGTCACGTCAATCCTCTCTACACGAAACCGAGGCTCAAGGAGCTAGAATGGTCAGAGAAAAACACTTTGCCTCTCTGCAAATTCAAGCAACTATTGACCGTATATCAGGAGCTATGCTTTCTATGAAGGTAACCAAATGCAAAAATAAGTTTTGAAGTCAAATAATGTGTAGGATGCCGCTGTGAAGAGACGTCAAAGATTAGAACAAGCAGTTTCTGCTCAAGAATATTATATGGAAGTTAGCGAAGCTGAACAATGGATTCGAGATCAACTGCCTGTTGCTGCTAATCAAGAAACTGGCAAAAATCAAACCGGAACAGAAGGATATCTTCGTCGTCTAACTACATTAGACAACGAAGTTTCCATTTTTGACGGTGAAGTTGCCAGATTGAAAAAGAAATCTGATGAACTCATCCAGACAGATCATCATGATGCCAATCAGGTTCATCAATAATATTGTTTCAGAAATTCATCTTTTATTTCTAGATATCTTTACGTCAAGGAAAACTCGAAACTTCTTATGCTAATCTTCTCCAAGAATGTAATCGTCGCCGAACTCAACTCGTGGATGCTAATCGGTATCATCGGTTTGTACGCCAAGTTGATGATTTGTCTGACTGGCTTCATGAGAAAGAAAAGGTAATACAATCCAATTTCATATTGCTATGTTGTATTCACAGGTTGCTGCTTCTGAGGAGGTCGGTAGAGATCTCGAGGATTGCATTGACATCATCGAAAAGTTCGAATCCGTTGTTCGCGAGTTAGCTGCTGCCGGAGAGAGAGTAGCTAGCGTCCAAAGAGCTCAAGATGAATTACTTCGATCAGGTTTGATATCTCAGAACATCTTCATAATACCCAAAGTTTCAGGTCATCCATACGCAGCTTCCATCCGTGCTAAAGGAACAGATCTGCTTGAGTTATGGCATAGAGTGAACAGAGCTGCAACTGAGCGTCAGCAAGACATGGCGGGAGCTAAACAAATTCATCGATTCGATCAAGAAGCTGATCAGCTCCTCAATTGGCTCGGAGTGAGTGGATGTTATTTTAACTTTCTTATATTGTAATAAATTCAGGACAAGGAAGCAACTGGTGTTGCTCTTGAACAAGAAGATCTTTCTCAAGCTGATTTGGCTGCTGTGAAGTCTCAAATGCAACGATACGAAGAATTTGCTCATGGATTAAAAGCTGTTGAGAAACAAGTCATTGAACTCTGTGGCGAGGCAGAAAGATTGTGGGCTGCATTCCCTGATACAAGAGAACATTTGGAAGTACGAAAAATGGATATGGAAGAACAACTCAAGGATATTTTGGACTCATCCAAAAAGCATCATAATCGCTTATTGCATTTGGAGAATTTGCAAGCATACTTCCAGGTATACTTATTTGACAAGATGAAAGTGGAATAGTTTAATGTATAGGAGTATCGCGAGTTGATCCAATGGATGAAGAAAATGCAAGCTTTAATGACTTCTGAGCAGCTGCCTAGAGACGTTAAAGGATGTGAGGCTTTGGCTAGAAAGCATGATGAATATAACCTGGAGGTTTGTGTTATAGTGAAATATATTGCTCATCAACAACTTATAGATGCAAGGCAGAAAAGGACATGTCGATGATTTCATCAGCAAGGGTAAAAACATGATCCAAAATGGTCATGTTCTTGCGCAAGAAATCTCTGACAAAGTTGCGTTCCTTGAGAAATCTTGGGCGGTTCTGTGCGAAGTATGGAAAGATCGTCATGAGTTATACACAGAGAACACTGATTGCCAATTATGGAAGCAGAATGCATCCGAGTTAGAACTTTGGCTTATCGAAAGAGAAGCATTACTTGGAGAGGACTGGAGACAGCTAGACTCAGTTGAAACTGCTGAATCGCATCTTCGTGATTATGAAGACTTCTTGGTCACTGTAAATTCACAGTCAGAGAGATGTGAAGGTGTTAAGCGATTGACCCTCATCGAACAAAACTTCAGTAAACTCCGTCGAAAGGAGGTACGTTTAATCATAATCTTGCTATCTATAGTTCAATTTTTAAGAGTGATAGAGCTCGTATTGCTGAGGATGAACGTCGTCGCGATACCATTAAGATTGTGGAGAAAGGAAATATTCTCGGCGATCGTAGAATGATCAGAGAGAGAAGAAAAACATTAGAGATCTCCATTACAAGAGCTGCTGAAGAAGCCAATTTGGGTATTACCCACACATTACCTAGACCATTAGATAGAAGAGAAAGAAGCAAAACTGCTGTTATTGGTATGATTTTGAAGACGCCGAGTCTTGTTAATTAAGAATAATTCCTAGATGATGCTCCTGTATCTCAACCCGGTCCTCAACAATCTCAGCCAGGAACAAACACTGAAGTAGAGCATAAGACAACAGGCTTCTCTACTCGTCGTACACAGTCAAGTCGCGTCGCCAATCAGTTTGATGATTTCACAGCTATTGATATGACTGGGTTTGTAGAATTATTGTAGTTTTCAAATGTTTGTTCCAATTTTAGATTCCTCGATCGTAAGCAAGATCTGGCAACTGGAGGAAAACGTTTCACTATTCGTTCGTGGAAAAACTACTATGTTATCTTATGCGGACAACTCTTATGCTTCTTCAAGGTTTATAGTATATTTCGTATTTTCTCTAAAATGTCATATTTAAGGATGAATTATCATTCAAACAGAGCGTAGCTGCTGCACCTCCAGTGTACATTTATGGAGCCACATGCGAACCATATCATGAGAACGTAAAGAGAAAGAATGCCTTCAGGTGAGAACACTAGCTTTGTAGTGTTCCTTAATTCCATACTCGTTATAGATTGACAACTCAAGATGGTGCTAACTATATCTTCTCATGTGCCGATTTCCGAACCATGTCAGAATGGATGATTAAGATTCAATTCCATGCTGCTCTGGCTCCATCCAACCAACTAAAATCATTCTCATTCTACAGTTAGTTTTACTTTTTTTATTCTGTTGAACGCTTAGAACGGTTGTCGTCTTTTGTTTGCTTTTCTATCAATGCTTTTACTCCCGTCAAGCTTCGATTTCCTTGCATGTTGTGATTCTATGTGCTGTTCTATTTACCATATATAGCTGGAAGTTTATATTCATTTTTAAGAATCGTGAAGTTCGTTAGATTTAACGAAAAACAATTGATGTTCAACATACTGCTTAATTGACCTTACTAATGGTACAATGTTCTGACGTTCGTTTTGCCCTGCTTCTTAAACGGACCTGTTTGCTTGGTGTGCTAATGTTCATAGTTGTTGTATAATAGTCGTTGTACGCTTCATATAGCTCAAACTAATTGATAATTCTTAATCTTCAGATGATTCCGAGGTAACGATACTTGATATTGGTACAGAGATTGCTAAATCTCACTAAGCACAAGTTCACTAATTCGTTAGGTTTTTTATGTTTTGGTTATCAGATTCAAGTTTCAGTTTTTATCTGTTTCGTAAATGTAAATTATGAGAAATTTATATATATCCCACCGGTTTCCCTTGTTTCTTGTGTTCAATCAGACTCGTCTGATAGTTACCTTCGCCTCCCTCTCAAGCCATGATATTCCATTAGCCCGTGTTGGAAAATTTATGAAATGGTTGTTTCTCATATTCCCCTTTATAATTATTAACTTATTTCAACTCAATCCTTTTCATTTGTTTGCTACTGATTGTGCCCGACGATTAGTTACTTTGTTTTAACATATTGAAATGTAATTGAGTTGATGCGAGAAGCTTAATAAATGTTTATTAATAAACTATTGATATTCTTTATACAGCAGTGAATTCAGCAGCGAATCCGTTGTATGAAACTTGTCCATCAGAAACGAACGTCACCAGCATAAATGCCCCAGATGATGTGAAGTTTGTGTTTGAAGGGAAGAATCCAGACAGACTAAAAATATTCCTTGACCTTATTCAAAAATTCATTGAAACCTTCCAAGGTGAGGAGAGTTGGTAGTTGCTCCATCATAAACATCAATCACATCCCAAGATTCCGTTCGAACATCAGAGAAGTAAAGGTAAATTCTTAAGATACTATTATATTTACCACTGCTGGTTAACTTTGTTCACCTTTTGTTTGCCCCAGCAGTAAGCTGATAGTGACAATTGGTATTATCAGGATAGTAGTTTGGATAATTTGGGCTAGTAATCTATAAGACTGTCATTACTTCATATCTGTCACAAGGTTCACTTACAGTTCCAGGAGCGGAAAGAAGTCCTGCGTTACATCCAGTTCCTAAAGCTGCTGGAGTAGGAGAATAAGCAGTAAACTCAGGCCCGAAGTCGAAAGACCATGAAGCGACTGAATTGCTCAATGAGGTAAATATGACTTTCATAGACTCTTCTTGCGAAATGAAAATTTGATTAACTGGGTTATCCGTATATCTCAAACTGAAACGTAGAATGTTATGGAGACTCCAATAAGATTTGACTCACGTTTTGAAAGGAGTTCTATCCAAAATGTCATTATAGAGTTCTAGTGTTGTCGTCTTTTCACCATGGAAGTTGAACTGCTTGAATGTAATCGCAGCTTGATATCCCTTCTTTACGCTGATTATGTAAGTACATGGGGTGTTCATGGCTTTAGTAGGAGAGTGTACCTTAATAGATTAATCCAAATGATACTGTCAAAGAAATTCTTACAGTTCCGTTATTATCATAGTATTGTGGTGAGCTGCAACTCGTGTATGATGGTGTTGAATGCGGATTAGAAGTAGGGACAGAAGGAGCCTGGCAGGGATACATGTTCACTTCTGAATAAAGTTCAATTCATCGTATAATTACATCAATGTTTTTGAATACCTGTTTTGCAAACAGATAACATTGGCTTGTCGCAGTAGGTGTTCATCCAATTTCCTTGTGGGACTAAATCGTTTGTGAGAGCTATTCCTACACAATCTCCGAGATCGGTGTTTGGGTGAGCTAGAGAATGTTTGCAATTGAGTAATTTGTCATTTTGCTTACCAAAGTTTGAATAAGTTACACTATCACAACAGTTCACGCCACATGGGTTACAATATCGGTTTCCATTATACTTGGGACCAATACGAGCGAACATTGAAGAATCAGAACTGTTCTGTGCTAACTGCATGACATAGTTGTTTTCCTATAAGCGTATATGCGGTTGATTGAAAACGAGTATTACTCACATCGTTAGTGCCAATGCTCGTAATATGTCCACAACTAGTGGCACATACTTGCTCAGCATCGGAATAGGATAAAGCATCGACCAAAACCTTATAGCAGTTATCACCTCGTAAAGTATAACCTGGTGGACATGAAGTGAAACCTGAATAATTTAACCATTACAAGGAACAATCTTTCTGCTATCATACTGTCTTCGTTTTTCTGGCATGCATATCCGAAAGGAATATTATTACAATCGATGTTGTACCATTTTCCAGCGCTTGCTCCACTGAGAACCATGTAAGTGCACAGCCCCTTGTTCACATCAGGATATCCTTCAATTTATGATATTGCTGAGGTTTATTTGTTGAAACATGGGATTTACCGGGGTAGAAATTGTTGTAGGAATTGGCAGTCAATTGTGTTCCGTCCTCGTAATAACAGTTTGTAATTTGGCTTCCTCTACAGTTGATTCCAATCCAAATCACATTTGTTGAGCTTTTCTGAGAGTACAAAGCAGCTTCTGTCTGAAGTTTTAAGATTCTCATTTGTTTCTACGTGCTGATCTTACAAAAGCATTCTTGATCATAACCAATGAACCTCCCAATGACTCGCATGATTCGGAAGCCTTTGGTTCGAGCAAAAGGTCAGTGAATATCTAAAGAGAGCGTCTGATATGAGTTTTAAATTCCATTTACCTTATAGCACATACCATCCCCATCACTGAACCAATCAGAAGGACACTTAGCCACTATAAAATTTAAAAAATTGTTTTCATGGGAGTTTTATTAGTTTACCTGCAAGGGCTAACAAAGACAGGAAGCTCAAGAAGCTCTTCATATTTCCGAACTCAACATGCGAATATTTTGCCTTTTAAACTGCATCATTTATCATGACGCCTTCGTAAACTCAATAAGCTGATTATGTTGATAAGGCTGGTAATCAATAGCTCTCTAAGAATCAAAAGCGTTGGCGTGAATTAGAAGTCAAGAAGACATAATTAATAAGGTCAACCACACCTTTAATCCTATGTTCATTGTGTTCAATGTATGGCTACTCTAAGCAACAACTATATTTCTCAGACCGGAATAGACTTCATAATGTATCTGAAAATGATTCCATCGCGGTATCTGCTCCGATCTCATCATCTGACGTCATATCAAACCATGTTTGTTCTGTTGCTCATCATTATATCAGAGTTTCAAAAAATATGTTCAAGTAGTTCTTGGACTTTTTTTTGAAAAAAATAATTCTTGATGTACTGAGCATTGAGCAGAATCTGCTCTCACATTGTTCGAGCTTACAGCATTTCTCTTCATTATGATTCTTATACTAGCTGGCAAGGCAAGCTTACCCATGACTTTCATGATGTGGTAGAAGTAAAGTTTTCAATGAATGCTTTTATGTATGAATTATCATTGGAAAACCAGTAGCTTATTTAATATTTAATTCGATAATAGCTATTCTGAACAAATCGGTATCTATGTTAACATCTGTCGGTTAGAGTCTCGTTCGTGTCTACACTTATAGCGTTCAACTGATATACAGGGTAGCGCCACTATCAGAGGGAGGATATACAAGAGTTTATATTAGTTATCTGATTGTGGAATGGGGAAAACCAGTGAAACGATATTAATTTTATCTAAACGGATTTAAAAGTTGCTGCAAATCCAGGGTATGTATACTCAGAGAGAGCTTTGAATGTTACGAACATGAAGGAGCCTGTTGATGTGTAGTTTGTGTTTGTTGGGTAGTATCCGGATAAGCTGTAATACAGTACAGTAAAGAAAGCATCAAAAAATCTGTTGATACCTTCCAATCAAAGGAGAACTTGCTGTAGTTCCATCATAAATATTAATCTTATCCCAGGCTTCGGTACGAACATCCGAGAATGAGATGAAAACTCTTAAATTCTATGTTTGTCGCTGTTTATATGTCATCTCTTACCTTCTACCACTGTAGGATTTCAAAGAATACTGACAGTCAGCGTGCTTTGGATAGTTCGAAGGGTAGTTAGGACTTGTAATCTGATTGATTCGGTTTTGAGAAGTTCTGTTATTGAAGGCTTACTGTTCCTGGAGAAGAAAGTACTCCATTGTTACATCCATCTCCTCTGTAAGCTGGGGTTGGGGTTGGTGAGCTGAGGTTTGGTCCGTAAGAGAAAGACCATGTACTGTTCGAAGATGCGTATCTTGAGGAATACACTATTTTCATTGATTCTTCATGAGAAGTGAAAGTTTGTCTAACTGGGTTATCACCATAACTCAATCTGCAAAAAAAAACAACCTTATAAAGGTCTATCTCGTTATCAACTCACACTTTGAACGGTGTAGTCTCAAGATAGTCATTGTATAATTCAATGGAGCTAGCGCTGTCCAATTTAAACTCTTTGAACATAATTGAAGCTCTACGACCTTTTCCTACGCTAATAATGAAAGTGCAAGGATCTATTGATGTTCTAGGAATAGAATGTACCTGAACCGTTCTATTTAGTTATTATATGATTAGATTCTTACCGTTCCATTATCAGTAAAGTAAATTGGTTTAGCACAACTGGTGTAAGAAGCGTTCGTGTGTACAGGTGGGATTGTTGGAGCAGGAGGAGCGCAAGGGTATGCATTTGGAGCTGTAATATGATTACTGTTAAAATACAAATTTGATATTAGTGCTACCAGTTTTGCAAACAGTAAGCATAGGTTTGTCGCAGAATGTGTTCATCCACTGTCCTTTCTGAGCAACACCGTTGGTGAGAGCAATACCAACACAATTTCCCAGCTCAGTATCAGAGTGAGCTATAAGAAATTGATTTATTCAAAAATAAGGAACCAATTTACCAAAATTGGAATAACTCATACGACCACAGCAGTTCTGCCCGCAGGGATTACAATATACACCGTTTTCATACTTAGGTCCGATACGAGCAAACAAATTCCCACCAGAACTGGCTTGTGCTAATTGTGTGACATAGTTGTTTTCCTATAAGCATTTATATTTGATATATCGGAGAACTTTAACTTTACTCACATCGTCAGAGAAGATGCTTGTAATATGTCCACAGTTCAAATTACAATCGTATTCGGCATCAGCATATGATAAGATGTCCATAGAAACCTTATAACAGTAACCGTTGAATGAAGAATAACCAGGTGGACAAGTTAAAGTTGTTTGGGTAGGCGAATCTGATATATAGAGGATACATCAAAGGAATCGTGTATCCAACATACTTTTTTCTGATTTCTGGCAAGCGTATCCGAATTGGAGACCATCACAATCTAAGTTGTACCATTTACCAGTGTTAATTCCATTCAAAGACATATAAGTGCAAAGTCCTTTGTTCACGTCCGGATATCCTAATGAAACACTCAGATTCAAACTATCCGGATAGAACTTGCCAGGATAGAAGTTGTTGTAAGAGCTAGTGGTCAATTGAGTTCCATCTTCATAGTAACAGGTAGTTATATCATGACCTCTGCAGTTAATCCCAATCCATATAACGTTTGTTGTATATGGTTGTGAGTACATAAGTGTTTCTGTCTGCAGAGCTTAGTATTCATTATTTTCAAAAACTGATTCGCTTACAAAAGCATTTTGGATCATCACCAGTGAACCTCCCAAGGACTCACATGATTCTGAAGCTGTGGGTTCCACCGTTAAGTTTGCGAATATCTGAAAGTGGAGTTTGATATATATAGAAACTTAACTTCTCTTACCTTATAGCACATTCCATCTCCATCACCAAACCATCCAGAAGGACAATCAGCCACTATAAAATGTTGAGCTTACTTTCAATTCAATTAGATTAGGTTACCTGCCAGGCCTAACAGAGAAAGAAAGATCAGTACGCTCTTCATATTTCCGAACTCAACGTACAAACGTTTCCTTTTAAACCGTCCGTTTATCAATACGATATCATCAAATCAAAGTGCTGATTAGGCTGATAAAGCTAGCCAACTTCTACTCTCCAAGAAACGGAAGCGTTGGCGTGAAATCGAGATAGCTATGATTACGTAAAATAAACCGTTTATCTTAAACCTAGCAAAGCGTTGAATTTTAATGATTGTGAGTATATCCGAACCATTTTTATCCAATTCAAACCGTCTTCGTTTTTCAATACTTTTACTTCTCTGTATCCATTCTGATTTTTCAATCTGACGTCATATCAGAAAGTGTTTGCTCTGTTACTCATCATGATAGCACAGTTTCAAAAAATGATAATCAGAGAAATAGGTGTGTTTTCTCCGATTATTATCTTTATCAACTTGATTCATGACTCAAAAAGCTGCTTAGAAAGGAAAAATCATCGAACTAGTCGATGACACATCGCGTGGAGACGTTGAATGCAACCGTCTATTCGAACAACCAATTTTAAAAAGATTATTCTGATTAGCTACACGTGGGTTTTCCAACGTGGAAACTGAGTTCTGATCTTTGTCATCAATTAGCAACAATTGTATGAGAGCCTAATATTTATTCCCAAATACAACATTAATTGCAATAAATATTTACAAACATTAAAGTTAGAATAATATTAAATTAGGATGATGAGGGATAACAGAGGGATCCAGGTCCGCATGTGAATTTGCTTGGACATGACCTATCTTCAGCACAAGCTTCCAACTGAAATAATATTGATAGTTTAAATTGGTTAGTATCTACTCACCTTCAATCCTTGGTATCCATTTTGGGCGCAGCAGTTTCCATTTTGTGTGCACGTATATCCAACAGCACAATCGGTGTTTACATTACATTTTCCTAATGAAACGAAGCATCAAACTGTACTGATCTTCACGAACCTCCACTAGCTCCGACTTGGCAATTGCAGCAAAGGTTTCCAGATACACAATGAAGTCCATTTGCGCACTGTCCGTTCATGCAATAAGCGGTGGCGAGTTCAGTACCACCACAGGTAGGACCTAAAAGGGCATTTGTTGGGGGGGAAAAGTCACTTTCATGTGTCAGAAGTGTGTGAATTATTAGAAAAGTTAGTTTGTAAAACTATTTATTATCTATTAGTCATGTATGTATAGATAAATATGATTGTTAGTAGCTTAAGCTGATTTTTTACCTCTTGCAGCGAGTCTACTGAATTTAGCGTCATAAGGGTTGTATGTTCCTTGTCCACCAAGAGCTCCGTTTGTAGATGGGTCGTATGGGTTGTAAGTTCCTTGATTACCTCCATTACCCATGTTGGTGTTAACTCCATTGTTAAAGTTATTGACGGCGTATGGGTTGTATCCATTTTGGAAACCGTTGGTAGAGAATGGCATGGCACCCATATTGTTTGAGAAAGTGTTATAAGGATTGTACAATCCATTTGAAACGCTGACAACATTCATTCCGTTGTTTTGAGGTCCATAGAAAGTTCTTGAGTTAGAAGAACAACATGAAGAAGCACATGGACTGTACTGGTTTGACCCGACAGCATAAGCAACATATTGTCTTGAAAGCTCATATTACAAAGGAAAAAGGATTTTTTAATACCCATTGATATACTGTCCGTTGTAAGAGTTACAGTTCAGGTTGTTGCATCCGCTGTTACAGTAGCTGTTTGAGTTATAGAATGATGATGGAATGATGTTATATCCGTAGTTACAGTTGCTACCACCACAGTTAGAGACAGAGTTTGAACAAGCTGGAAAGAAAAATAATGCAGGGGGGAACTATAATATTATTTAGTTACGGTATTGTGAGACGTAATTGTTTGGATTGGATCCACACACGTAATAAACTCCTAGTTGTCGTTTTGATCTCGAAGTTTCAATGTCTTTGGCAGCAGCCAAGCCAACAAAGGCGATAACACAGAACGTAGGTAAGAACATATTCTACAATCAAAGAAACTAAATGGTCTGAGATAAACTAAGAGAAGGATGGAATATACTGATTGATGAAAGCCAGCCGATGGTTCAGTGCCTTTCTAGCTCCTTATATATCCTGAGCATGTCTCACAGACAAAATAAACATTCTATTCTTCAAGAGTTGCTCTTCATGTCTGATTCAGGAAATGTCATGAGAAAAAAGACTAGAATCATAGACATTTACTTTGAGAGACGATGCATTTCTCACCTCAATTTCATCTTAAGGAAAAGCTCCCACACCTCAATAAAAAAAGTTATGCTGCTAACCGGATTGATGGTCAATTTTGTGTAAACAAAGTACCGTTGGGACATTCGGCCCTTGAGCTTATTATCTCCGCACAGTGTCTCGAACTCTATATCATGACTGCGCCCTTCCGCCAAATCCATATTTCAAAACTCAAAAGCATTGGCTGTTAGCCTGTTATCTCTCAAATTTCTAGAGATAATCTCAAAGTTTAAGTGCCGCAGATGCTTTTTCTTATAATTTGAACTCTTCTTCCCATTTCGCTATCTCTAGGAATAGGCATATTTGCATAACGGATGTTGTTGAAACCGGATGACTATAACTGATGATTATGTCAGATTATCAGGAGCTTATCTTGCTCATACGACGGAGGGGGTGCGAAAGGATTTCATATTTTTGAATTCCCACACCTACTTGGAAGGAAAGGCAAACAGTTTTAGAAATGTGACAGGTTGTCTATTATTCTGGTCATATCCTGATAATGTAAAAATTATTTCTTATTTGCTCTTAACAGTTTCATATCGTCTTGCACAGCCCTTCTTTACGATGTGTCTATGATGCGAGTTCAATTAGATAGAAATTATCTTAATGATAAAATGCGATCGAAAATCGTTTCATGTTATTAGTTTGGTTTGATTAGCCTGTCTACCAACACATCATTTTTTCTAATTTTAAACTTTTATAGCCGGTTGTAGCAGGAGTATGACGAAAAACAAATTTGGTGCTACACGTAGTGCGATGGCCGAGTGGTTAAGGCGTTGGACTTAAGTTCCAATGGAAGTATTTCCGCGTGGGTTCGAACCCCACTCGCACTAAATATTTTTTCCTTTTTGCAAATAGTTAGCTATTAGTTAATCAATTTATTTATGCGATAAACAAACCAATATTTAGTTAATAATGAATATACAAGATAATTTGATGAAGAAACTGTACAACATGACTAGAGCTTTCAGCTATGGGGAGAATACAGTGTAAACGAATGAATGAATGCATCAAAACTATAATATTTTTCCAAAAGGTCGTGATAATCGAAAGGACCTGTAAAAATAACTGTACACGTGACTAGATTGAACATCAGCAAATGGAATATAAGTAGTGGTTAGCAGGTAAGTAGATAATTTACAACATGGAATGTAATGTATGTTGAGACTGAAATGCAGATTGCGGGAGATACAATGGTATAAAGATATATACAGATTTAAAGCTCAATCCAAAGCTTGTTTGGTCATGGTGAGATACGGCATAGCTAAGAAACTCTCCAAACTATGAAAACTAAGGTTAATTAATGAAGTTCCAAGTTTAGATTGGAAAGGTTTTGCATAACACTGGGAGTGAACAGTGATGACAAAGTACTCAGAGAAGTAGGTGATGTTGTAGATCCTAAGCAGCTGGACAAGTGAGCTTTATGTTGTTTTTTTGTCGAAAAGCTTTGTAAGCAGGAGTGACATCTGATAGATTCAGGAACATCACGTGGACGATGCCAGCGCCTGTGCGATGCCAAGTTAGCAGGACAGGAGAATGTCTGAAAAGAAGAGCATTACAATATTCGTTTTTTGTATTTTGTTTTCTGTTTAATTATTAAAGAAAATTAATTTATAGTGTACAATCAGAGACTTCCGGACTCCTGCCGTCTTATTGACCCGATACAGGGTCAATCCGCAGCATGATGCGACTGAAAACAGCTGTCGCATGTGCTTGAAGCACTATTTGCACATGAGTCTTCCTTTAATCCGTCTAATCTCATACTAACTGAGAGGCAAGAAGTAGTATAATTGAGAATATCTTCTCTTCTCTATGCTAACTTTTTGTGAGATCAAAAAGTGAGCCACAGATTTATGTATTTGTACAAACATGGCATGTTCTCGCGCGTCTAAGCCTTCTTACAGAATCGCCGACAAACTTCGGCTTGTAAGAAAGCTTCCTGTTTGCTTGACAGTCAGATATGCTCATTCAATAGCTGGCAGACAGACACCTGCTGAGATATGCGCCTTTCTTTGATCTGGACGGTAGTCGGAAAGTCAATATAAGGAAAGGTTGAACGATCGTCAAAATCAATGTTTTTCCTGTTTACTTGCAACGTCACTACTTGTTCATGAAACAATTGAGAAGATTGAAAAACTCACTTTGTCACATTCTGGGCATTTATATTCTTCGTGTGAAATTCGTGGACAACGATGTTGAGCCAATTTGAAGACGTCTTCATATTTTACCTGAACAATATGCATAAGCAAAAGGCCTATACAGAAAGCGAACAAACCTTGCAAAGGCAACAAATAGAATCACCAATGACATTCTCTATTTCTGCTATTTTCCTTTTTGATTCTATTGAAACTTCTACGTAAGCTGCAGTTTCGTCTAGACTGTCTGCTTCCTTTTGAAGTTCTTCCGGAGGTGGCAAGCATGATTCTTCCTAAAAATGAATAAATATTGTCAACAAATCTCAAATAATAAATGTTTATAATTGTCTTTGACAGTTTTTAATTAGCTTCATGCTTTTGGGGTCAAATCCAAAACAAAACGCTGTGTCTAATTAATTTTCTCTTTCGTCTTTTCCTGCCTGTCCTGTCGATTTATTCAATCTTTCAATCAGCTCTCATCGGCATTTGACTGTCAAAAGGAAAGCTTGAAAGCGAGATGAAGCTTAAGCGTCCATACATGTCTCACTCTCTCTTTCTCATCTGCACCCATAGTAGATATATTTAAGAGGGGGAAATCAGACAGATGTTCGTTTGTCAGTTTTCAACAGCCTCAATGCTAACAACCGAATATCTATGGAAGGAGTCTTTTCACTAACGCCTGCCTATTAGACGATATGTCCAGCAGTTTTGGGCAGACGCTCCGTTTGTCGGCTTGTTAAGAAGCCAAAAAAGGACAGACGATGAAGGCAGTTAGGTTAAGCTGAGCATGCGGTGTCTGCAGAAGCAGAAGCTGAGATTTAGGGTGTCTTGAGAACGACAGATGATGCTTAATTATTGTTTCTTAGTCTTTTGAAAGCGTTGACAAGCTAATTGATGATACTCGCAAAAGGATTGGAAATGAGTATAAAAAAAGCTTTGAAAGACTTGAGATAAAAGCTTTGATGTACTTAAAGGAGCCGTATGAGCCAATTACAGCTCATCATAAAGGCTTCGGATACATTAAAAGCTAACATTACTTTATAGGAAATAATTGTTTTTGACTATGTTCTACAGAAGTGAATCATTAAAGTACCTTAATGAACATCCCACTGACTGGAGAGCAAGTGACGGTATCCTCTTCAAGCTTTCGAAGTTTTGTTGGCTTCTTGGCTACAATTGGACGATCCATCATTGTTGGCGAATCTGTGGCTGATCGTTTGCGTGACGATGGAGTGATTGAGGGAACACTCGTGAATGGTGAGTTCAGATTTGTAGAGAATTGGGCTCTATTCATGTCGAGTGTTGGAACAGAAGCCAATGATTCGGTTGGTGACTGAAATGGCATAGGTAAATGACGATCATAATTGAATAACATACATTGATAAGCGGAAGTCCATTTTGTATCTGGCATAAAGCCAGGAACTGTTGCATGGGTTGCCAAAGCATCTGTAGTTGTGCAAGTTGTAATGAATAATCAACAGGTTTCATTGGTTCTGGCTTAATAATTGTTGATTCTTTCTGCAATAATAGGAATAAATTAGTAAAAATTGTGAATAATTTAATGAATTATGATGTTATTACCTTATAATCACAATCAGCGAATGTTCCCACATCAATGATATCGTCATGGGGAGACGTCGATGAACTCGATGAACTTCGACATGATGATGTTGGTGATGGTACAGTTGAGGACGAAAGAAGAAATGATTGAAGCCAAGTGTCAACTGACATTTTGAGAGTCCAAGTTTGTGTCTAAAGCAAGACGTCAAGATGGTTATATTGTACAGAAGAGCATAACAGTATACGAGCACATCATGATTAGGATCTATGAGAGCAAGTTCATAAAACGAGAGATCCAATTTGAAAATGTTAGATATATGAATAACCGAACGAATAAGGAAACAAACTTGCAAAAAAAATGTTCATATTAATATATTGAAAACGTTCATGAGTCAGCTGTTTGTGAATAATCTACAAATTGCAATTCTCCTCTACCTAAGAGACATCAATGGCTAACAGATCTCATTGTTCTTAGACTTCTATTGAGTTGAAACAAAAAAATTTATCATTGAATTTCAGATAGACAGATGTGATAGTTTGGAAATATTTGAATAGAGCAAAGGCTCATTTATCGCTTAATTATAGACTCATAATCATACTGATGCTTGCCCCAATCTCGCCCAAGAAACAGGACAGGTGTCTCTCATTACTTTAACCTAAAGGCCACACACGGTCACTGTAGGTCGTAGATATTCTATCACTTATGAAAACAATTATGTCTATATAGTTAATAAAGTAAAATACTGTACAAGGAACGTTTCAATAAATGAACATAGGAGAAAGAAAAAAAAATTTGTCTACCGATTAGACAGAACGGCCAATGAACTGACGGCTGCCTATAGCCTGACATGGGCGAGTAACAGCAGCTGCTGGTGTGCCACCTCTCGAATATGAGAAGAGGAAGAAGAAGAAGGCATGAAGGGTTGGCTGAAGGCGAGGGTGGAGAATGAGCACCATGACCATCTAGGGACAGATGTGTTCCCCGCCCCTTTAAGCTTTTTAGGAAAAAATAGGGAGATAGGACAGCAAAAGGTAAAGAAATGTAATAGAGAAACGAAGTTAGGATATGAATATCTGATTTGCAGATGTTGAAAAGAAGTAAGAAAATAAAAAAAAAGTATTATGTATGGAAATATTATTTATTAAATATATTTGTATTATCGTGAACAACCGCTCTGCACAACTGTTGAAGCTTTAAATGATTTTTGAATTCAATGAGCACGCACACGTCATTCATACGTGAAATAGAAATTAGAATATTCAGGTAAATATGCAAACGATTTGTTTATTTTAGACCGATTGGCTGTCTTTTTTCTTGAGTAAGCCAAACTACGTACATGATTATGAATATTTGATATCAAGAACACTAGCTGCACAATGTTCTTTATATATAACTGTTTTATAAGTAACATATAATTATATCATATAATTAACTTATAGTGAGTACTTAAAGACAATTATGAACAAAACAACTATTCTTCTGTAGATATCAGACACGTGCCAAGACAATACCTACGCGTGTCAAGAGAATCCAAAGAAATAAGGTGAATGTGAGTGTTACAAGCTGATTGAAAAGAGGTAAATGAGTATGGAAAATACAAAAATTACTGTGGTTGATTGAGAAAGAAGAGAAAAGAGATGTAATGGCAGAGTTGTGAAGTAGTTGTGATGAAGAAAAAATTGAAATAGAGAGAGTAAGAGAGAGAGAGAGAGAGGAAGAGTGAATGAGCGTGAAGCAAGGATAATAGTTTAATTCAATTTCATTCCTTTCACAGAAGAATGTCTCAAGAATCATTTTCACGATCGTTTATTGGATGAGAAAATCATCAGCTGTTTCTGTTTGAAAAATCTTTAAAATGTTTATAATGATCATGTTATTGAGTTAAGAGCAGATGAGAAATGAATATCCAATTAAGACAAGGAGATGCACAAGATCACTTAAGCTCATCATGATTTGCTCTTCAGAACCTTCTTCAACGAAAATCATCTGAAACGAATATTGTTTGTAACTGAATACTATTACAATAATCAGTTAGATATATCAAATAGTCTTTCTTTATTATAGTTAGAGCATGAGTTCATTAACTATATGCCCATTCCTTCATGGAAATTATACAAAATCATCTGTCCACATCTGTATCTCTCTAATTCCTCTCCATTTATTGCATACAATGCTCATTATCTGCTCGGATGAGTTACTGCTCATTTGCTTCTTATATATCGGGATTGACCCTATATGACCTTTTCGGTGGCAGCAGGACTCACCACCTGTCCATACCATCTGCCTTAGAACCATATTTGACTCGTGTGTTCATTCTGTTTCTCTCATACTTTCTCCATATTTTTCTATCTCTCACTCTCTCTATACCTACAGTCTTCATCTCTCTTAGACACACCTTCTCCCTCATAAAACTCTCTTGAATAGTTTTATAGTAAAAACATTCTTTCTTTTAATGTTCATCTAGTCGTCTTGTCATTTTTACCTCATTCATATGCTTTTTTCGGATCTCAATTGAAATGCGTGAAATTGCATGGTCAAACAATGAAAAAAAAACTGAAAACCATCAGCTGTCATGTTGTCTTTCAGTACTGACCAAATAGCCTATTTCTGTCTTTTCGCTTGTCAAATAACTCAAGCCTTCTGCCCTTTACTGTGCTTATCGTTTTTCACGGACCGTTGAGCAACGAAATTCGTCAACCGCTCCTAGCATCATTGGCAATCTGAATGAGAATTAGTTTTTCATGCTTATCTCACTTCAGCTTAATTACCATATAGCTCAAGAGCTTTAAGTACATTCTAAAACAGTTCTCTGAGAGAAGCTGTGGTTCAACTTGCAACAGCTTGCATATGGATACTTATTTTCCCTCACTCTTATCTGGAGTGCCTCATTCGGTCATTTTCTTCAAGGATATTATTAATATGTGAGAAATGAAACATGATGAAGTAAGTACTTTATTGTATAAAAGACAACTAGGAGAGGCTTTATTTTCGTTTACTGTAGACAGCTGGTCTCACCACGGAATCCATCCATCTGTTGTCTCGACAACGTGGTTAACAGGAGGTCATCTGAGGCCATGTTCTCGTATTCGTTTCATTCCAATCGTCACTTTATGATGTATGTCTACAGTCATGTACAATCACTCATCTGGTACATTGTATGAGACATAGTCGTTCACGGAATTATCTATTCTAGGTTACGAGCTTCAGATGGGCATTCTTGAGTACCGTTACCAATGAGACCTTCCGGAAATTTGGTGAGGCCGAAGCTTGTGCCACTTGGTGCGGCAAATACGGATGAAAAAAAAACTGACGGCAAACGTAACGAACATCTGGAGTTGAACGCGGATCCTAACAACGATATTGCGTAGAGACAGTTGCTGTGATGGTGAATTTAAGGGAAAATTACCAGTAAGGTTTTGAAAAACCCTAGGAGGTCATTCAGAGTTCAATGATCAAGCTCAGCAAGTCGGAGGGGGGAAAGCTGACTGACTGTAGTTTTCTATTCACAACAAGGAAGGAGGTGCTGAATACTGTAACGTTTGACGTGTCAAAAATATTTTTAATAAAAATTTATTTTGTTTGGAGTAAAAAAATATTTGAAAGAAAAGAATTGACGATATTTTGAAGGATTCGTTAAGCGGCTTTTCAGGTTATGTGTCAAAATGACAATCCATAGATAGGAATTGGATTGGCCTCAGAGTTTTGATTGGCATATTTTGGCATTACCGTATGTTGTATTAGCCGTGTTTCACATTATTTATTCATTATTTGTGTGTCATGCAGCTTTTTCCTTTCGGACATCTATCGAAGACAGAAATGGAAAAAAACATAGTGAAAGGTGTTTCACGTAAAAAGCCATAAGGGAATGAGAGGAAGGTGAACAGAGGGGGGGGGGGGGTTTGAGGAAGAAAGCCTTTAATGAAAGGTAAACATGATCGGTGACAGAAGCAGCGACTTGTTAAGGCTTCATAGCAGTTGGCCTTTCTGTGAACATGTGGACAATTTATAATTTTAACATGACCGGTATTCAGAATTGTTCATAACCATTTATGTATGTATCCATAGAATGCAAGAGTGGATGACAGAGAGAGAGAAAGAAAGAGCATAGTAATGAAAAATGAGATATTTCTGACATATTGCCCACAATTATGATATACGATACCATCTGGACAAAAATCGTGACAAACGAATGTACAGGAACTGACAAAATTATTTGTTTTATCTATCAACAACATACACACCCACATACACAAACGAATAAATAACAACAACAACAACTGCATTCATTATTATCGATTAGAGATGTCTGAGACATAGATGACTTTGAAGAGTTTTTGAATAGATCTTATGGAAAGCTAATTAAAGATGATTTAATTGGCTTTTCACGATTCAGATTCATAACATCTCAATAAGCTTAGGTAGAGATTAGAAAATGCTTTTGACATCTCATGACCTTGATGATTGTTTACTTGTTGTCAATTATGACATTTGAAGCTTATTCATCCGAGTCAAATGAATTTTGCTATCTTTTCAAGTCAGTCAGATGTACTTGTTGATCATCAGCTGCCTCATTCTCTATACTTCAACGCTTTTATTCTAACATTCAACGAGTAATAATTCTTCTTTCTAATCCTCTTTCCATGCCTTTTAAGGCCGTTCATACAGAAAGAGCTACACAACAAGAGATATGTTGAAGATGTGTGGACGTCTGACAGTCTTCTAGGGCAGCTGCATTTTCTACTTAAATTGAAAAAGGAATGAGCATCTTTAACGAAGAATTCTCACATATAGCTCTTCATCTTCCGTCTGACGACACATCTTGAACATCAAAATGTTTTGAAATTCATTTTTCAAAAGTTTCTAGTTTGAAAAATATTTTTTTTTGTTCATCGACGTAGCAATGCTCAGGAGAATATGTGGGATCTATATTTACATTCACCATCTCATTTTAATGAACTAATTGTCATCATAAAAGGTCACAGGCAGATGTTTTGTGGGTACAACAGCTATTTTCATGCTCCTAAACGTTTCATCTACAAACACGCAAAGATATAACGAGCAGATGTATTCAAGACTTGTAATTTTGATGAACAAACTCTAAATCTCATATTGAGCTTCCTGCGACGATTGCACACGTTGATGAAAGCGGACTGTGTGGCTCATTCAGAGTATGATGAGGACAAAATACATTTTGTCAGAAAAAAAAAGCTGGAGAACGTTCATGAAAACATGTTTCTGCTTCTATGCATGTTCCAATGTAACAATGGGAAGTTTGAAAAAAATGAAACTGATGAGAAAATAAGCTTTAGTCCAAAGAATTGGCCATCCCACAACATTCATGGCAACTTGAAGCTGCAGAGGAAATCACCAACATCATTCTGGACATCTCTGGCGGATGATATCATTCTTAACATTCACAGAAGGTTTTGTGGGCACATTTAAAGGACGCCTATCGTACACTGTAGTCATACAAGAAGTGCCTCTGGCCTTGCCGAAAGCTGAAAATCAGTCGTATCATTCCATATTCTACGCAAGTTCGTTTCATTCGAAAGGATGTTTTTCAGAATACACGTTAGTGAAGTTGATTGTATTTCAAAAATTTATATTCAGTCGTTTTTCTTTTCAATTAAATTGAAATTCAATGAAATAGGTGAGGAAATGACGCTTCAAGGGTTTTCCTTTCTCCTTATCATTGCAAAAAAATTAATTATTATTTTTAGCTTTTGCCTGATATCTTAATGAAATAATTTTTCCGACTTCTATCTTCTTCAGATTTCGAAGCTTCTCAATGATCATCAAACTGTTTTCAACAATGAAATGTCTGCAGCCATCCCACCTCAATCGCAGATCAGACATGCACGTGTCTAGTTTTAAAATTGTTATAATCATGTAACATTTAACAAAATATTATAAAAATGAGAATGACGCTATATGAAAGATGGTTGGTAGTTATGGAAATGAGATCTGCGTTGATAAATTAATTTCTGGCGCAGATCTCGCACTCAAATGCAACCGAACTTTAAAGTGAACAATAAATAGGATTGAAAACGTTTACATGAACACGTGAAACGTGGAGAAGAACTAATTAGCATAGAGATCATATGCAGTCATATTTATAATTTGGAAAAATCTGAAATTTATCTCCAATTATGTATTGTTGGAGATTAATCAGATCATTGAGTAGAAGAAATATAATCATTTTTGCTTTGTGGTGCTTTCATCGTTTCTTTTTATTTTTTAAAAACAGTTTTTAAAGTTAATAAAAAAAATTATTGTTCTGTACAGTATTTACGTGATTGCTTTCATTGTCAAGACAGGTCCATTCAGAAATAGAGGGAGAGTGAGAGAAGGAAAAAAGGAAGAGGTAGAAGAGAAAGAGAAAGAGGGCGATATGGAGGGGAGGAGTAGATCAGATAGTGCTTGAAATACAAAAAAAGTTAAAATAGATCTGAAAGTGTAAGTGAAACACTTTCATATTATTCTTTAAAAGGTACAGTTGAATACACCTGCCGTGCTTGACTGTTTTCAAATATATTTCTTATTTTTCTTAAATTTCTTTGAATTGTTTAAGAAAGTTCGGACTGTGTGAAAAGCATCGGTGAGAGAGTGGGAGTTGGATGAAAAAAAAACTTCTTTTTTCACATTGCTTCCGTTTCATGGGTGTGTCAAAGAGATTTCCTTAACATTGTTTTGTGGGTGGAGTTTATGAATATCAAATCGACCTCTTGTACCTGGCTTCTTCGGAGCAGTTTTATATTCAAACCGCCTGTCGACAACGTCGGCGATACCGAACGACAATGAGGATGCCGACGTATAAGCTCATACTTTGTCTTCTTTCATTCATTGCCTTTTCATGCAGCCGAAGTACGTTGAGCTGTTCATGTTATTCATTCATCCAATCCCATTTAAGGATTTTTTTTCTTTTCTTCATCAAACTATTCATAATTTATCTGCATTGTCATACAAATAGTCAAAGTTGAGCCATTTCCATATTTATATTTTCAATTATTTCGTCACGTGCCTCTAAAGGAAATTCCATTCTCAAACTCTTAGATTCAGAAATAAGGAGACAACAATCTCAAAATTTTTCTCTTCAGTTTCATCTACCGCTAATGATGTCGTAGTGATATGATTTCATTCCCTCATGCCTCTCTTGCTTCCTCATCTTCATGCTCATTTCTAATCTTCTATTTACGTCATGATATTCTAATTATACAAAATATATTTTTTTATATATCTGTTTATTATGTCACATTTGAGTTCATAGATGATGATGTATCATTTGATCTGATTGTAGATGTTGACGGATATTGGATTTCTGAGTGGCTTAGTATATGGACTCATATCAATGGCAGCTTATACATTTCTCCTAATTGTAATTATACGTAACTGGAAAGAATTCAAAAATTCTTTTTATGTCCTTTATATCGTCTCATCATTTCTGGTACAGTTTTCATATTCATTATACTTAATGAGACATGCTGATTTGTTCAAATATTTTTTTAAAATTAAATTTATTACAGAACATGGGCCATTACTTTAATCAACTGTTCATCTATAAGATGCCTCAATATACATGTTTCGGATGTGTCATGTCTCATTTTTATAAAATGCAAACCTTCTTTGGAATGGCTTTCTTTCATTTCCTCTATACTCATCTTATACTTGTACAATACAATATGATCTTACTAACATCTCTTAATCGTTTCACAATGATCTTTTTTCCGTTCTCTGTCGAACGAGTAAGTTTCTCTTTCTCTTCTTCATACCCCTCCTCTTTGCTTTCCTATCTATCTATCATTTCATTTATCCACTAACATCGTTCATTAACTCTTTGTTGCTTTCTATAGATTTGGTCGACGCAATTCACAACCAAATGCATCATTCTGGCCATTATCTTGCCCGTCACAGCAGATTACACCTTGATTGGAGGAACTTCGAAATTCATTTATCAAATCAATTTGGATAATTTCGATCCTCGATCATCAGCTGTAAGTTATCTTCATAATTTAACAACGAAAAATGGCTGAAAATGATTGAATTAATTTCAATCACGGACTTCCTGTTTTGGTTGCGATTTGGCAACATTCGCTTCCCACTAGATGAGAATGAGGTTGGAGCGACAGGAGAGAAAAGAGAGCTCAATACATGACATACACACACAGCCGTTCCCAATAGTTCAAAATTACTTTTAAGAAATGATTAACATATCATAAGCATTCTCTCAGTATATGGTAATGGCTCGGAAGTCGTCGAAAAACATGTTTTCTTGACCGTTATCAAAGATTTTTTTCTCATATCACCAAGTAGTAGTGAAAGAAATTGTGTTGCCAAATATTTTGGATAAATTTAAAAATTGGAAAAGCATAAGATACATTCCCATAAGTTCTTATATTGAATGATTACTCATTATTTATTATTTCTTATTATTAATAATAATATTTTTCTTTTTTTCAGTATGAAAATAGTCTTTTTACTCGGTGTGCCATTTACATGGCCGTCATTACATTGGTTGCTCTCATCATCAATGTAGCATCTGTTACTCGTTTGGTTATGGTAAGTGCACACACATCATACATGCATATGATCATCTTCATAACTGTTTCAGTATAAATCTAATGTAACCAAGAAGTCTGAAGTCAATTTGCTTATAATGACATTGTGCAACTTCTTTTTCCAACTATTACTTACAACCTTAGTGGTCAGTTCACATTGATAAAGCTTTTCAGTCTACTGATACTTCCAGGTGATGGGTAACTTCGCTGATGATCACAACGATCGTCACAGCATCATCAGTGTGCTTTACGTGGAACTAGAGCCATATCTAACAGATTGTTTATCCTTATTATCACCCTTCTTCTTATACTTATCAAGCTCCAAGCTAAGACATTTCATCAATCAGAACATCAAGCCGAATACCTTCTCGCTTCCATCCTATCATACGAAGTGACGTGAAACGTTTTCCCCCTTTTTGACATGAAGTTGTTCGGAAATGAATCGAAAGCGATATATGAGTTGCAAACAAATCGTTCTAACAGAGTTTTATATTCATTTTTTCTTTATTAATTCGAGAACCTAATAAGTATTTCAAACGATTACGGCTCACATCGAGATCATGTTTTACGGTTTTTATATATTATTCTAATAATAAAAACATCAAGAGAGTTGTGTTTGAAATGTTCCAAGGAATGTCTTCTCAGCAACAATCTCCAAGTGGAAAGTTCAGAAAATGTTACAAATACTGAGAATATTTCATCAATTGCTTCTAAGAACATGCAGTACGAGGAAACAACACAAGGCAAAGACCAAAAACAATCATTACTGTGAGATATGAATAAGTTTCTTTGTAAGATCAAATGAGAGATTATATTTAATCCGTTGAGTCAACACAAATCCAATGGGGGCTGTAGAATCGAACTGTGATCGACAATATGCTCAATAAAAAGCATCGTTATCAGCATCGTCAAAGAACGCAAAGCCATCCGTATCTGAAGTTTTGTTTTTTTCCCAAAAAATCGTACTTCAATCTATCTATCTCTCTATCTCTGCTAAATCTCAATTTTAACAGCAAAAAATGATTCGCTGGTGCAAATTTGCTTTTTTTTGTTTTCCCATTAACAGCTTACCAGCTCGAGTGCCGTGATCAATCAAATCAAAGTCCAGTTCAGGATCGAAAGCTGTACTGGTTCTCTGCTTTATGTTGGCTTCATCCGTGATTATGTGAGTGTCATTAATGGCTCCTTTCGCATCTCCCGGCATGGCATTTACATTCACCTGAACACGATGAAAGAAACCAAAAAAATGTTTTCAAAGTCAAAACACACGTTCATCATCATGCCCATACGAGCAAAGGCTCCTAATTGAGCCATTCCGAGTCCGAGTCCTTTGTTGATACTAATCTTTTGTGCCATCTATAGTTAAATGATTAATTCAATAGAAATTTTTTTTCTTTTTCAGTCCAATCTTGCAAAGATGAACACCAACGTACTTGCATCATTTTCGTTGCTACCATTTTGGCTTTTCCCATATGACGTCCCATATAATGGATGTGATGAATGATATTTGCAGCTACGACATCAACTGCAACGCATCTTCATTACAGTACACAATGAATAATTTAACCTGAGATAGTAACCAGGGTAACACCAATGACAATGAACAGAATCAAATAAATGACGGGAACAGGTGGGCTTTAATACAGATATCACTTGATTAGCATGTTGTATTGTATAACTACACATACCCTATATCACCATAGCCAACAGTGAGAATTGTAATGGAACAGAAGTATATGCTATCAAAGACAGTCATATCTGAGAGCAGATGTATAATCAATCCACCAAATATGGGATAGAGGAATATGATTAATAACAGTGTTACCATAAATAGAAACATTTTCTTGAAATATGCTAATTTGTAGTCTTTTGACTCCATGGTATGCTCACCTCATGAAAACAACGAAATGCTGCATCACAACAGAACTTACCAATATCTGACATGGTTACTAATGCTAATGGGATTCCTATTATAGCATAAAGGCAAAGAAAAAATCTGCCTGAGGTTGTTAACGGTGTTATCAATCCAAAACCTTAAAAAGCAATGAAATGTTCATCTTTCATGAATAATTTATAAGCTTATTTGTGAAAGCACAAAGAAGCATTTGTTAGATCAACCGATCTGCACGTCACGAACAACTAAAATGTGCTTTTTTCACGTATTGCACGTGGGATATTCACGTGGTGTTTGATTGGCTGTTGTAAACAACGTGCTGATAACACTGTTTCAAAAATGCAAATTTGTATGCTTTTCGTCTATTTGTTTATTTATAGTAAATGAGGAAGCATAAGTCTATTGTGTATCATTTCAATACTGTTAACCATCAAGTACATGCATCCCTCACCTACAGGTATGATTGTTGTACTTGTAAAGAGAATAGCTGAATCCATTGTCCATAAATCAATGTAATCTCCTTTGTTATAGAAAATGGAATCAAAATAGTTAAGTGATATCTTGAAAAACAAAATAATTTTTTTTCGAACATAAAACAGCCCATTCACATTCAACTTACTGGATTATCAAACAAACTGAACAAAACTTTGGTATATTCATCTGTTCGCAAATACAACGATGAGTTTAGCTGATGATCATCATCTGTAAAGCTTTTTGTTTATTTTTAACAAAAAAAAAAGAAACAAAAGAAGAAGAAGAAAACTAATTGTAATATGAAACACAAAGTATTGACCTTTGCTGGCTTGATCCATTAGCTGCTCCAAATCGTTTATAAAGCCCTCCATGAGTTTCTTGTATCGTTTGTCAGTCTGTTTCCTTACTATCTCCTAATAAACATTAAGTTACATGTGCTGTTAACATTTTTGAAAACAGTTGATACTTCATATGGATATTCAAGTGATTGAAAGACAATTGCTCCAACGTATGCGTATGCTATGCATATCATGCACAGTCCAAAGTGTAATCCTGTTGCTCGAAATAGCTGTCAAATGTCAAAAATAATTTGATTGAACAAAAATATAAGAAATATATTTCTCTTTTTTCCAACTTTTCTCATTCTTTGCATGAAAGTAGGCTTCTTGACAAGAGGCTGACCGGCCATAATCGCCGCTAATCCACCTGCTTTCCGAGACATATTTTGATTCTCTTTTTTTGTTAAAACTAAATAAGGAAAAATAAGATGAGAAGATTGAAGAAAGCAAGCGTATAAAGAAGAGTAAAAGACATTTTTGACGAAAGTTTTCTTTTTTTCTTCACTAGACGAGCAGAGTGGAGAGGATAGAACATGCATTTAAGATTAGAACTATCCGTTGATATTCATGTGATGACATCAAGTGATGAGCAGCAATGCTCTGCTTTCATCCAGAAAACTGACGGTTACCACAAAGACAATACACATGAGCAGTTCCCTGATTTTTCATGTCTTAGAACAAAAGAAACAAACAAAATTACAGTTTTTGGTCGTAATTCACAGAAATCTTTCATTTTTTTGATCGAACAGATAAACCTGTAAAGATATAAATCTCTCACAATATCTGTTCCTCAATTTCAGAATAGAGAGAGAGAGAGAAAAAAATATATTTTGTCTCTTCTGTTAGTCTCTCACGTGTTTTTTTCACGTCAATTTCATTCAGTGCCTGTACATGGTTGAGTGATCGGTTGACTTTTTTTTTCAAATAGCCGTTCGTCCTTCATCGCTAACCCCTCTTTTGACTTTTTGTCATGAAAATACAAACAAAACGTTTTGTTTGTTTTTTAATTTTTTAAAGAAAAAAACCTTTTTTTTTACTTCCTTTCTTCTGATTTCCGTTAGAGAATTGATTGCATGCAGTGTTTTACGAGAGAGGTGGATAATAAAAATATTTCACTTTTATATGAATGTACATGTGTATTCCACTGATACAAGGTAGCAAAGTGGTCGAAACATAACACAAGCGGAAAAAATTTCTTTTTCCCCTGTTTTATCAGTCGAGCACATACAGTGAAACTTCAAAAATCTTTTTTCGGCTTCAGCCTGCCTTCATACCTGTAGCAGGAATGTGTTTTCAGTGAAAATATCACTATATCAATGTTAAATTGATAAAAAAGAATGAAATATTCAAAGTATGCTCATCTAATAATAGAATAGAAGTGTGTGAAAATTAAAATGATGTAGTTCATCTTAGAGACAAGTAGGTGTCGGTCCAAATTTAATTTTTGTCCATGAAAAAGAGAGTCCAAAGCTGAAACTTGCACATTGACTGATAATATATAATAGAGTCGTCTTGAACTGATATGACTTGTCCTCATAGCTACTATCCTTTAAGGAAAATGCTTCAACATCTGATATTGTTGTCCTCGCTTGTCCTCATCTCCTATCAATATGCTACAGTTGAACAAGTTCATCTTAGCTGGAATGGTAATCCTGGTGAGATGACAGTAACTTGGATTACTAAAAAACCATGTAAGTTTAAGTTTTAATTTTTTTTTCAAAATATTGTATAACTTTTTTTTTTTTTTTACAGTAGGTACTGGCATGTATCCGTATGTCAGATATGGTTCTGATCAAACACTCAGTCATCATGTACGGAACGCAACTACCACAAGTACGTTATTTTCTCTTGCCTCATTTCAATTTTCTCTCAAGAATGGAAAGATCACGGAGAATCTAAAGTTGTCCGATATACCTATAGAGCAACAATGGAGAAGTTGACTACTGGAACCCGTTATTGTAAACAGCTTTTTTCCAATTTTTCTGACTCAAAGTTTTATTTTTTTAGATTACGCTGTTGGATCTGATGAAAAATTCTCGAACATGTTCAACTTCATGCCAATTGATCAGAATAAGAATGTGAAAGCTGCGATTTTTGGCGATTTCTCAGTAGACTCTGGATATTCGATGGATTTATTAACCAATTCAACTCACGAAGGAGACTTCGATATCATTTTCCACATAGGCACGTGCACAATCAAAAATGAACTCCAAATGACGTGTATTATTTCAGGAGATCTGGCGTACAACCTGCAAGATAAGGAAGGGGCCACAGGAGATGATTTTATGAACGCTATTGAGAACATTGCTGCTTATGTTCCATACATGGTTATTGCCGGTAATCATGAATATGATCGTATTGGAGAGGATTTCAATCATTATAAACATCGTTTCACAATGCCTTCTAACGGCAAATTTGATGACAATCAATTTTGGAGGTAAAACAAAACTGATAATTCGCCTATCATCTCATATGATAAACTTTCAGTTTCAATATCGGAGATGTTCACTTTGTTGGTATCAGCACTGAATACTATGGGTACAAGATGTCTTCCGAAGCTCAAGCTCAGTATGAGTGGCTTCATAATGATTTGAAACTCAACTCTCATAAAGCATGGACTGTTCTTTTCATGCATCGGCCGATGTACTGTAGTAACAAAGAAAAAACTGGATGTGAATTTCACGAAAACCTCATGGTAAACTTGCTTAATTAGATTAGTGAATTGCAAATAACTACTTTCCAGACAAGAGTAGGTTCCCCAGGATATCCCGCTTTAGAGCCCCTCTTCAATGATGCTGGAGTAGATATGGTCTTTTGGGGTCATGAGCATACATACCAAAGAAACTATCCAGTTTACGAGTTAAAATCATTCGAGAAACAAGATGTCGATCATTTCCATAATGCCGCAACACCTGTTTATACATTAACAGGAGCAGCTGTAAGTTGACAAGATATTGCAATTTTCTTATGATATGCTCTTACAGGGATGTCACAGTCATCAGAAGCCTGTTGATGAAATTCAACAGAAATTTACAGCCGCCATGTTAGGGAACTACGGATTCTCGCTATTAAGTGTTAAAAACACAACTGAAATTCATACATATTTCGTGGATGCCAAAACAGATAAGCATCTGGATAAGTTCAAGCTTACTAAAACTTTAAACTATAAGCCAGGACAACATGTTCATTAATAAGTCATATTGTTCAATCATACTGTAAACGGGCATAATTAGTTATACGAAGTATAATTTATGTTTCTATTGTTTGTATAAAAAATATATATTCAATATATTATATAATTTCTTGATATTATTCATTTATACACGAGATCTCTGATGATGCCAATGCTTTCTAAGCTTTCTAACATGGCGATAACGACGGTGATATCCACCACAACCACTTGATTGTGCAGGTGGAGCATAGCTACATATGGAATGAATTATTGAAACAAACGGAGATAATACTTACCCATAGCTAGAGCCACCACATGAAGGATAATCTCTGAAATTAGCATAAACTGAATTTCGAGTATATTTGTATGTGTTTTGTAAGCCATTCAATTATTTCATTCACACTCGAGTGATTGCATTCTTATGACAGATTATGATATTTCACGCCAAGCATGTACCATTATGCCTGTGGACACTATACAGACTTTCTGATGAAATAGTCCTTTAGAGCAGCACAACCTATTCTACTGTACTTTTCCTTATTTCTGTGTCGTAGACTTCAGATAGTGAAAGACTGATATTCTACGCAATTGTTTCGTTGGCTGTCTCTATACTCATTGACATTCATACGTATTAATACAGTATCTTTTTGTTTTCAATCGAAAGCGATATGGCTTGGTGAGCAAAGAGTCGAATGAAAACCTATGCTAAACGAGAATCACAAGAGTAGTCAGGGATATGGAACGAGTTATCAAAAGTAAGTTGGAAAACTTATTAGTTCTTGAAGAAACCTTACGTACACGAAAGGGTTTCATAATTCATTTTCGTATTTTCGTTTTCACTTGAGCGGTTGTCTTTTCATGAAAAGATTAAAATGCTACAATAACCTATTTTAGGAAATAGTTTAGAATTCTGAAGTCGTTTACGTAAAATTACGCATGGGATATAAACTTTGCAGATAAGCATTATCAGGTTTTTTGGGGAATTTTTTAAACATTTTCAGAGTGAACTAACCCGCAGCCGCCGCCACACGAAGAAACCGGTTGTTGGCTGTAAAAGAAACAATCTTATTCATCCTACTATGCGAGTTTTCGATATTCTCTGTCTGACTTTCTTTATTTTTCCTTTTTCTTTTACTTTTTTTCTGCAAAACGTTCAAAAACTATGTGAAAGAGAGGTACCAGGAAGTTGAAAACGAACACAAAACTTACCAGCATGGTGGTGGAGGGGGAGGAGGAGGAGGAGGTGGTGGAAGAGGAGGAGGCTATAACTCTTATAATCTGACTGTTCAAATTTCAAAAGCTCACCTGGAACTGAGGTGAACATCCTAGTTGGCATGGAGATATTCCACATCCCGAATTACATCCAGATGAGAAGAATGAATAAGTTAATTGGCACAATAAGGAGAGAATGAGTAGCCTGTGGATCATTGTCCGTCTTATTGTGTTTCAGTGGCAAATCTGATGGGCTTTATAAGTTGGGTTGAAACATACATTTCTGGTCAGTTGGAACCGGATGTTATGGTTCTTTTGTGAAGTCCAGTTAGGGTAATGTCCTTGAAGAAAAGCTGGGCATCATCACATTTCTTTTTTTGAATTAAAAATTTCATCAAATTTTTGCATCATTACTGTATGATGTGATTCTATGAATATGATCATTAGAAGTTTAAAGATTCAAAGTTGATTGTATGCAGATAAGAGAGATGGGATGGGTTTTTTATTTTTCTTACTGATAAAACAAAAACTGATGTTTGACTCTGGAAATAATAATTGAAATGACAAAATGACATGTAGTCAGAACACTGAGAACATTCAAACGTATATGAGATGAGCGGGAAAAAGGTAAAACTTGCTGATGCTTCCATATAATCATAAGACAGTTGAAATTGCTTGAGGCTAGTTAATCAATCACGTTCAAAAAAAAACTCGATACAATCAAAATTTCGATGTAGTATAGCGAATGCGATAGAGAGGATTAGAGAAATAGAAGATATCTATGAGTCCACATAGTATTCGTCACTAAACCGTTTATTCAGTTCAATCCTTGAATACAAAATTCAGTTTTTATATGAGATAGATGAAAAAGAAAGTTAAGAATAATGAAAAAAGATAGGAGAGCTGAAAGGATATTTTATAGAGTTTTGAGACATTTGAGTATAAAAAACCTGTTAATACGTTAGCCATATTCGCTAGTATAAAAGGATTTGGTAAGTCTTCAGTAGCATCACCAATTCGTTTGGGCTCAATCTTAGGTAAAAGCCTCATTTCTTCTTATACTTCTTAACTTCTCAATTCCAGTCTTGCAACATGCAGAAATTCATTCTTTTCGCTGCTCTTCTCGGAGTTTCCTCTGCTTTCCTTCTCGGAGGAGGAGGTGGATGTGGATGTGCTCCACCAGCTGCCCCACCAAGCCCATGCGGATGCGGAGGGTAAGATATCTAACCAATTTATCTAAAAACAAGCTAATTATTACAGAGGACTTCCACCTCTCCAACTTCCACCCCTTGCCATGCCACCTCTCCCAAGCTTCGGAGGATGTGGATGTGCCCCACCAGCTGCCCCACCTAGCCCATGCGGATGCGGAGGAGGACTCCCACCAATCCAAGCTCCACCAAGCGGATACGTTGTTGCCCCACCACTCCAAGCTCCACCACTCCAAGCTCCAACCTACGCTTCCCCACCAGTTGGAGCTCCACCAGTCTACGCTGCCCCACCACCAGCTGGAGCTCCACCAACTGGATACGCCACCACCTATGGCCGCAAGTGAAAAGCTTAGATTGTCTCTCTTCACTTATTTCGTTTTGTCTTTCATACTGTTTGTATATTATGAAACTAAGTAAAAGCATTTCTCACTACAAACTGTTCAATAGTTGTGCAATCATTCATGCTTCAGTCAGAAGCTTATGATGAAGATTCTGATAGTTCTTCATTTTCAACCATTTCGGTGGATAGAGCGGTTGTGCTGAAAAAACATCTTCAACTGAAGACAAGTTTTAAAATTATCTTTTTGTTTCAAACTTTTTTCAAATGCGACTTGGGAATAGAGAAAAAAAAGTTGGATATATGGGTTAATTGAAAGAAACTTTAAAAAAAATATCTGATAAGAGCGTTATTGATAACCGTTCTTGTCGCAAGCAGTGGAATTCAACTAAAGATATATGAACCTGATATTTTTTATTTAAATTCTTAAAACTCTTGTTTCAGCTTCTGATCTGATGATTGATGTTCAATTGTTGATTAAGAAAGAAAACATTGGATTTAATGATATGTTTATGTCAATATATTTAGACAGAAGACAGAATCATTCGTGGTATCAAATATACAAATATCTTAGAACGCTAATGCAGAGTCAATTTACTTTCCTCCGAGAGCATATTGTCCTTGTCCGGCACCTCCGACTGGGGCGGCATATCCCTAGAAGTAAACTATTAAACACGATTTTGGTTATTGTATCTTACGGCTTGTGGGGCAGAGTAGACTGGGGCTCCTCCTCCGATTGGTTGAGCGTATCCTCCGACTTGTCCTCCTCCGATTGGGGCGGAAGCGTAAGCTGGGGCTGGGGCGGCATAAGATGGAGCTGGGGCAGCGTAAGCTGGGGCTCCTCCTCCGCATCCGCATGGAGATGGTGGTGGTGGTGGGGCTCCGCATCCGCATCCTCCTCCTCCGAGGTTGAAGGATGGAAGTTGGAGAGGTGGAAGAGCTGGGAGTCCTCCTCCGCATCCGCATGGTGGTGGTGGTGGTGGTGGACTGAAAGAATATTGAATTGAGATTTGAATGATTGAAAGAAGAAGTAATATTAGGGATTGCTCTTCTAGATTATAATTATTGAATAAATGAAATACTTACGCGCATCCACATCCACCTCCTCCTCCGAGAAGGAAAGCAGAAGATACTCCGAGGAGAGCAGCGAAGATAACAAGCTTTTGCATGATTAGTGAAAAGGAAGTGTTGATCAGTTGATGTTGATATCCGTTCAAAGCCTCCTATTTATACTCAAATTTCTGACGATTCATTGTCCTTGGCTTGTCCTCCGCCTCTTCACATTTTTGGCCTACGAAAGACGGGTTAATAGCAAGAAATATCATGAACTTTTAGGAGAGATCAAGATATAAAGCCCTGAAGAAAGAGAGTCCGCCCACTGAAAGCGAGAGATTTAACCCGTCTAGCAAATCTACTCATCGGTATCAAACATACGAGAGATTATTCAAAGGTATGAGAGACCAAATGAGAGCAAAAACAGATACTATCATGGCAATCTGATATCAATCTCCTTTATCTTTATGAAATTCTCTTTTTCTGTATATAAACGTTTATATAACGAATAATATCATTGAACATTTTGCAGAATACTCTTACAAAGTTACACAGAAGCTTTAGCTTTCTTGGTTTTTGAAGCAGTTTGCAAGCTGCCTTCGGCGAATTGTTCAAAGCACCATTTTCAATCAACGCTCTTTGTTCAGAATTCCCTAACAAATGAGTCCACCGTATCAAACTTGTGCACCATTTACGTGTTCACGTCAGAGACTATAATCTGAATATTCGATGATCCAATTAAATTGAGAGATAAATATTTTGCAAATGTATTTATCGTTTCGATACAGAAAGAAACATTCTTATACGATTCCTCAGATATAACTGACTATGTATAAATTCTATTTTACACTCTTTGGCAATCTTACACTATACGCTAGCATGATCTTATATGTATCTATGACGTTGAGATTACAAACGTTTTCTGTTTCATTGACAGTAAGCTTACATAAGATACTCGAGTTGTGATTGAGAACAGATTGAGTACTCTGCCGAGAAAAAAAAAAGAAAAGTTTCTATGGAATTCCACTGATACTGAACGTTCACCTTCGTCGGCCTGCATTTTGGACTTCCAAAAAAGTGCATTAAATGACGAACATCGCATGTGGAAGATGTTTTAAAAAAAGATTTTAAGTTTTGTATGAAGTTTTCTGATTGAATGTGATGCAAATGTTTCGAAACAATCCGAGATAATCTATATATTGATAGTATTGTGTTGCCAAAGATGACTCAGTAAGTCTACTCGAGATCAAATTGGCGTCATTACTGTATCTTCAGCAGTACTGTATATTCAACTATCATTTTTTGTTTGAAATGAAATTTGAATTAGAAGATCTATTTTCTTATCTTCTCATTTAATCCACTATCTTTGTAGTTCTCATTGAAAACGAAGCAAACTGGATCGGTGACCGGAAAACGGATAACATCGAAGGGAATTTTTCGTGGAAAAGGGCAACCTGTCTGAAACATTCAACCTGATTGGGTGTGGATTGCATTTCTGGTCGTCATTCATTGGAATTGTTCAGTTTCAAGATGTTCCCGCAGTTTGTCCGAATCCACACGTTTGCACTTTGAATTGTGTTAGAGAAAATCAATTTTTTAGATTTTTGTTATTTCTTAACTGATGATAATAACTCTGTGATTTTTGTACGTATCAAGCTAATCATATTTCATTGTTCGACGTATGTCAGAAGAGAATATATTAAAAGGGAAGCATTTATTCTAGTTCATCAGTCAATATACAAATAAGGTTTTCATCTTTTTTGTGAATGAACTTCACAACATCAACTGTTTACTTTCTTCCGGTAGCGTAAGAGTTTCCAGCTGGCTGAAATTATGAAGTGTTATTGAGAAATATTAATGGACATCATGATTACCTGTGGGGCAGCGTAGGAAGCTCCTTGAGCTGGGGCGGCGTATGAGGCTCCTTGAGCTGGTCCAGCTTGAGCGTATGAGGCTGGGGCTGGGGCGGCTTGAGCGTAAGAGGCTGGGGCAGCTTGAGCGTATGAAGCTGGGGCTTGAGCGTAAGAGTTAGATGGGGCAGCGATTGGGGCGTGAGCGTATCCAGACTGTAATGAGCAATTTTAATAATGAGTTGAGAGGAGATTGAAGTCAGAAAGTAGAATAGTAAAACTTACTCCTCCGCATCCTGATGGGGCTCCGCATCCGAGAGATGGGAATTGGAGTTGTGGGAGTTGGAGAGGTGGGAGAGCTGGGAGTCCTCCTCCGCATCCGCATGGTGGTGGTGGTGGTGGTGGACTGAAAATATGAGGGAATCAGTTAATGTATTTTTCAATGTTGGTGAAAATTTTGAAGTAAGATACTCACGCGCATCCGCATCCTCCTCCGAGGTTCAAGCTTGGGAGTTGGAGAGGTGGAAGAGCTGGGAGTCCTCCTCCGCATCCGCATGGTGGTGGTGGTGGTGGTGGACTGAAAGAATATCGAATTGAGAATTGAAAGATTATAAGTATAAAAAATAAGACTGAAATAGAAAGTATTGTAAAACTTACGCGCATCCACATCCACCTCCGAGGAGGAAGGCATTGGCGGAGACGAAAAGAGCGGAGAAGACGATGAAACGCTGCATTCTCTTCAGAGATAGAAGATGTGAATAGGAGAAATCACCAAGTTGGTACCTTTGCCGTCCAAATTCTGTCCTTTTATACCATTTTTCCAGCCATTGTCTGTGCCCTCGGGCGCTTAGGGGCGGGACCGGACAACCCTTCCACCGGTAGTGGGTGGAGTAAGAACATGTCAATCAGGCTCAGACTTGATAGATTAGCTACTTTGCACTTTGAATTTTGAAAATGATAACCCTAATTGTCAATGGGTATTGCAGAAAACTAAGTATTAATGAGCATATTGACGGAGGGAGTGCCGGAGCAACCGGACGAGCTTGTTCAAAGGCAGTGATTATCTCTCCGAACAGGAGAAGTTCCTTAGGATTGCGCAATATTGTACACAACCGTTCAGTCTTGTTTTGAAGATGAAATAACTTATACCTGTTTACAAGCTTCTGATGATTCACTTCTTTCACGTATAATGACGTGAAGCTCATGTTACGTTCAATTAGAATAACGCAAGCATTATGCAAATTCGGGTTCAGAAAGTTCGGTTTCAAAAATTGATTCCACGTGGAAAGCATAGTTTGTCTTTTTTAGGTGCTTTTTCATCCGACAGTCGTTTAAAAACTGGAAGAACACGAGATTCCGTGTTTAGAGCAAGAAAATGTTTTTTTTCATCTCATTTTCGACCACCAGAAGCGTTATAAATACAGAACTCATGTCTCATGTTCTCATCTGAACTATAAATCATAATTTTTATTCAGAAGAATTTCGGAAATTCTCTTTAAGATTCACAGAACGAGAATTGTCATCAGTGAAGCTTCTGAAAATTCCTATATTCCAGATTGTTTCACGTGCTTCTTAGAAGACGTCAAATGATTTTGTTTATGGAATTTCATCTACAGAATGTTGTAGCTTCATCATATGATGACGTAAACACAACCAAAAAAGGATTTTATCATCCGGTTCTAATCAATTACTCAGAGAACTTTCATTTCTATCTGCTTTAATCTCAATTAAGTTTCTTCTCTTCTCAATCATTACTCATTTAACATCAAAAATTTCATTGAAATATCATCTTTAAAGCCATTTCTGTCCTGATTTTTTCGTTGAATTCCTAACCACTTGCCAATCTACAGCAATGTATGGCATATTTCAAGAGCTATGTGAAGGTCGGGCAAAAAGAGTTTTGAAAGAATGCAGTTACGCGGATACGTGACGTAGTAAACTGATGTAAGCTGAGATAGGCAAATGACCTTAAGAGTGATGTATGAAAAGCCTTGACGACGTTATATTTCGTAATTCGTATTATTAAGAAGTGGACATATGCCGTAATGACGTCGAATGTGCTTGATCATACAACATACAGCAAGGAATTCTCATCCGAATACTGTTTTGATGCGTTTCAATGCTTTATTAGGATTGAAAAAATGATTTGTAAATGGAATGAGAGATTCCAGATTCTTCAAAAACTCCATTATAGTGCAGGATGCACTTTGGAAAGATAAATTCCATTTCAGACAGTCCTTATCCAGTCTACGTATTGTCCTTTCTCCTTATCGTTTCTTTTACACCTCCATAGACGATTTGAAAGGATGGATAAAGGAAGAAAGAAGGAAAAAGGATGACCACGGATTTTATATCTTCAATACGAGAAGACGAAATGAACAATTGAGAAAGAGAGTGAGAGAGATGCTTTCTATTCTAAATGGCAAGGAGAGATTAAACAGACACTACAGACCACAGAATTTAGTTTTTATGATCGTATCGTCTATTTGAACATACTTTCCATTTCGGAAGCATCGTTCTGGATAATTTTTTCATTTGAATCAAGCATTTCAAATAGATTTACGGTTCATCACAGGTATTCATTAGATTTTTATAATTTTATATCGAAAGAAGGACATCGTCATATCCGGAATACTTTGAAAAATTCATTTTTTGGTTCTTCTTATCACCTGTTTTCATCATTCAATGAGCAGAAGGCTGAGCTGTCGAGGTCACATCTATGATGCCAAATATTTCTTTTTCTCGTATTTGTGAAATGGCAAATGGATATCTTTTCGATGATGAACAGTTATAAAATAGTTTGAAAAAAAAGGGTCAAGGAGGTTCAAATAATCTGCAACATTTCCGCGTGTATAAACCTGAAATTCTGAATTTTCTCTCCAAAAATGGCTTGTTGGGATAAGGTTGCGCAGGTGGGATGAAAGGATCGGTTTGAGAAGAAAAGGAAATTCTAGCACCTGTCGTATACAACGACCTTAATTCAAATAAAGGAAAAGATAATTTATGTGAAACCTCATCTTTTATCAAAATCTGTTAAATATCTCCGTGGGGTACAAGCATTTGAAGGCTGATGACGTTGTTGATGAAGTTGAAAGCTTCATGTTTACAACCAATGACAAAAATGATTGCGTTTCGATTACGAAATATTCGCTGCATCTTTTCCTTATGAGGATAATAATTGACTTGAAGCTCTGACTTAGTCATGACTGTTTCAATGAAACTGATCGACAACAGGTTTTTCTCCTTTTGTCTTACACCGACACTTTATGGCTGAAGGATATGATTTTAGAACGAAATGAAAACGGCACTAGATGGTTTTCGCTGAAATCCGTCGCTGACAGATTTGGAAATCAGAAGGACAACGACGTTGGTAATGATTGGACGCTTTTCAACAATTGACGACGACATCAGTCTTTACATGCTAGCTATTTGACCAGAAGAAGAAAGGCTTTTTCAACCGGCTTTTCAACCTCGCTCATTTCCCATGTGGGTTTTGATAGATTACTAGGTTGGACAGAAACGGAGAATGAAAGAAAAATCAAAAGACTAGGCGATGAACAGATAGAGTGGTTAGTCATTAGAATAACTGTATGAAGATAAGTGAGTAGTAGAGTTGGAAGAATAAGTAATAACTCATTGGACTCTTCCGTTAACTGAATTTGGATACTGTTCAGATGCAAAAAGAAAAGGAAATGTGGGGTTGTATAGTCTTCATTTTTAAATTCACCAGATATACAAACAATGGAAAGATGGTAACGATATCTCTCTTTACTTCTTTCCGTAGGAAGTAGCATATCCTCCTCCATGTGGTGGTGGTGGGGGTGGGACTTAAACAATATTATTAACAACTTCTTTACTTTTATGCAAACTCACGAGGTGGAGCAGCATATCCTCCGCCGCCGCCGCATCCTCCACCGCAAGCTGGTGGTGGTGGAGGTGGTGGTGGAGCACCACATCCGCATGGTGGTGGAGGTGGAGCACTGCAAATGTTATCCTCAGATTGAGCAGTTGAAATGTTGAGCTTACCATCCACATCCTCCTCCTCCGCCTCCTCCCATACCGAAGAGGAATCCGTGAGCAACAGCGAGGAAAGCAGAAACGATGACGAAGAATCTCATTCTGAAATTGAGGTTGTAGAACAGAAAGCGAAGAAGCTGATGAGGAATAGTGGTGAGGATGAGCTCTATATATACCGTTAGATTCAAGGACAGGTTGTTCGAAATTTTGAGGATGACGTTGACATCAAGTTTTATGTTTCAAGATAATTTAGGACGCCGAAGATCAGAAGGCTTATAAAAAATGTTTTTTTTGCATCTGTCCTCGGAGAGGAGAGAACATTTGAATTGGTTCCAGATACGTAAAGCTTGAATTATGTGTTAAAAGGAGGTCGTATTTAGTGAAAACAAACGGGTTTTCGCATAATTCAGTTAAAATTAAGCTTTTAGAGTTGCCACTTTGAGGATAAAGCTTAACAACCTTTTCTTTGATCTTCGCTTCTTTAAGGAGTTTATGAACAGTTTTGATTTGCAAATTGCATTGAAAAATTCTGGTTTTTTCTTATTTTTAATTCTTTATTCTGCCTCTGATTAGTTAAATAGCTTTTCATCTTGTTCTTCCCATACGTTTGGAGGTAATCCAGGTAGTTGATGCTGATGGTTTTAAAAGCTTAACTCCTTATACGATACTTAAGCCCGCGTGGAGAACTTGCTCGTTCTTCCTACTGCCATGTGACTATGTATTCCTGTGATTGTGTTTGTGAGAAAGAGAATATAATTACATATAAATTATTATATTTATTTAGCATATTCAAATTTAGCATATGTATTCGGATATTTCTTGGGATAGAATGGCTGATTCTCGTCCGTATCAATGAAGGTAGCCTTTGATTCTCTTTTGTTATAAGAACCATTACCAAAGTTTGCATATGATTCACTTAAACTTTGGTCAGGTGAAGGTGGAGGAGGTGGTGGTGGTAACTTATTGGAAGATTCTCCCACTTCATAACTTGATTTCTTTAGATAGGCCTTAAAACTATTCCGAAAGTGCACATTGTCAGCAACTGTTGCTGAACCCGACAACTTGTAAGGTTCAGTATCTTTCGAATATGAAGTTTTATGTTGGGGAGCGTACCTAGTATTTTCAAATGTTGCGACTGATTCGCCTGTTTTCGTGGGATAGTAATCATAAGGAGATGGTGGAGGAGGTGATGGACGAGCTGACGCATATTCAGAATCAGGTGGCAATGAAGTTTGCGGATCAACGGGATATTGAGAATCTGCTGTGGATGGAGAAAGAGAAGATTTTCCAGCACCACGTGGAAGATGAACAATAGAATTATGACGAATCGGAGTATTTCGGGTTGGAGGTAACATTGAGACATAAAACGGAACTGGAACTATTTGTGGGGAAATTTGATAAATTGGTCCTTGAACAAATCGAGGAAGAGAAGCATCCCGGTTAGTTGCACTGTATGCAGGTGCTAGAAATGCTACATCTCGATTGTAACCGTTGTCACATGGTGAGCTATAAAATTAAGTACATTTAAGTGCATAATTTGAATTGAAACCATGGTTGCGCTAATAGCCTCGGACTATATGATTCCGAGTTAGACGGGTTACATGGTGAACTGAAAGAAAACACATTTGCATCTAGGAATAGGCGTTAGATACGCGAACCATGGAGCTTCAAGAGCCACAAGCTGAACTCGTTGTGGAGGACTGCAGGGTGGAGAACTGAAACAATCAAGAAGTCAAATCACCGATGGACAATCGAGTGTTGCATCAAATCCACGCTTCTTCAAACTAATCTGATTCATATAGTGTGATTCTTGACACAAGAAGATCTTGTTTGTTCAGGTTCTCACGTGGAATTTACGTGAAAATTTGTTTCAAAAACTAACCAAGAAGGCTGTTGCTGTGGAAGTTGTAGAACTGGTAGACAAGGACTGAAATGAATGCAAAAATCTTTAACACATATGATTAAGTTAACCTGGATTGGCCGCATGGATTATTTTCTCCAAAAAAGAATGCAAAATTAGAATAAATTAATGAAATTAGAATCAAGATGAACATTGTCGTCGAAGAAACTCTGAAGAAGGCGTCTGTAACGTGTTGAGCAATAAGAGGTCAGAAGACAAATTTTTCTAAATGCATTATTCTTCTGAAGTTTCAAGATGTTAAAAGGTTTTTAAATCAAGACATTCGTAGAAATTAATGGAAATTGAAATGAAATTTTCAGTGGAATAGGTCATTTTTTCAGTCAAATTCATAAAAATGTTTGTTTTGCTCATTCGAAGTAACATTAGTTGCGATGCGAGCGAGAGAGAGAGCGAGAGGCTGTGAGGACTACTTTCTTATTTTAAATGGAAAAAAAGTTTCTCCTTAACTGGTTTATTACATGAGGACAATTTGATCTAATTTTGAGAAAAAAAATAAAAATTTCCGATTGGAAAAGGTAGAGAAGACGAACTGCAAACTGAAGAAGCCCTACACACACACACACAGTCATACACACATATATCTGAAGGTAATGTAAAAGTGTTTACCAAAAAAGGATATTGTTATACCTGCTGGGAAGATTTCTATCCAACTGTGTGAGTCATTTGTCAGAAGCAATATGGGCATACAGTTTAGAATGTTTGTAAACGAAGTAAACAAGTATTTCACAACAATAGAAACTCTTTCCCACACTCTCCTCTGTAACTGTACTTTGACTCTATTGATGAGTAATGAGTAATGAGGAGTAGTTTGATCACATCGTTTTTGCTTTTTTTAAATAATTAATTAGTGGATGGTTCAAGAGTTGTGACCCGACAACTGCTCATCTCTTCAATATCAAATGATTTTCTTCCTAACTTATCAGCATTTATTGATTTTTTCATTTTTTTGGATAAAAAATGTATCTGCTTTGGATCCAGAATGTTATATGACAGTTGTATGTTATAATAATCTTTTACCATATATGGCATTTAATATTTTAGCCGGAAATAGCTCGCCACTTTGGCTATCCTTCTGAAACTCATATCGTACGAACTAAGGATGACTACATACTTGAATTACATAGGATAACAGGAAGTACAAATGGTTTTCTTATTTACGTTTCGTTAACTCGATACTTGGCTTTTCAGAAAGTTTTGAAAATGTTAGGAAACCAGTTGTTTTCATGCAGCATGGTCTGTTCGCTGATTCATATAACTTCTTGCCAAATATGCCATCCCAATCAGCTGGTTTTCTCAAATAGTCAGGATTATGTATCATTTAAGCTTCAATCTTCAGCAACTGTCTTTGCTGATCAAGGATTTGACGTTTGGATTGGGAACTCTAGAGGAACTCCAGCTTCTCAGAAGCATATCGGGTTTGGACCCGAAGATACTAGGTTTTGGAACTTCACGTAAGTAGCATGTTCATAAAAGCTCACAAACTACCTTTTCAGCTGGCAAGATATGTCTCAGTATGATTTGACCGCCTCGATTGACTACGTTTTGAAAGAGACGGGAGAGGTATGTTCGAAGAAATTTCATATTCAGCAGTTCTCATTCAGGAAAGTATTTACTATATTGGCCATTCTCAGGGCACTGTCATAATGTTCGCAAAGTTGGCGGAAGAGCCGGAATTCGCAAAAAAGGTTTTTTAGTTAACATGCTCTTTCAAGTTGAAAACAAAGTTTCAGATACGTCAATTTCACGCATTGGCTCCTGTAGCGACAGTATCTCATATTGGCGGGTTGTTTAAATATCTTGGATCTCGCTTAATTGACTTTGTCAAGGTACTTCTATTTTCCTTTTCTGAAGTGTTTTAATTATTCAGTTTATACTCTATCGAGTGCCTAACTCTCCTTTGACCTTTCCGAAAATACTCCAAAAAATTATTTCAACACTGTGCAGGTTTTGTCTTTTACAAACATTTCCTGATTGTTTTTTAACCTTTGAAGCTTGCCTATAGGACAGAATGTCTGTACTCTTGATATTGGTATTGTTGATGGAAAGGAAGATCAATTTAACATGGTAATGATATCATTTCTTTACAACATGCTGTATCACTTTTAAAGACGCGAGTCGGAGTGTATCTATGCCACATGCCTGCTGCTACTTCAACTAAAGATCTCCTTCACTGGGTTCAAGTAAGATTGATATTATAATTTAACTAGTAATTGACTTATTTACAGCTCGTGAAAAGTCAAAAACTTCAAAAGTTTGATTTTGGCTCTCCTGAAGCTAACCTCGTTGCTTATGGTCAGGTGAGTCATTTCAAAAACATTTTTAAGTATAGGAGAGGAGTGTGTTTCGCTATAATTTAATTTCCCTCTCTATAAGTAACGAGTATGGAAGTAGATGCGTCTTCCAATGTAATTGGAGAAAGTTTCACAAGCGGTTGCACGTAATTCACTTGCCCGAAATCATTTTAAGTTTTTTGTTTGTTTGGAACGTTTGTTTTCGTTTGTTGATATTTCCTGCGCGTAGTAAATACGTTGCGATTTTGGATAGGTAGAAACTACAACGTTTCAAAGTCAGACAAAAGGAATGATGACAACACTATCCATTCTCCGAGGGAGCTTGGGCTAGAGGGTCCTGTAGAACATTAAGGTTTCTTCTCGAGTTTTTCGTTAAGAAGCTGTTCGCTCGAATCCACTCTTCCGAAGCTGAAATCTTGGGCTGACCTTTTGAACAATTTTGAGTGAAGCTTAAAGCTTCTCCTATTTTATATATTAAAGAGTAAAGCTCTGAATCCTAACATTGTACAATCGCTTTTGAGAAACTTTCTATACTTATTTGCTCTGTTAGCCATCAGATCATTACTACACGAAGGGAGAAAAACGTAAAACATAGCACCCACATCGAATACGACGCAGAGCGTGTTGTGTCGGGGTGGTGACAAAGATCAGTAGACAAAGGGAATGATGACAACTCTATCCATTCTCCGAGGAAGTTTGGGCTAGAGGGTCCTGTAGAACATTAAGGTTTCTTCTCGAGTTTTTCGTTAAGAAGCTGTTCGCTCGAATCCACTCTTCCGAAGCTGAAACCTTGGGCTGACCCTTTTGGAAAAACAATATATTATAAAAAAAAATAGAGATCAATAGAAAGTTTTGTTGATAAGGTTTTTACAGACTTTCCCACCTGAATATAATTTAACGAAAATCAACACTCCGACATACATTTATTGGAGTAAAGATGATATCTTGGCTGACACGGACGATATACGGTTAGTTCGAAATTGATTTCTATGTCACATGGGATATTCAGAGAAACTATTCTAAAGAATATGAATCATACTATCATTGGAAACATTGAACTGCCGAAGTATACACATCTCGATTTCGTTTTTGGATTGAATGCCACTAATGATCTATACTTACCAATGATTAAGGAGATTCGCAAGGATTTCATTCAGACTGCTCAGAAGCAACCTTTACACCCTAATTTATCATTCAATCAAATACTGAAACTCTAAATATCATGAAGGTTTAGCCTCTTCACTAATAAAGGTTACATTTCGTGTGGTCAACAGATTATTTGGTTATTGATTATAGTACTAAGTAGGTAAATAGAACTATTAATAGATAAAATTGTCTTCAACAAGACAAAAAAGAAAGTTGAAGGATCGCTACGTCGTAGTCTGGTCCGACCTTTCTATTTCCTGATAACTGTGTGAATAACAATAGTTTTTCGACTTCGTATTGACTATTATTGCGATCATTGGCTAGAAATGGAGTCCGTGAAAGCTTCAGATGAAATCAAAAATTATATCTCACAGGCAGTTATACGAGCGAGTCAGGTAGGGTTCTAAAGTCTATTTGTGATATTTTTGATTTGCAGTGGACTTTGCCCAATGGAAGCACACATGAAAACAGTGATTCCATTGAAGTTCAAAGAGTTGGTGTCATAGGAGGAGGTGTTTCTTTATTTATCGAATAATTTGACGCTTCATGTTTAAGGGACTATGGGTAGAGGAATAGCTTTAGCTCTAGTTCTTGCTGGATATGAAGCGATCATTGTTGAACATACCTATGAGGTTCTATTTTTCATAAAAAATTTCTTATTGCCTTTGAGTTTTAAGGCTGTGCAAGCTTGTCAGAAGGAGGTTGCTCTGACCATTAAGAGAGAAGTTTCTCTGAAGAGATTCAAAGAGAAAGATGTACATCGTCTCAAATCAAATGCTTTAATGTATACCACAGATTTAAATCTCCTGAAGGATTGTCAACTGGTGCGCATACTCACAGTTTGCCTTTTCAAATTTCTCTTTTAAGATCATAGAAGCAATTTTTGAGAACATGAACATGAAAATTGAACTTTTCCAAAAGCTCGACAAAATACTTCCTGAAAACGCCATATTTGGAACCAATACTTCAAGTCTGAATATTGATGAGGTATGGTGAATAATCAAAACATATTAATCTTTTGAGCTTTCAGATGGCCAAAGCTATTGCAAATCCTTCGAGAGTTGTCGGAATTCATTTTTTCAATCCTCCACATGTAATAAAAGTCGTAGAAATTGTTTTTGGAAGTTATACTTCTGGAACAGCAGTTGCAACAGCCTTTGAAGTTTGTCAGAGAATGAGAAAGGTTATACTCTTCGGTATGATTTGGAACTTGAGAGGTTTAGCTTGCTGTTCTTGTTGGGAATTGTCCAAGCTTTGTCTTCAATCGCCTTTTGGCTGTATATATAAATCAGGTAGACCCGGGACAAAGAAAAACAAACTCAAATGAACATTATAGAGCATGAAGTTGATGTATGAATACGGACTTCTGCCCAAAGATATCGACAATATCATAACGTCGCGAGGATTTCTAATGGGACCCATAACTGTGGTGGATATGAATGGTTGCAATATCCCTCTTGAAGAACTTGTGAAACCCTTTACTTGTGCTTTAGGCTTGGATGTAGCTGAAAAAGTGAAGACGGAGCATAATGTTCCTCTAAATAAGTTGGAAATTGAATTACTGAAGCAGAAAAGATACGGCAGAAAGACAGGTTCGTTGAGGATCTTCTAACTTAGGTTTTGTTTTTCGCTTTCCAGGAAAAGGGTTCTACAAATACGATGAGATCACCAAGAAGAAGGAAAGTGATTTAGAAGTTGAGTTCCTTATTCAAAGCGTAGCATCCTCAGCATCACCAAATATTTCACTTTACTGTGATAGTGTGAGTCACATACATCTAGTGATACTTCAAGCTCTGAACTTCAGGATGTTTATGAATTTATCATATTTCCTCTTATAAATGAGGGATATCTTTGCTTGGAGGAAGGGATGATTGAGGAAGAGCAGCTTATAGACATATTATTGTAACACAAGCATGTCCTTATCACATTTCTAAACTTATTTGCAGCATTCTTGGGTTTGGCTGGCCTGTTAATACTGGAGGTCCAATGCATTGGGCTAAAGAAATCGGAGTGAAAAAGATAGCCGAGAAGTTAGCTTTGTGGAATAATTTGAGTAAGTATGGCATTCCATTTGATTGAAGCCCTCATTCTTGCAGACCCGACAGCTCGTGAATATAAGCTCTCAAAAACTTTAAGAAAAAATGCTTCAATGGTTTGTAAGTTGTGATGGGATTATTGGCTTTGTCTCATATCTAGATTATATTCCATATGAATAAAACGATTACAATCTGTCCGGTAGTAATGTGAGGTTCGCTTCATAACACTTCCCGTGGTAATTCTTGAAAAATGTTTGAATTTCTTTTTCCGTGTTCGCTGTAGTCATTAGCTAAATGTTATGTTCATGAATCAAATAGGTTGGCACAGATTCTTACTATTGCTGCAACTGCAGAGATTCTATCTGGAGCCTGAGGAGCCTCTTCTCTGGTTATTCTGATTTCAATTGATTTTTGTGGTTCAATTTTGCCGAAAATCGGACTCATGCTAAAGCCAGCTTTTGTTTCTTCTGTGTACCGAAGAGTATCTACCTGTAGATATCATTGTTAGAACATCTCATCTTGATAGCTAATTGATTGTTGGTGTTGTTCATGATTGTTAAAAACTTTAAAACAATAAGTGTGTGGAAAATTTGAAAGTTTGAACCTGAGTCCCACTCGTCTCACGCCAGATCATCCGTTTTGGAGCAATTGTTATTAGCATTTTGGTATCTGTGAGAGTATTGATACACATAAATGTCAAATGTCAACCTTTTTTTTGTGACGCTGTACGGTCATCGGAAGTATCGCTTTTGAACATATCTGCAATCTTTTCATCAGTTACCTGAAATAGAACCCAAATAGCATTGCAACGAAAGAGTCAACGACCTTTTCGTAATCTTCGTTTCCCGTTTTTGTATTTTCTTTCGTTCTCTCGTCTTGTGTTTTGTCAACATCGTCGATTTTTTGTTCTTTCTGCATTTGTTTGGCATAACAGTCTTCCTTCAGATTGTGCCATTTACCTGTTCACTCCGATCTCTTAACTTTGTCTCCAGCTAGAAACTTAATTATTATTTTAACTAACTATGCGGTTTACTTTTTTCAAAACGGATTCACTAGTGGCAGTGATTGATTTCTTGTTTTCATTACATTCTTTGTTAGTGTTGGCTTCTTTTTTCAATACTTCTGGCTGTGGGATAGGATACTATGATGAAAATCTTTTTTTGGCCCACTCACTTCTCTTTTACTCATCTTATCTTTCTTCTTCTAGAAAAAAAAGGTTAATTTATGTGAAGGCATGAAAAGGTTCGCAAGAAACTTTCAGTTGCTAATGTTGACTCACGGGTTTCTTTAAACATTGAAAAAGCACTAAGGCTGAGAGAAAAATCAAAAAGAATTCAATCGACGCGATTGAAGATACCATTTGGAAAGCAGTTACGGTTGAGTTGTATTCGACAGGTATCTATCTCTCAGTAAAGCCATACTGATGCTTGAGTCGTACCCCCCACGTCACTCACGTGAATTCACGTGGTATTCATTTTCGAATTTTAGGCACTAAATGACCGGTTGGATTTCACAATTTTCCATCTCCCTTTGTAATGTTTATATTTTGAGATTAAGATTAGAATTCTTCTCTTCACAGATAGGATACGGTATTGAAAAGTTGTGACTAACTCAATTTGCCAGATGTGCGTTTATCGCTGAAGTTTTTGAATTATTCCAGCAACTTTTCTTTCCTTTCATTTGAAAAAAAAGAAAAAATGAACTATTAATTCTGCAAAGTGGAAATCGATGCCTCTCACCCATCCGAGTTCATTCGAAAGAATCGTTGAGAGAAAAATTGAACTTGCTTCTCTTCCGGTCCATTTTCCAAACCTCATTGACCCATTCTATAGCGCTTTGGCTAACCCTAGAGGACTCTTGCGATAACGTCATTTTCAGTTGCGTTTGTCCAATTTTTCTCCTGTTTGCCATCACGAATTTTCCGTCATACTCAAACAATCTCAGAGGTTTTGTGATTCTTTTTATAAATGTCAGCCTATTCATAGATTCTAAAGATAGGAGGTTTGCGCATGTTTTATGGAAAACACATTAGATAGGTACAGATCAATGATTTCTCAAAACCTAATGTTAGCGATCGATCTGTCCTCTACACATTTACCATTGTCTATCAATTAGTCAGTTGTCTCCTCTTTTTCTATGTACTCTCCATCAGCTCTAGCTATTATCTCTTCTTTGGCTTCTTTCATGTTTCGGCTTTTCTGTCTCCATAATCTCTTTTTATTTAAAAGCTCTTCTTCTCTTCTGCTCTGCTCATTGACTCTCATATGTTTAAAGGCTTAATAGATCATATTTCCATAACTAACATTCTGTCTAGCAAAAGGATTCATAGGGATCACTTGAGCTATGCTGATCTCTCAATCTGCTCAGTCATTGACTCCACCCATTTCGTTGGCTGATGATGATTGAGACAACCTAATCGACAGAAAAAATTATTCCACACTTCAGCACATCGTTCACATCATTGTTTGGTTCTTTGCAATAATTTAATGTCTTAAACACCAAATTCCCATTCTTATCGGTTTTATGTAGATGATTTTAAAATCAGTACCTATTAGATATGTTTGATTTGAAAGTGGAATGAGTGTCTAAAAAGGGAAATATTGACGTGTTATCAGCTTTAACGATTCATACTTGCGTAAATGCTACACTATTGCATTCATTCTTTGCATGATAAGAAAGAGTGCTACTCTCATATTCGTCTCTTCTACAGTTCATGCAAGAATTCTTTGAACGGAGAAGTACTGTTTCAGTTCGCGTTACTTTTTGTTTAACAGTTTGTAGATTAATAGTTTGGTTTTTATTTCTTTGCCTACGTAACTATTTGTCTACTGAGTTGAGGGAAATCTGTTCTTCGTCTTAGAAGCTACTGAAATTGTTTGCTTCATTGAAGAAGAGCACTGAAAGTCTTTTTAATATTCAAAGACTTCTTAATAAACAATCGTGTTCCCTGCTTTCATCATGATTGTCTATTGGCCCTCATAAAAACTTTTCAAGAATATTTTCTGAGAAGTGTCTACTGTTACCGCGATGCGCTAATTTAATTTTCAAAGATGGTTATTTTCTCTTTTTTTTTGGTATTCGATGGTAAAAATTGACATGAAAAGACTATAATTTCTGTCAAGGCAACTTCCGAACGATCAAATTAGAGAAATTTGATGAGAGAAAACGAAAAGTTGGAGGGAAGACCAGTTTCTCGTCTCTTCCCATTCTCATCATACAACAATGAGTTCAGGTGGCGAAAAACAACCGTCCAATGGCAGAAATGAAATTCCATTCCTTTTTCCCATGAAAAAGGGAGAAAAAATTACAAAAAATTGCACAAGAATCACCTTATCCAGCTAATTAGCATATATTCAAATCTGCTCTACTGCGAAATTCCCTGAGATTTTGAAAAAGCCATTTAACTTGCATTGACGCGTGGTCGGTTGTGTTGCCCTAATAGTTTCAAAAAATTTCAATTCCTTCTTTCATCGATTTTAGAAATAGCTTAACATATTTCTATGTCCTGCCGTTTCTTGGTTATGGGCTTTACTACTTATCGATGCTTCGCCGAAAATCGATTCTATGACGACACGAAGCTTGGATAAAAAGAAAGCGATTGCTAGGCGGCACACTATAAACGACGAGATGCCTTTAAATTTCTCCAATGTTTGGCGAGAAAAATTATATGCTTGCGTCGCTTAACTTTTCCTTCTTTCGTGCTTGAGTTGTAAAAAGCCTGTAGGCGTATGTATGTTGTATGTTGTGTATGTCATTGTATTCCTTTTTCTAAAAGCGCTCCGTTGTTTCATTCTCTGTTTTCTCTTACTCTTGTTTTATTTCTCGTTTTTAGCTTTCTCCTCGCTTTACTTTGTGTTTCGTCTACTACGGCTGCAGCCCAGGCATTATCGATTGCGCTATTCGTTTGCTTTCTGTTGTCTGCGCCTCTTGGATATCCTCATTCTATCGTCATCATAGCTGCCAGACCGCGGTCAATAGCACCTTCGTCTAGTCCCCCATTTAGTCTCGGAACTTTCCCTCACTCTCTTTGCTTTTGCTCCTCTCTGTTTATCTTTTAGCTTTTCGGTGCTGAACAAACTAAATTAGTTAGGCGCTTCCTGTTCATATGTCATTTATTCTGCGTACCTTTGTCTACCATTAAGTTGCTTTCTCTGTATCATATTTGCTGCTTCCGAAGTTTCAAAAACTTACTCTGGAAAAGTTGAAGCTTAAGTTCATTCACCTTTGAGCTTAATGATGGGTGTCCATAATCAATTGTAATTATTCAATAGGCGACAACCGTGCTGTAAAGTTTCTGCTCCGAGTATGCTGTCCGGATCGATTCATTTTCTTGCAGCAAATTCCGAAATGTTCGGAAGCCAATATTTCCTAGAGTAGATTTGCCTTCCATTTTCATGAGAGATGTTGTTGTAGTCTTTTTCTCTTCTTCGTTATGATCTTAAGAAAGCAGTGGCTTGCTATTCTATTCATGACAACTTCAGACTTGAAAAAGCTGTAGCGCGACGCGTCCGCTAGCGCTGCCATCTTCTTAAAGTTCGGTGGCAGCCTTTTCTTGCATCTTTCTTATTCCGTCTTGAAATTTCATCATTATTTTGTGATTATATTAATTAACTCATATTACGTTCCAGGTTAAACATGGGGAAGACCAAAGATGCTGCAAATGAATTGAAAGAGCTGAAACAGGAAGTCCAAATGGTATGATGCAATGCTTATCTTGCAGAATTATAATTGAATCATATTTTATTGTAGGACGAACACAAGATCAGTCTTGAAGAATTGGCCACACGATATGGAACTAACATCGAAACTGTGAGAGTTTATCTCTATTATTAGTTGCATTTTGTTTTAGTTTTTAATCTAAGGAAATTAAATTCTTATCATTCCCACCATCAAGTTCCCCCGAAACTTATCCTAAGTTTTTCAGGGTCTGACCACACAAAAGGCTGCGGAGCATTTGGCCAGAGATGGACCAAACGCTTTGTCTCCACCCAAGACCACTCCTGAGTGGGTCAAGTTCTGTAAGAACTTGTTCGGAGGTTTCGCTATGCTTCTCTGGGTTTGAAATTTGAATATGAAAGAAAAAAAACTGATTTCTCTTAAGGTTGGAGCTATCTTGTGTTACATCGCTTATGGTGTCGATTACTTCACCATGGAATACCCATCCAAGGATAACCTCTACCTGGGAGTTGTACTTATGAGCGTCGTTATCATCACTGGTTGTTTCCAATATTTCCAAGAAAGCAAATCTAGCAAGATTATGGATTCCTTCAAGAACATGGTCCCCACTGTAAGATACTTGATAAAAAGCGAAACCTAACTTTGCATTTATAGTATGCCCTCGCTTATCGTGATGGACAGAAGAAACAGATCCATACTGAAGAACTCGTCGTTGGAGATATTGTCGAAGTTAAGGGAGGAGATCGTGTACCAGCTGATCTTCGTGTCATCTCTGCTTTCGGTTTCAAAGTGAGCTGAAACTTATTTTTGAGTATCTAACCAGTACTTTTAGGTCGATAACTCTTCTTTGACTGGAGAATCTGAACCACAAAGTCGTTCCCCCGATTTCACCAATGACAATCCTCTTGAAACCCGTAACGTCGCTTTCTTCTCTACCAACGCCGTCGAAGGAACCTGCAAGGGTATCGTCGTCTTCACTGGAGATAGAACTGTATATATATCTTTCTTGATATAGTTTTAAATAATACTATTCAGGTCATGGGACGTATTGCTCACTTGGCTTCTGGTTTGGACACTGGAATGACTCCAATTGCTCGTGAAATCGAACATTTCATCCACCTTATTACTGGAGTTGCTGTCTTCCTTGGAGTTACCTTCTTCATCATCGCTTTCGTTCTCGGATACCATTGGCTCACCGCTGTTGTTTTCCTCATCGGTATCATTGTCGCTAACGTACCCGAAGGATTGATTGCCACCGTAACTGTCTGCTTGACTCTTACTGCCAAGAGAATGGCTAGCAAGAACTGCTTGGTTAAGAACTTGGAAGCTGTCGAGACTCTTGGATCTACCTCTACTATCTGTTCTGATAAGACCGGAACTCTCACCCAAAACAGAATGACTGTCGCCCACATGTGGTACGACGAGAGCATCGAAGAATGCGATACCACCGAAAACCAAAGTCACTCTGGTTCCAAGAAGAGTGGAGAAACCTTCTCTGCCCTCCTCCGTGTTGCATCCCTCTGTAACAGAGCCGAATTCAAAGCTGGACAAAATGACGTACCTGTACTCAAGCGTGACTGCACTGGTGATGCTTCCGAAATCGCTCTTCTTAAGTTCACTGAACTTGCTCAGGTATGCATCGAAGATTCTCTAATATTTAATGAAAAGCATATTTTCAGGGTAACATCTTGGCTGTTCGTGAAAGAAACCCTAAGATTGCTGAAATTCCATTCAATTCAACCAACAAATACCAAGTCTCTATCCACGATGTTCCTGATATGGACGAGTACCTTCTTGTAATGAAGGGAGCCCCAGAAAGAATTCTCGATGTGTGTTCCACCATTCTTCTCCAAGGCAAAGAAGCTGATCTTGATGACAAAAAACGCGAACAATTCAACACTGCCTACCTCGAACTCGGAGGAATGGGAGAACGTGTTCTTGGGTAATTTAGCCTGATTCAACTTTTTAATTTATCCTCGCTTTTAGATTCTGTGACTTCAAGCTTCCAAAAGACCAATTCCCCAAGGGGTTCAAATTCGATACTGAAGATGTTAACTTCCCACTTAAAGGACTTCGTTTCGTCGGACTTATGTCCATGATTGATCCTCCCCGTGCTGCTGTACCAGATGCCGTCGCCAAGTGCCGTTCTGCTGGAATCAAGGTCGTCATGGTTACTGGAGATCACCCAATTACTGCTAAAGCCATCGCCAAGTCTGTCGGAATCATCAGTGAAGGAACTGAAACCGTCGAAGATATTGCTGCTCGTCGCGGAATCCCTGTCGACCAAGTAGACCCCCACCAAGCTAATGCCGCTGTCATTCACGGATCTGATCTCAGAGAGATGTCTGAGCAACAATTGGCTGACGTAAGTGCCTCATCTTATTTAAGTTTCATACAAATGTGTTCAGGTTATCCGCAATCACTCTGAAATTGTCTTCGCTCGTACTTCTCCTCAACAAAAACTTGTCATTGTTGAAGCTTTCCAAAGCCAAGGACAAATTGTTGCCGTAACTGGAGATGGTGTTAACGATTCTCCTGCTCTCAAGAAGGCCGATATCGGAGTTGCTATGGGTATCGCTGGATCTGATGTATCTAAGCAAGCCGCTGACATGATTCTCCTTGATGATAACTTTGCTTCTATTGTCGTCGGAGTCGAAGAGGTACATTTGCTGTGAAATTTGTTGAGCTCATGATATTCATTCAGGGACGTCTCATTTTCGATAACCTCAAGAAATCTATTGCCTACACCCTCACTTCTAACATTCCTGAGATTTCTCCATTCTTGACTTACATTCTTTTCGGAATCCCTCTTCCACTCGGAACTGTTACCATTCTCTGTATCGATCTTGGAACTGACATGGTTCCCGCTATTTCCTTGGCTTACGAAGAAGCCGAATCTGACATCATGAAGCGTCAACCCCGTGACCCCATCCGTGATAAGCTTGTAAACGAACGTCTTATTTCTTTGGCCTACGGTCAAATTGGTATGATCCAGGTTAGAAAGATATATATGCTCCCATGTGCTAAAATGAAATATTTAGGCTTCTGCCGGTTTCTTCACCTATTTCTGGATTATGGCTGATAACGGATTCTTGCCAAGAGATCTCTACCAACTCCGTGCCAAATGGGATTCTCGTGCTTACAACAACGTCGAAGACTCCTACGGACAAGAATGGGTACGCAATCTCCAGAATTCATTTCCTAAACGTATTCATTGCAGACTTATGCTAACCGCAAGATTCTTGAATACACTTGCCAGACCGCTTATTTCGTATCTATTGTCGTCGTACAATGGGCTGATTTGATCATTTCCAAGACCCGTAGAAACTCCCTTGTCCAACAAGGTATGGGTAACTGGACTCTTAACTTCGGTCTTGTCTTTGAAACTGCTCTTGCCTGGTTCATGTGCTATTGCCCAGGACTTGATAATGGTCTCCGTATGTATGGACTTAGGTATGATCTATCATCTTGTTTTCACATTTTCATACCACATTTTTCAGATTCTCTTGGTGGTTCTGTGCCCTTCCATTCTCAGTTATCATCTTCATCTATGACGAAGTTCGTCGTTACCTTATCCGTCGCTATCCAGGAGGATGGGTTGAGAAAGAGACATACTATTAGATTGCATATATTTAAAATATACGCTACAAAGCCGTTTTCATCTCAGTGCTCTGTAGTAATTTATCTAATAAATCCGATTAATAACTTGTGAACACTTCCTCTTTCAATCTCGGTAAAAGCGTAGACTGTCGTACAGATACAACCTAAAGCAATTGTTACGTTCAAACATTTCATTCTTTGTACTTTCATTGTCGACTCATCGAATGTCTGAGTGTACTGTTGCTGAATAAAGTTTCGTAGAACTCATTTAGTCAAATGAAAAACACACACAAGGCCTGCTCAATATGTTAAAACAGACATCTGCGGCACTACGCGAATTACTACTCTTCTGTTTGTTGGAATGGGACTTATTTAGTTGAGTTTTTGGATTTCATTACCGAGCTTAAACTCGTGCTTGCTCGTTCAACTCGTTTGAAGAAAAATTCAAGATTATTCCGAGTATTTCATTTAGACACAGGCCGATTTTCCCATAGCCATCAAGCTTCCAGATTGTTCGAGCTTCGATGGATCGGCTGTCGCTAATCCGTGCGCGAGAGTCGACCTACTTTCAAGGAAATTTGAGTTTTCTCAGCTGTCTGTGAGATGTGTCAGAAGGTTATGCAATCTGCCTTTTCAACGGGTCATCATAACTGTCATTCTATTATTTTTAATTACTACGTCAAAACAGTTAAATAAAATGAAAGCAATTACGACTAGCTGCACCCTAAATATAAGAGCTTTTTTATTCCATTTTTATGTTTTTAAAATTCAAAATGATATGGTATTGGAGAAAACTGAAAAATATTTCCTGTGGCTCTAAACACAACCGCTCTGTGCAACTGAAATTAATCAAATGACTCCAAGCCGCGGTACGTGAAATCCGTGAAAAATTGTACATTAGCTATGCGTCCAAACTACATACTGTTGAGTAGAGTTTGTTGTTATTGACTGCAATCTTACTAACACTATATGTTTATGTGTGTTTGTACGAAAAAAAAAGCAAAATGATTGCTATGATGATTCAAATTGTTTGTTTACGTAAATTGAATTCTAGAAAAGCTGACTTGGCTTAACTTTTCGGCATTGTTTCATATTATTAGTTATGAATATTTCAGTTATGGCGATGTAATGATTTTCATTAATTAAGTCAATTCATGGTCATAATTCTATTATCCTTTCTTAGTCATCATCTGCTTTGTGCGAATATTTCTTTTCTCATTTAATATTCTCATTAACTTTACCAATATATCAGCTTCATATTAATTACATATCGTCATTTAATTACTTCTCGTCACGGTTCACAATGAGATCTTGAGATTTGTAGCTGCACGTCTTGTTCATCTTCGTCAGTTCGCGCTCATGAGACTGGCAGCAACTGACTTCTCAACTCTTGAGACTGAACAGACTCGACCAGCTGCTTCAGTCATCATTCTTTATATGGACATGGAAAAGCATTACAAGATCGTTTAGCTTTCAGTTTACGAGACATGTAGGAAATGCTCATCGTTGTTGTATTTATTATTTTTCCCCTTTCGCTTCATGCTATCTTCATCGTTTTTTCTTCTCGCTTTAAACATGTTATTGCTTTTTCTTGACTCAGATAGTCTGTTGCGCGTGATGACTAGTACTTATTTCTTTTCTAAGAAGGGATCATTTTACCCCATCTTCATAAACCGATATATGGAGAAGTGGAGGTAAATTGACTTCGTAAATGAGACATAGCCTTCCAAACCTCAAGTATTTGGTGTTCAGAAATCTTTTTGCTAATTTATCCTTTATTTGACACTAAGTGGTTGCTATAAAAGAAAACTGTCATATAAAGAGAAAGTGGACCATTGACAACCTGGTTAACCTAATGAATGGCTCATGTCCTTCAGGTGACAACCCAAAGACAAACGTTTTACTTCTCTTCTTCATCCATTTCTTGTTTTGTATATGTATTGAAATAGTAGTAAAATAGTCCAAATAATATAAAATTAACCTCCTACGAGCTTCTACAACTTCTTTTTATCATCAGCCACTCTATGATGCATAGAATTCATTTTTTAGTCCTGTGAGCGAAAATGGCTTAAAAACTTCTCTCCTGACTTTGACTTTCCCATGTCTAAACAATATTATTATGGCAAATTTTCTTTTCTTTAAACTATTTATTACATATTTGGTCATTTCATCCCGATAGTTGCAGCTTTTATTGAATTTTAATAAATTCCATTGCGTTCTCTGCCCTACCAAAACCCAAATTCATCATTTGCCTCCTTAACTTCTTTGATTCCTTTCGGATCTTAATGGATTACTTACGTCCAGTTATAGATGGACATTTCGAAAGTACCCGCTAAATCCACCATTATGGTCTCTCCTAATATTCTTGAACTTTAACGCTCCGCCAGATATCATGAGTCGACATTAATCTCTTTCAAAACACTTTAGAAGCTCAATCTATCTGAATACTATCTATGGCTTGACACTCATAATTTCCCTCATATGGTCACATATTCTTCCAACAGCTTGCAGATAATCCGAAGCCTAACTTCTGGAGCTTTTTTTATATTTATTTTTTGTAAATATGATGACCACCTCTAATACTGTTCCGTCTCATCTGCTGCTAGACAGTGAGGCTATCGCATCGTATTTTTACAGTTCATAAAGACCAAGATGAACGGCGAGCATGTTTAAGCCTGGTTCCGTCTTGTTTTTGCGACCTTTCTAGACATTCTCTTCTTTTTCTCTCTACCTCTCTCTTCATCTCTATTTCTTTCATTTTTATTCTCTCTCTATCTATATTCCCTCTAAAGCTTATTACGTCTCTGAACTGTCTAACCGACTGACCATCTGGCGTTCTTTTTCGTATCTTTCGGTCATTAGAGTCGGATGCGATTAGCTTTCCCATGTTAAAAGACAGATGCTCATATTTCATGAAGATATGTATGTTTCAGGTCTTCTTTCCCTCTTCTTCCATAAGCTTCCATTCCTTGTGAGTATTGGAATTTTATTTGAAATTCTCTTTATTCTCACCTGGTCATTCAAGTAATTGCTCTCGTATTCTATCGAAATACTTTTCAAATGTCTTTCCTCATATTTAATTATTTTATTATCCTTCTCAAACTTTTTGCTGCTTTCTAACGTCATCTTGCTCAGCTTACAAGCTCGTTTTTATAAAAAAAAAACTTTTTTTTTCCAAACTTCTCTTTACATGCTATTTCTCATGATCTTTTCTAGTTTTCCTGCTCTCTATCGCATTTCTTAAAATTTCTTCGGTTTCTCTCTTATTTGTCGAAAAAACAATTAGTCGTCTAGTCAACATGCCTATACTCGCTGCAAGTTGCTCAAAAAAAACTTTTTCTCAATATTTTGCTACCTGAAGATCCAGAATTGTTCGTTCTGATTGTTCATCAGGCAACTCAGGCGATCATTCGATCTTGCCATATAGCCTCAAACAAGCGTTATATGGGGCAGAAAAATATTTTTTTGGCTCCAAATCCTTCCTGTCTCTGTTAATTTCAGTCAGATTTACCTACATTCAGTTAAATTTCAATAGAACATCCGTTCTTGATTCATCGCAAATGCTCTTTGTTCAGATATTCTGTTTGTTAATACCTTTCATGAATTCCTTCATTTACAAATCGATTTTCTTTGTTTTTTTAAGCTTGAGCTTCCAAAAAAAAAAGATTAATTTCATCTAATTTCTCCCACTTCTGCTGTATGCCGGAATCACATAACTGATGAGTTGACAATTCGACTTGAATGTTGCATGCCGTTTGAACGACAAGCTGGTGCTGTTTCTAACTTTAGATGTTTGTGTAGAAATTCCAATTCTATTGTTTGAGATCAGTCATATTTTTTAAATTTGCAACGTATTCCAATCATTTGCATACGTGAGAGCCGAAATTCCATGCTTGCAACGTGAAAGACGAAATTTATTTCATTTAATTGAATATTCGACCCATGGAACGGTTGTTGTTTTCTTTAGTCCATTCTCATTGTAGCTTCAAATGGCATTTTACTTGTTGGATTGCCCATCAAATGACGGTTATCTGTTTAGAAATCTTGAAAATTGCTGGTCTCAATGGTACAGAATGAAGAGAATCAAGATATAAGCCCATATGACTTCAGATTTGGAAATCCCAAAAAGCTTTTCTTCATTCTTTCAATTTTTGCATATGAATATTCTGCAGTTTGACAAAAATTGAAAAGTTCATTTGTCCTTAATGCGAACAATGATGCCACCCAAAGCGCTGCTGCTATGAAATTCTTGTATCTCATTAAGTCAGAAAGAAAGAGAGAGAATTCATCAGTTGGATGCTTCAAATGGGTTACAATCTCCATTTCTCTCTTTTATTTTTTTGTGCTAGTTGTTTTGAGAGAGCTTCTGTTATTCTGTGTTTGATTTCTCTACGATGCTCTTTACAAGAGCTTTTGATGAATCTGCTTTTATAGTAAATATCAATTATACATTGATATAGCCCTTGTAAGCAAAGCTTGGGTGGTCAGAATTTTGAAGAAAAAAAGAAAGCGAAATACTCTCATGCCTTCATTCGTTTGCTTCATCTCTTTGTCCCTAATTGACCTGTGAGCAAGGCTTCTGTTACTCAATGACCACAAATAGTATTTAAGAATAAGAGAGAGAGAGTGCGCATGCAGACGAAGAATTGAGAGAGGAGAAAGCACCAGAAACCCTCATTCTTCCAATATAATTCTATTGTGCTACATTATGTTTAAACAATATCATATTGTATACAAAATGGCAGTCAGGAGTTTTAAAAAATTTATTTTTCATAATCCCCCCTCCTTCAGCGTAGTTCAATTTCATTCTTCAGTTTTTTTTGTTTCTATTTTTCCCACACGTTCTTAGCATAGGAGAGCATATGTAAGCTACACCATGATCATTAGATGCATCAACTAAATGACTTCAAACGCTTTTAACTAATCCTTCTGTAGATTAGAAATAGGAGATGCTCAAAGACAATTTCAACATTTCTAACTTTGCTGTGATTTCTGATTCTCTGACCAGTGGTTCCAGCTTCACTTTATGTTTCTCTTTTAACCTTATAACCTCTAGCTGTTTTCAAATGTTGTTTTGCTTCTGAATTTCTATGAAATTCAATGATGAGATTTCCGTTGTAGCCTCATTCTCCCATCTCATTTGACATTTTCATTTTGAAAATGAGAAAAAACCTCTTGATAGCTTTAATTCAGAAAAGGCCATATAAGAGAGATTTTTTTTTCGTCCAATTTTTTTTGGCATCCTCAAATCGTTTGTCTGTCACCACAAACTAATATGCTAACTATAGTAGAAGGCTATGTGCACTTGTGAGTATAATTATTGGCAACTATATGCCAGAAACTATTTACGTATCCTGGTTACCTTATTAAGCTTTTTCATTATTTCAAACCGTTTTTCTTCATTTTCCAGTCTCTTTGTACTTTTTGAGAAGATGATGTGCGAGCAAGTTTGAGAGAGGCAGAGAAGCTTGCAATGATAAAGTGAAAGATAGTGAAGCTCATAAGGGATTTTGATATGGATTTTGAAAACTCTAGCAGATGTGAGTCTTCGTTTAATCTTTAAAAAATCAGTCCCACACTTTATATGGCTTCACCATTTGATTCGTTTCATCATAACAAACATGCTTTCGAAATCTTAAATGGAATATTTGAAATTCTGGTAAACTAAGAAGGTCAATGTATTATTAATGAAATTCAACCTTTACCTTTTGAAAATTGAGAGAGTGGGTCAAAGGTTAAACAGATGAGAAGCTTAAATGGATATGGATGGCATGGCATTGCAAGCTATGTAAGGCTAGCCTGACTGCTAAGCGTACATTCAATTATACAACGGTCATGCTTCCTCATTAATGCAGCTTCAATTGCCTTCTCTACAGCCTCTGATTATCTCCCATCTTTGACATGATGAGTCTCGCTCTGAGAGCCAAGTAGATGAGGAAGAACATGAAAATGAATCCATTGCTAGCAGGAAGCAATCTGTGAATCTCTTAGACTTCATGAAATCTTTTTGGTAAACCGACATCACATCTTTTTGTGCTCATTCTTCTATTTATCTCATCTCTTCTGTCTCTTTCGTTTCCTCTCCCTTTTTCTCTTTATGTCGTTTTCTCTGTCTTTGAATTAATTTTGACTCGAAACCCGGTTGTTAGGAGTAAAGCGAATGGTTCAATATCGATTTTCAGAAGTGGAGCTAAAGCTCAACATATTTATAAAGTACTCATTCTGACTGTCCTTCTAATGAATTATGCTTAGCGAATAATTAGCATACGTGTGAATTCACGTGCAACTGGCCGATTGGAAATAGTCATTTATGACAATTTGCAAAGCTCGATCGGTTGTTTTTCTTTTTTCTCTTCCCCCTTCCTCTCTCTCTATATATATCTATGTTCAAAACTCTATCATTGTTTCATTCTCTCTTTCTCATACCACATCTCTTTCTCTCTATCTGTTTCTCTTTATTCTGTCAATTTTACCTTCATGTTACTCTTTCGGTAAACGTTTGTTCACGTAGTAATGGGTCAACCAGCTGTCCATTTTGACTCATCTGCATGTAGAACCTTCCCATAGATTTCTATAGCTCAACATCATCATCATCATAAGAAAGATGTAGTAAACTATAATTGGATAAAGATGTCAATGCCAGTCTCTATTCGATTAGACTTGTAATCATCAATATATTTGCATATTCTTCTAGATGAATTATTATATTTATATATATATATATATATAGTTAGTATAGTTAGTTAGTTATTATTTTGAGCTTGACCTTCCTGTTTTGTCAGCTCATCGCATCATAATCATCATCAGCATTCGTTTTTCTTACAGAAAAAAAAAATCCGAAAAATAATTTAAAATTCTCATCCGGTTCTAAGACTGATTTCATTTTGCTATTCTTGCTATATCTCGTTTAAACTATTTTTTTGTGCGTCTATGTGTGTGCTCATCTTTCTAATTGTTATTCTGATATTGCAGATATGTCCTCTCTCGATCAATGCTCAACATCAACAGCGTCTATACGATCACCTGAAGATGAGATTATTTTGGAAAAATCAGCAAAGCTCAAGCAATGGGTCAAAAATCGTATGAAAGAAGTACGTTTTCCTTTTCATTTTATTATTTTTTTTTTTTTATTTTCATTTTTTTCTTTTTTTCCGCTTATCATATTCTCAAACACAACAAAAAAGTGTCTTTGGCAACCGTTCACTATCTGTTTATTCATTGAAATGAGGTGTTCTCTAGGTGTATTCATAATACTCGGTTGTATCACGTATGCTAATCAGTTTGCAAACTCTTTCCCCCCCCCCCAGTCATCTTCACATCATTTTCTGAATCTTCTTTCCATCATTTTTCTCATCAAACGTCTATGATATATGCAATTCACGTAGTTTCTGAAGTCGCATATGCAAATTTTGATCCGATTGTCTAGATGAGCTCAACAAGTTATCCGATTATCCCTTGAACTACTCAAAATATCATTATGATGGACGGGTTAGAAGGTTTTTGAAGCATTTTTTTTACGTGTGATTTGAGTTACATACACTGATTTCATTTTTTCTTTCTTTCTTATTTTCTTCCGGCTGATCTTGTTTTATCGTTTCATTCGTCTCCACTCAAACCATATCTCTATCTCTTTCAAACATGTCGGAAAAAAATGTTCGAAAGTTTAGAAGGTTAAGAATACTTGGTGTGAAGGATGTTTATTAACTGGCGCCAAGTAGAAGGTGGAATTGAATTCTTTGTCTTTTTTAATGTAATTTCTCCTTTCCTCCTCTTCCTTTCTTTCTCTTTCTCTCTCTTTCTGTCTCCCTCTGTTCATCGTTACTATTCTACCCCAGCCTGCGTTTTTCTCGTTATTCTCTCATCATATATATTTTCTTTTCTCTTTCTCTCCATTTTTTTGCCTCCATCTTCTTCTTTATTTCAGTTGAAGGGGCCAGGTGTTGATAGTGAGTTCATATGAAAGAATAGAAATTAAATTTTCTTCTCAATCTATTGCCTGTCATTGGAGTTTTTCGTAAAAAATCCTTTTCTTTTCTGAACAGTTTCCATTTCATGTAATGAAGAGGTATTAAGCTTTTTCATTCAAATCTTCACTCAACCACTTGTTCATTGAACTTTCGAATATGATGATTGTCTTTGCTGTGTGAGCTTCTTGTAAAAAGCTCCCAAGCTGGTTTTTGTCATTCATTTTGGAACTTGATGCAAATTATTGGAAACTATATGTTTACAAATGTGTCTCAATCTACATGATATTATTTCACATTGTTGATGATGCCAAGAACATAAGAGAGTTCCGACTCACTCTCCCACCTATCCCGTTTCTCTCTCTCTCTTTCGCTCGCACTCTATCTCTTCCACCTCTATTCTACTGATTTAGTCGTTGCTGCTTTTTCTCATTCGTGAATCTTCATATCTGTCATCATAAGCAATCAAATATTCGGATCAGATTACAATAGCCAGCAGCAGCAGAAGAATAAAAAGAAAAAGCTCAACCCATACCTGGCTTTAACTCATTATGCTGCTGTTCTTTCTATTTTTATTTATCCTGCAAAAATGATACTCTTCACGTGCTTCACGTGCGACAGCGTTCAGAACGATACAACTCTCTATGCTTCCTACCCCCCTTCCCCCTCCTAATATTAATGTGTTTTGGGGAGAGAGGGAGAGTGAGAGAAAGAGAGAAATCTTTCTTTGTTTTAGAAAGAAAAAAAAGTAATGAAAAGCAAATAAAGAATGAGTTTAGAGTTTTCAAGGAAAAAATGTAAATTTGCATGTTTCATTTGCAATAGAATGGCTTTTACCCGTCGCTCGAATCATACCCTTAAATGGCTTCTGTCGACCTTTCTCTCAAATTCGCTTTTGTTTTTATATTGAAGGTGTTTCCTCGTCACATAATTTATCTATCTCAAGCGTTCACAATTTAATTTATTTGCAAAAAAAAGGTTTTCATTCTAATAAAACCTATCGTGAGGTTTCGTGAAATTGAACAACGTTCGCTCTGCTTCTCTCTTTGTCGTTCTCCTCTCTGTTTCTCGCTCTCTCTGTCTTGTCTGTTAAAAGGTGGTCATAGTGACCTGTCATTGAGCTCTCTAAGATTTAGTTGAGAGGAAGTATTGAATATGAAGAGAATGGATAGGCTGCTCCACTTGAATGCCTGTTTATGGCAGTCAAATGTATGTGAGTTCCCCCTGAGGGGATAGACGATTTGTCAGACATGGCTGAATTCGACATCCGATCTCAAGTCAATTTTCTCTTACTCTCTCCCTCTTTATATTCATACGTGTCTCTCTATCTCTCTTTCTCATTTCTACCCCCCCCCCTCCCTTTTAAGCTTTCTACCATTCAGCTTGATTTCCCTGAACAGTCTGCTTTATTAAAATGAATAATCGAAACCGATAACATCTTTCGTGTCAGAACCGATTGAATGCTTTGGATGTTTCGATATTCTTACAACGGTCATTGCATGTTAATGTCAGCACATTTTCAATTTTTCCCTTATAAGCACATTATACTTCGAAGACTTGATAGCTGATTCAATTTCACTGTCTGTTAATGTTTTCCTCATATATATTTTGGTTCATGACATTAGCCTCAAGGATATTCTGAATACTTGGGTGTTGGTCGGGAATTCCTTTTGAGACAAGGTCATTTGAAGGAGTTACATTCCTCTCGTTTCGTTTTGTGTTTTTTCCTTTTTTTTTTTTAAATTTTTCTCTCACCTACCTACTTTACCTCCTCAAAGTGATTGGTGAAGCTGGAATAACACGAACACTGAACTCATAACTGAAAATATTCAAATTTCCCTCTTTTTTTTTCAAGGCTAACACTCAATCATTCCTTCCAAAGCTTCTTCATCGACTCTTTGTTAGCTTTTTTTCCTCTCAATTTCATAGGAATTTTGCATGTTTTTCATCCGTTCAGTTGGCTCGTCAAAGCAATGGTTAACCCTAGCAGTCTTATCGTTCTAGGTCTTGTCTGAGGATTTATAGCCTTATTCGTTCGTTTGACTTCAATATTTCATGTACGATTGGCTGTTGCTCAGGCTCTTTTCGTTTTTCAATCTCTTCTCTTCTCTCTCACTCTCTCACTTTTGACTCATTGAGTTTGATCTGGTCATTTTTTCATTTTTTTTCTTGCTGAGAAGAACATAAAGCGATGAATGTTCAGCACAAAAAATTTTTTTGGTTTTGAATTATCATCAACTTGAACACTCAGCAGTGCTCTGTCTTTCTGCCTTCATCTATTGAAGTGAGTTCTGATGTGAACCATCTTGTTCATTAAGATAACTTGACTGTTCTTCAAATTGAATAAATAAACAAATGAAAATATATATTTTCCACTCCATTTTGTTCGTCATTTTCATTAACTATTCCATTTGACAGTCTTGAAAGGTCGTTCAATAATATAAGAAGATAAAAAAACATTTATTTATCTTCTCAGACCATCTTAAGACATGAATCAACAGGTTGAAATTCTCCATATTTCGCCTACTAAATCCTTTTTTTTCCCGCATTTCCTCTTTACACCTTTTTATTTCACAAAAATTCCTTCTTTCCATATAAAATATTAAAGACACAGCCGCGCACTTTTATTTTTTCCGAATAAAAATGAAGTTCGTTCGCTCAGTACGTGTGCATGTTGCGTCACGTATATTACGTGAACACTATTTGGTGAACGCGACCGCTCGCCTCTTTCGATAGCTTTCAAGATGAATTTCGCGCCCTCATAGATGCTAATTGCAAATTTTTTTTTTTCTGAATAATAGGATCAGAGGAAAGTAAGAAGATTTTGTATGAAACTGACTATATAGTTGTTATCGATTCAATTCTGATGATGTTCTTCACATAATTACGTAACTAGCTCTTCATTGAAATGACAAATAACGTCAAGCTGGTCTGGATGAAGAGCTAAATGGGAAAGCTTCAAAGAGTAGAGAAAGATAGACAAAGAGAGTGAGAAAAAGAGAAATAGAAAGACAAAGATAGAAAAGAGAAAGAGAGAGAGAGAATTAGAAATTTTTCTTCAAATTCGGATAGCTTTTGGTTAACTAGAAGTAAGAGTGGCTAATAATAAAAAAAAAGAGGTTACTTAATGTTATTGTCAATGCTTCGTAAGGACGTTGTTTAACTGGTTCCAACTGACGTTTCAAAAGTCGTTTAATATGTTTTATGGAAATTTATCTCAGCATTCTATCTAATTCTAACGTATTAATTTGTTTTTTGTTGATTATTCCTTCTTTTTTTTTTGTTTTGCTTTCTCTTCATTTATTCGCTCAATTGTCAACGATTAAGCTAAAATGCTTCTTCCCATCTTAAGGACCTACTTCTTTTGGACACATTTTCTTCGTCGTCTTCGTTCGTCTCGTTCTTCTTCAATTCTTTTTTTTTTATTCTTCATCATCATCATCATCATTTTCCAATCATTATCATGCGTTTTATTTTAATTTTCTACTTACTCTCATCTATACATTCTATATAAGGCTTAGCCAGCTGGCTGAGATGAGATGGTCTCATCGCTCCTCTGGCTGTCATTTCTTGTCCGGAAAATGGTTGTGTGTGGCTTTTTTTTGAATTTCGATTTTTCTAATCTAAAGAGTTGGAAAAGCAGCTGAATGTTTTTTTTCCTCTCCCTTCATCTTCCTCCTTCAATCCAAAAAAGGATGATTCTTTTTCCTAATTATTCGTCGCCTTCATGAATTTCTGTTCCAAATTTTTGTATTATCATCATTCAAATATCCATCTGAAGGTTGGATGACTTGAAAAAAAAAGAAAAAGAAATATTGAAGAAAAGATGAATGACTTCATCTAGCCAGAAGGCCATTTCACTATCACAATTTGTCAGAAATAACTTTTTCCTCGCTTTTTGGTTCACTCTGCCTTCTGACAAAAATGAAAAACTTTTCGACTTCATCTCACAACTTTGCACATTTACTATTTTAAAAATGAATTATTAATTTTCTTTTCATTTTTTTGTGTCTGTTGACCAGAAGCTGAAATTGTTTTTAACGTCGGAACTCTCAATCAACTGAATGACTCATAACCAGCATTAAGTCACTTTAAACTTTCCCTCGCTCTGACTTTTATTAGCAGAGATTTCCTTCTTCCTCTAAAACTGTTTTGAAAATTTTTTAAGAATATTACTCTCACAATTGATTCTTACCGTTGTTTTTCTCTCTTTTCCCTTTGAAATATTCACTTGCTTAGTTTCTAAAAATGAAGATTGGATCATGATGTTCACGATTCATAGCATGATCTAGCAGTGTCGATTTTATTCAATGCTTTTACCACTTTTCCAATGCATAGAAATGAGCTCTCTTCTCTCTCTCTCTATCTCCCTGTTTCCCTCTCATTCTCTCTTTTACCCTTTCTCTTCTCACTACTGAATGATAGCTTCTCCGTTTTAAGTATCGAAGGCATAGTCAGCGGAGAAGAAGAAATTGTCATGGCTTCCCCACATGCATGCACCCATCCTCAGATGCTCTAAGAATTGTTTTTTTTTCATTGAAAGTTCATTTGTTCTTTATTAATAAGATTTTGTTTATACTACACCCTTCTTGTGAACCCTTGCCGTACACTCCTTATGAACCGTTCGAGTATGCTCAATCGTTAACGAATCAGGAACTGACTCATTTTAGGTAGTTCCAGCTTACCCAATACTGATAAGAGAGCCTTCATAAAGAGAATTCATTATGATGAGCTTCTATACCGTTTCAGCAACCCTTTACAATACATTGACATCTCAATTTGAATATTCATTCATGTGTTTTGTTGCATAAACTTGAAACTGACGTGTGCTTTCACGTAAAAAAAAAAAAAAAGGTGGCGAACATTTTTTTTATTTTGAGTTTGTAGTGGTGAAGGAGCGGTTGTGTGTTTCTTAGCATCTCTCTTGTTCTATTCTCTTTTTTTCTTATTTTTTTTGTTCTGTTGCATGAACTGACTGACCGTCTTTCATATTCGCTCATTCACTCATTCTCTTCTTCAACCTCAACAAAGATTTTAAAAGAAAACACATATAACCGGAAAACTAGAGTGACTAAAGTCATATTTAGTAGATTTTCGGTATGTTTTCCGTTCATTTCATACCATGAGCATCTTATCCGCTCATAGCTCTCGCTTTTCCCCTTTTCGGATATTCAATTCAGGCATTGGTGTGGGTGCGGTCGAATTACGACTCATCATCTTCAGGCAGAAATAGTACAATTTCTTAAAAAGTCCTATTATTACGATCTGCTTTTTAAATTGCCGTGTTTGTCCATCAAAACTATTTTCTAACGATTTTTACCAAATTGAGCATTAAAGGATGAGAATTGAAACTTAGTGTTCGCTTCATTGGATAACAATTTGACCAACAATTTGCTCTTATATGGTCTCCAATTTACAACTTTGCTTCTCTCTCAAATAAATTTTTTTATATTTGATTTAACTATTAGTTGTGTTTCTCTTATCCTCCCTCTCTGTCTGTCTTTCTATCTCAATTCTCGTCTCGCTCTTTAGTCGTTGAGGAATTGCAGAACCTTGACAAAATACAAAAAACACTGAAACTTTCCCCCCGAGGCAGTTCTTTGTCATAATATTGTTTCTTTTATGCGCTTTTGGGGCTTTTTTCAGATATATTTTTAGAATCTCTTTCTTTTCCCATTTGTCCTGTTACTTTTTTCGAAAAGAAGGTTTCTTTCAAACTTGTCCATCATGATTTATAAGCAGTTACAACGATTTCTGGTGAACTTGTAACGAAAAGAAAAAACGATAACCGGATATGGCCATTCTTGTTGTAATTCAAAGTAATTTACTCGAATGTTAATTGGATGGAATGTTTGCAATCTCTACTTCGTTTGATAACTTTTCCTTTCTTGGAATTATAATGTTTGTTCGCCAGACAATGATGACTTCCCCTTAAGGAGAGTTCGGTGTTCTTTTCAAAATGCTTCTCCTGTAAGATTTCCGTCTTTTATTTCTTTTTCTCTCTTTGCATTACAAGTTATATGTTTCTCTCTACACATTTCAATGAATCGTTCATCGTTAGAGACTAATTAGATTGAGAATACAGCCGTCATGCAAGACGTCCGACGAAGAAGTAGCCGAAGTCAGTCCGGGAAACCGTTTGATTGTTTCCTCAGCTTTTTCTTTCTTTCTCAGTCCTATAGCTCTATCAGATCTCTTATTCCAAACTCTTATACTAACCAGCTTTTCCTTTTCCTCATAGTGTCTTGAATGAACTTCTTCCCCTGGGATGAGCCTATTGCCTTTGTCGTTCTCTCCTCCTTCTTCTTCTTCATCCTCTTTCTCTTTTATTCTCTCTCTCCCGCTAATACTCTTCTCAACTTCAGCTTCTCACTCTATCTCAGATATTGTCATCTTGAGTTGAAACTGAATCAAGTATCTGTCTCACAGTCTTAATTACGAGTGTCTTGATCAATAGGAAACCCTAAGCATTTTTTGAGTTCCATATACGTATAGACCTACGATTCCGATTTCATATTCATATATTTGATTTTGTATTGTTATGTTTGTTCCTATATCGCTTTAAATATGGTAATTTTGCAGCTTGAAGATCAAAACGAACGTCTTCGTCTGCAGAATTTGAGATGTACAACACAGCTTCAGATGCTTAGAAGTTACAGTGAAAAAAGTCGTCAACTGAAGGAAGATATGATGAGCAGAAGCATAACCGTGAGTTCTCTACAAATTTGTTTTCTCGTTTTAAAGTAAACTATAATATTCCCATTTTGACGTTTATGATTCTATTGAGTTTTTGAAAATGAAAAGAAAGAGGGAGAGCTATTCAAATAGCTTTTTCATCGCTGTCCCTCGAGACATTCCCGGATTTATTTCTCTACTTCTTAATTTTTATCTCCAAATATAGCTCAAGCTAATGAAAAAAAAAACCTCGACCATTTCTTTTCAGGGTACTCTACCCGTAATGCCTGATTCAGAGAATCGAACATCTGATGACAGTGGGCTTACAAGTGACGACACATCAGATAGGCGTCAGATGAGTACTTCCATGGCTGGTGATATGACTCCTCGCAGTACGAGAAAGCCTAGTAAGTTACATTATCTTGTTATTCTATACAACTCATAACTTTATATCCTATCTTGTTGCTTATGTGTATGTTTTCTTTATTTTCTGAATATTCCCATTCAGTTCGATTACGGAAGGAATCGACAAGTGCCGAAAATGCGGACAAAGGATCGTCTACAAGCGACTCCTCTCCTTGGGAAGAACGAGCTAAACCTATTCCAACACCAAGAAAGACAGCCAGTAATTGTAATAATAATAATATAAATAATAATTTGGTAATATTAAAATTTTCAATTGAATTCTAAAACATCCATTTCAGTTGGAACGTGATAGTTTGAACTCGTATGCAGATGACTACGAATTTGATGTTGAAGATGAAATTTTCGACGAAATCGAATCGCCAAAAGATCGGGATGGGTGAGTTGTTCTAAACAAATTGAAAAACGTCAGGAAAAACATTTTTTAGTAACAAATTCGCCGACTATGTGAATCTGGCAGACTTCGTAGCAATTAGAGATGATAAAAACCTATATAGTGACATCATAAAGCCTACAAATCCTATAGATCGACCACAATTACCCGAGCATCGTCCAAGACAATGGGTAAGTTTCGAACTTTATTTTTATTTTTTCATTCAATATGATTTTATATTTCAAAACATTTATTTTCTTTTGAACAACTTGTAAAAACCGCTAGTATCGATTGTGAAATTAGCATAATGGTTAGCGTCAGCTTCTGAGCATTTTTCAAATTTCAAACAGCCCAGAGCGGTAGTGTTTCATCTCTCCAATTTTAGGAAGCTAAGTTATTACAAGCAGCTGAGAAATGCCTATCAATCACTGAATGTGCGTTGTCCGAAGGAACTTCCAGTGCTTCACCTTATCATGTATCGCGGCTATCAAACGTTCGAGTATGAGTTTACATCTTAACTGCTTTTAATCTATCGTTTTTCAGACGGATTCTCCGGCATCTCGATGTTCCGGGAGTAAAGTATCCGCAACATCGTCTCCTAGAGTGTTATCTTTCCAAACCAGTTCTCCTCAAACTCCGGAAAGTAAGCGATTTTTTTTCTCTAGTCACTTAATTATTATGCTTAAGGTCATTATGCTGTTAGAGATATCATTAATAATGGAGAAGGCGATTACTACTTACCTCCGGACGCAGCAAGATTAAGTGGAGACATACGAACAAGCTTGATACCCTCTCTAGATGCTGTAATTCATAATTCTCTGAGCTGTCGCTATAAATATGCTTTTTAGGTTGAGAAAAGCGGCTTCTGGAGTCTCATGTCAGATACTCGGCTGAAATCGTTGAAGAGACGATTCGTTGTATTGAAAAATAATCAATTAAGCTTCTACAGAGTGAGTGAACTTCCACTCCATCTATATTAACTTTCTTATTCCAGAAGAGTGCATCTCGTGAAGAAGAACCTTTGATGCGAATTCAAATCTCGGATGTGAAATCTGTAACGAAAATCCAACAACAGGGATGCTCCTATGCTTTTCAAGTATGAGCTTTTTTTTGAAGTATAAATAAACTGTGTTATATTCAGATTATAACAAGTAGTGGAAAACATACATACATGACTGAAAATGAGAGAACTACACAAGAATGGGTTGCTGTTTTATCTGCAGCTGTGAAAGGAGCTACTTTACGAGATTTGGCCAGTCGTTGTGCTCCTTTGGATGCTTCAATCAGTGGAATAGTAACGAGAGTGCGTTGTGGACACTCTCGGAGAGTTTACGCAGCTCTCGTTAACCACAAGTTGATGTTTTTCAAGAATCCGGATGACAACGTACGTTCACGTTTAACTCTATAGTAATCCTTTCCACAAATTCAGGTACCATCAGCTTTTTTGTACTTGCAAGGCGCCAGAGTGTCTGATAAGCTTCGAGCCTCTTCCGATGATTACAGCGGAAGTAGTGATGAGCAGCAATTAGACGACCCCACTCCATCCGTTGTACAAAACAAAAAAGAAACGTACTGTATATGTATTGAGGTAACGAACACACTAGGGAGCGTTTCATACTTCAGAATTTCAGATCGCCAATGAAGATCCGGTGTATTTGATTCTGAAAGCTGCGGAAGAGAAAGAAAAATGGCTATACTTCCTACGATCGGCAGCTGGAGATGCTTCTCTTTTCGGAACTCCGTTTGAAATTTTGGTTCAAAGAATGCTCTCTGAAGGGGCTGATCCGGACTCTCCATTATGGAAGGACATACTTCTCGCATCTTGTGATGATAACCCGAAAGATCCGTTGACCACAGTAGAGGAACCTGAAAAGAAGAAGACGTTGGAGATCTCTAAAGTAAGTTTTCTTCAATTGACGTAAACCTTCTTTTTTTCTAGGCATGCCTCCTTTTCGTGTCGGTTTTAATGCGACCGACAGCCGTGCAGTATCACATTGATCTTGCTCAGAATATTCTTTCAACGACAATTCAGGTTTTTTTCAACATTGCTGACCAATTTCACCACTAGCTTTTCAGCACGATTTTTTGAAAAACGAATTCTATGCTCAACTCATTCGGTTAACTAGTTGTTCCATGCCATACGGCTTACAAGGATGGAAACTAATGGCTTTGGCGTTATCTCTCTTCTTACCTAAGCAGTATGCTTTGCTTTGGTTATTGAAGAAACATATATCAAGATGGATGATTAAAAAGTTTGTTTCAAATTAGAATTGAACTTTCATATCAAAATTCTACAGCACCGACGAGGGGAGCATGGCTGGTTATTGTAAGGCAGCTTTGGATAGATGTTTGAGAATGGGGGTTCGAACAGAGGGACCAAGCAAAATGGAAGTGACCTCGGTTTTGACTCGTGATCCAACAACAACAAAGTTCCCTCATTCTATATCAGTACGCTTACCCAACCATCAGTATCAGGTAAATATTGTATTTTATAATCTAATATTAAATTTTTTGTAGGTTGTTGAGTTTGACGGTTCTACCGAAATAGGACAATGTCTTTCTTCTCTATGTTTGAAACTTGGAATGAGACCAGCGTTGTTGTCAGGATATGCGCTTTACATAGATGATCCTACTACAAAAGGCTTACAGCTGTTGAAGGGGAAACAAAAAGTGTGCCAACTGAAATATTTCTTATTTAACCTTTCCTTCTTAAGGTTTGCGATGCGCTAAGCGTATGGGAACAAAGACATAGAGATGTTTTACGAGGACGTATTGCTACTGATTGTGCTGCAACACTCTGCCTTCGTCAAAGACATTATTGGAACCATCTTGTTTCAACAGAGACACCCATCGAACGATCCTTCCTGGTTTGGAGAATGGCTGACGAGCTCGTTGCTGGTAAAATGCCTCTTAGTAACCAGTTAGCTGATCAGTTAGCTGCTTTATATGCTCAGGTAAGATTATCACTTTTTAGGATTTAGTGCACTGACCGGTTGCATTCCTATACTGCACATAGTTCCATTTAAATTTATCATTTTCAGTTATCTTTTGGTGACTGTTCTGAAGTTTTAACGGATGAACAATTTAGTTTCATAACAACAAACTTCTATCCTGGAAAGATGTTAGATGTTGCTTGTATCAAATCGCTTCGGTGAATATAATTTCAATCGAATCTTAAATCATACTTTGAGTTTCAGAGCTTCAATACTTGCGAACTGGAGGGAATACATTGGAATGACTGAAGCTGAATCTATACGGGTCATTTTACAGGTAAAAAATTGTTAACTATATGTTTTAACGTTATTACTAAAGGTTATGAGAAAGTGGCCTCTGTTTGGTAGCGATATATATAGCGCTGGAATGAGAACATGTAATGATAAGAAGATATTCCTAGCTCTTTCTGATACAGCTATTCATATTATTGACCAAAGGCATTTTGTAAGTACATTCATGTCCTTCGTTTAAATGTGTTTTCTTTAAGGATGTCATTCGGTCAATCGCTTACCATCGTTTAACATCTTTCGGAGCTTTCCATAACGATTTCATGCTCATGATCGATCGTCTCTTACCTGCAGATTCACATCCTGAAGAAACACCAAAAGAAAGAATTACGTTTAGTATGGATAAATGCTTTATTGATACGGTAAGAGTTTCTCGAATTTCCAAATGAAATTTTTATCATTCAGCTCACTCTACACTTAGCTGAATATATAAGATGTCAAAAATTGGTTTGGAAAGTTTCAAAATGAAATGAATGAATTTTCCGCGTCATTTTCAAGGCTTTTTCTGTTTTGCTCTCATGGTTCTAAAGCTGATAATCAGCACTGTGTTAAGATTTATGAAATCAAAAGTGTTATGTGTATTTCCATTAAACCAAACCTCTTCATTCCATGCTCAATCGATCTTGTTAGGAGAAATCCTCACACATTTAGAATCGTCTATTTCTTTTTGTTGATGTTGTTTTATTTTATGAGTTCATAATCTTTCTTGACGAGATGATATTTTTCACAAATTTTTAATTTATAATAATTTATAATAAAATTTTTTCAAAATTCAAGATTTTATGATAACATGACTATCGAGGCTCTTTCTGAGAGAGGATAAATCTAGTGAGAGAACCGAATAACAAAAATTACAATTCATTCACGACAAAACAAAAGTAGCACTGAACCCACGAAGCAGTATCATGCCTCCAATTAGCTGCAAGTAACGAGAATTTTGGGAACGTTACCTCCCCCCATTGGAAAGGACAGATGATGGAACAAATACTGTCAGATCAGAAGCAAAAATGTTAGTTCCATATCTGTCAATGGAAAACTTCACACTACCCGAAGAACGGCTAAATAAAAAAGCGGAGAAATTTGAAAATTTATTAAAATAATTAAAATCCATGAGTGTTGAAAACTGGCAAAGTATACGTCTCGTAAGCAAAATCTTCTACGTGTGATCTATCATTATAAACTCCTATACAATCTATTTCTAAAGAAAAATCTCCATCCATCCTATCCATAAGCACTATTCCTAATGAACTGAAAAAGCAACAGAGATCGAAGATTTCAAGATTAAAAAGAAAATACCTAACGTCTTCTAAATTTACACGATATTGTTTGTCCTGGATTCTACCGTTCACAGTATGGAAAAACCTATAACCCCAGAAGTAATAACAGTAACTGAAGTCACTCTACCTAGAGAACGGGATTTTCTCATACTGCCAATAAGGACCTCCATGAGTATGAAGAGGATATGAGAAAGAGTCTCCCCAGGTAAAATCTATTGCTAAAGGAGAATGCAACATAACTTTGTAGCTCCTTCCATCACCACGACACTACAATATCATCAATGAGAATGAAAACAGTGACATCTAACCTTGATTAGCAAATGAGAAAAGTTTTTCCATCTGGTTAAATATTTTTTTCTGTTGAATGCATTCCTGTCTTCTAATTTCAGAGAAGCCCAACCTGCTCTCTCTATCCGTCCATCTTTCAAAACTGCTGTTGATAATGTTCCTCTAAAGAAAAGTTTGAACATCACTCAACTCTCATGAAGCTTACCTGAATATTGAAGTACCGTGATCCGTCGGTACTAACTCACAATTCGAGAAGCCTTCGTTCCAATCACTATCACTTCCTGTCTTCCATAACTCCCTAGACTAAAATCCGAAAGTATTCCCCCAAATTATTCTCGTACAAACTTTGTCTGTGTTGAACCTGTACTCGACTCGAGCTTCGTTGTGTCTTAGCAATCCAATGTCTTCAAGCATCTCGATTTTTTCAACGCCTCCACTATGTTGCATCAATTCTTCTTTCAGTAACTGAAACCACTTCTATTGCAAAAAAGAACCACGAAAGAATCCTGACTTTGGCTTGGGATGATGCTACACCGGGAACAGATTTTAACAATTCCTTGGCGGTGAAGTCAGGATCGTACCCGAACACTCCTTTTGGATTTGGAAAGTTGATGTTCACAGGAGTGTCACTTCCCGAGAAAACAGGAACTTTCACCTTGTCTTTAGCATTTGCCTTTTGTCTCTCCTACAAGGTGAAAACTTGGAATAAGAATACTTCAAAGCACAAACCTGTACTGAGGATTGCTTCTCCGATACATTACTCAGAGAACTACAAAACCTTCTTGAACCAACTGAATAACCTGATAAGTTCGATAAATTGGATGAGGATAGCAATAACCTTATAGGAGGTTTCATACCATAGGATGAAAATGAAAAAAGAAGCTTTTGCTCTTGGCTATTAAGAGGAAACCCGTATAGCCGAACACGACGGTTTGCGTACCAATACTTACAGTATTTTTAATGAGATACACTTGCAGTATCTCTATCATATTAGCTTCTTCGTGATAGTGAATGGTACTATGTTGGAAGTTGGCTTAGTTGCCCTTTCGTTTGAACCTGATGGTAAGATTAACGAAACAGGCAATGAAACTATCAATTTCATTGATAATGGCACCAATATGGTAATGTTTGCTGTTTTGCAACTTAGTTAAACCGTTGTTTCAGTTATGCACCTTGAGAAATAATGGTGGATTAGGACTCACTTGTAAATCTTTGGAAAGTGACCAAGTTATATCGTTGAGGTAAGTGGTTAATCATTTTGATTCAAGCCATTGTCTTCAGAACAAAAGACAAAGGAGCAACTAAACGCGTGAAGTTTTCTCCGAATAAGAAGTTGGTGATGTTTCATAGGCAATCTTTCTCTGTGGTGAGCTTTCGCTTAATGTTTCTTATTAACTGAAGTTTCAAGGATATTGTAATTGTAAATACCACAAATGCCATGGGGTCAGTTGAGTTTTCCGTGAACTCGAAATATCAGGAGCCATTGATCGCTGTGGAATGGCTGAATGATTCCCAGGTTTCCCCGATTTTTCTTCAATAAAAGTCTCATTTCCACTTCAGTTGTTGCTTGTTAGTAAAAAATTTATGGAGCTCGTCACTATAAATGAAGCTAAACAAACATATAAACTGCAAAAGTCAGCTGTAGTTGCATCCTCTTGGTGTATATTCTATGTGAGTCTCATCAATTTTCGAAAAACATCTCCCTTTTAGGCTAAATGCAATATTTGCATTCTTGGAGACAATAGAACTATTCAACCTGTGGTGATAAATCAAGGACAATTCCACATGATGAAGGTGAAGCTCGCCTAGAAATGTTCATATGCTTTTCTTTTACAGAAGTTCGAAATAGATTTCGCTGGACCGAATGAAAATATACCAGAAAACGATGTTTTGGTAACAACACTGTAAGTTTTGCCTCCCTGTTTCTACCTGATTAACATTTAGTTTTCTCTGTTTAGTTATGGAAAACTTTATGTTATGGTTTTCAAATGCAATTCTTCTAATGGCTTGACTGATCTAGTTTTGTATGAGCTAGCTACAGATGACAAAAGCGCTTCAACGTTGAAGCACACGCTTACTCTTGGTGAGATTCGTTGAACATCGTTTAGATCATAAGCCTTTTGTTTAGGCTTCGAGATGAATGGGATAGGAATCAACATCATCGATAATCTAGTCATTGTCCATCATCAGGTTACACCTCGAAGTATTTCACTATAAACCATATGAATGTTTAGCCATCGCGGAAATCAAAAATTTTTGACATCAATTTAAGCACTGGTGACGTTCACGATGCCATTGTCACAACATCCATCAGTACATAAGTGTTTCTTTAAAAATATCAATTTGAATGTTCAGCCGCAAGCGATGGCTGTACTCCAGCTCCTGCTCTCTACTCTAGAATGTGGAAGATTTTCCAGCCTTACGCAATAGCAGGTTTTGAAAACGAAATATGTGCTTCTCAAACAATGGTTTTGCAGATTCCATGATGGGAGTGATGTATAAACTCATAATCCAATATGATAAAGCAGAGAACTGCATTGAGGATAAAGTATGTCCTTCAGTCACGGTTTATTAACTATCGAGCTTTCTTCCAGTTTGTCCTCATTCATTTTCTTATGAACCGATCTAATCAAACTTCATTAACTATATCAACTTTACTAGGATGTGTCAAGAAGCGGGAGTTATCTTTGAGAAAGGTATTTTGAACAATCCCATGCTGAACACAGCCATATGTTAAGCTAGGAAAATTATTTGCTCTGATTGCTGAAGTCAGTTCTGCTCCTGATAAAGCGAATGGTACCTCAGATATCATTAATCTCGTCAACTAAAAACATTTTAGAAACCTCGAATGCAAAAAAAGTCATTAACGTTGTATACACCTCTCCACTTACCACATACTTTTCGCAACAAACTAAACTAATTAGCGGGTTCTTCATTCCTCTCAAGGTTTGAATGTTCGTTTTCGCTCCAGAACATTTTTTTCTTTTCAGGACGATCTTTCAGAAGATTCAAAGTATGTGGGTGACATCATGTTGCAATACTTGAATGCGTTACATAAAGCGGAAACAGTGGTGGATGTGAGTTTAGCTTACAAAGGGTGTTGAACTGTTTGTTTAGGATTATTTTCTGGAATTGCTTGTACAAACTTTAGCGGATGCAGGAGAGTTGACGACACTGCATCAACTTGTTACATATAGGGTGAACTAAAAACAAACATGAAATCGTTACCGTTGTATTGCAGGTGATTTCTGATTTGAAGCCGTTAGCTTCTCTTTTGTTAGGATATGAGGCTAGGTGTAAACAACTTTTTCAATCAGGGGTTGACATACTCTGCAGGTAAATCCTCTTCGCGATCTTTGAGTTGCTAGTCGTATTCAGGCAGAAAGGAATCACAGAAATCATTGAAGTTCTGCTATCAAAAGGTTTAGTAATCGATGCCGTTAGGTAAATGCAAAATCACTGTTGGATGTAATAACGTTTCGATGAAGGTTCTTAGACTCGCCAAGCGGGAATATCAACTACAGCCATGCGAAGTTAATCGAAGCCGCCAATCGTAAAAATAGATTCGTTCAATACGCGGTTGTGAGCCATTTGGCAAGTAAAAAGGGTAAATCAGGTAAGCAACTAAACCAATCTAAGTACTTATCCTCGTTTTTTTTTCAGCGGAAATAACATCTTTTACCGAAGATGAGATAAAGGGAGCGGAAAGAGAGGTTGCTCTCAACATACTGTATGATTAATATTTGCCAAACTTTCTTGTATTTATATGTAAATAAGTTTGTAAATTTTTTTCGCATTAATAAACTTTTCCAAATCCTCCATTTGAAGTTTCCGTTCATTTTCCTATTTCATAATTCGTAAGCTGAACGTGAAAACATAATTTATTCGAGTTTCTGAAATTAGTAGGTCAAAATCACGTTTTACGTGGAAATGTAGGCTAAGGTGTTTCATTTTTTTCTGAGAGGCCATGGCACTAAGCGGTTGTTTTTTTGATAACTCATTTTCTTCTTACTAGCTTGCAAGAAAATTTCTTGGCAGCTACTGTCATTGAAAACGTTTTCTCCATGGAAGGACATTCATCATTCTTCTCGATCTAAACATGAGCTTGAATATTTCTCATTGAGGAAACGAAACCGAAAAATGGTTGAACAAGTTGGCCACAAATAGAAACAGTTCCATTTTTGCTAATCCCTCTCCTAAGCATTGTCTCTTCCCGACAGAAAAAGGTATCAATTCATCAACTTTCTTAATGTTGCCGTCCTCATCTAGAAATCTCTCTGGAATGAACTCCATGTGGTTCGGGAAAACCTGAAAGACAAAGTGATGAACAGAATAGTTCCATGCTTCTCTTAATTTTTCATCATAAAGAACTGTAGATATTTGAGCAATAACACCTGTTCCAGAAGGTATCACATGGTCACCAATCTTATAATCCTTATTGACCGTATGAATAAGATTGATAGGAAGGAGGTTCGCCAGGCGTTGAGCTTCCTGTGTTTATTGATAGTCAAACCAAATTTATGATTGCTTACATTTATAACGGCGTTCGTATAAGGTAGCAAGTTCTTATCCGACATAGCTATCAGTCTGTCCGAAGCTATTACTCTATCCAACTCAGCATACAATTTTTTCTAATTATAGATCCTCATTTAGGAAGTACTGTACATTAGACTTGGGCAATGGATTCGACTTTTACGACTCGAGTCGAATCTTCGAAAATTCGACTTTCGATCTAAGTTGAAAAAGTCGAAAAAGTCGACTCAAGTCGACTCAAGTCGACTCAAATCGAAAAAGTCGAAAAAGTCAAAAAAGTCAACTCAAGTCGAAAAAGTCGAATTTTCGAAAAGTCGACTCAAGTCGACTCAGGTCGAAAGTCGAAAAAGTCGACTCAAGTCGACTCAAATCGAAAAAGTCGAAAAAGTCGAAAAAGTCGAATTTTCGAAGATTCGACTCAAGTCGACTCAAACCGAAAAAGTCGAAAAAGTCGACTCAAGTCGACTCAGGTCGAAAGTCGAAAAAGTCGACTCAAGTCGACTCAAGTCGAAAAAGTCGAATTTTCGAAGATTCGACTCAAGTCGGTGTAGCCGGAAAGTCGAGTCGATTCCCCAAGTCTACTGTACATATATTGCTACCTGAACGTGTGGATGGTTTATCAAGTAAATAGAGAGCCAAGCCAGGGTGTTGGCTACAGTTTCTAGCCCAGCTACCCATAAATCCCAGCACATATTCAATAATTGTTTGTCGCTAGAGGGCATTTTTATAAATTTTAAACTGAAAACGACAGAAACCTGAATGTATCAACGTCGCCCGATTCTTCTCGTTTTTGTTGTTCCCGCAAGTAAGCTTCAACATAGTCAACTGCTTCTTCATAACCAGACCTGGTTTTTATCACTTTGGTGTGTTCATCGATTTGCTTCTGTAGTTTTCCAAAGACAGTATCACGAAGCTTGAAGACCCTTAAAGAACTTTTTTCAATTGCTATGTGATTCGTGCACTACTCTGCATAGACTGATTTAAAATATGGAAGGAATCGCAGCTTTGGGAACGTTGTAATCAAATAGAAAGTTGGATCTCCAAACCAACGCATCTGATCTTGAATGAGTCCTCTCAATGTGAGCATCTCCTCAACCCTCGACTACAATATTTTGTTCGAAATGTTATTGATCTAAGTTACTTACATCATCAAAGCGTTCACTGAAGAGCAACTGGTTGATGATTGAGCCTACAGCAACGTCGAACACTTTCTTCAACGGAATGCTTCACTAAGGTATCCAAAAGAGATTAACCTGCGTATTTGGAACAATGGGTCCGTTCTGATCAATGCTCTTGATCATTTCTTGTACTTCCAGTAAAATCTATGGAAAATTGAACATGAAATTTACTCTGAGCAGTTTCACCTTCTCCTCCATCACGCTTTTTCCTAATCCCAAATGTCTCAACTGCGTTATGGCGAACCGTCTATGGTTTCTCCAAACATCACCACTAACATCCATAACACCATATTGACCATCTGACAATAGTTTGGTCACTGATTACTTTTTTGATTCTTAACCTCTGAATAAATCTGTATACATTTCAAACTTGAGTTTGTCTTGGAATACTTCTCCATCACGAATGAAACTGTCTTTTATAGTTGGATAATCTGCAACGACAACAACTGGTTCTACTCCTGAAATATCTACCTCTAAATGCTATTGTAAGCCATACTTGCCAAGCCAAACTGTATAAACAGGACCGTAAATATCCCTCCATTTAAGAAATGCATCGTAGCCCGGTTCAATTTTAGCAATTTCATTCATGTTTCCCACTATAGGAAGAGGCATAGGTCCTAAGTGTAGAAGATTCTTGAGGATGCCTACAAACTGAAATACCTGGCGGATAAGGTCTTCTTTTCCAGAAGAATTCATTGAAGATGAAGATTATTAAGATTGTAAGTACAATGAGAAGAATCATGCTGATTGCAGGAAGAGAAATGGTTATGATACTTCTTACTCCTTTAATAAATATAAGAGTTACAAGGGAATGACCAAAAAACCGTAATAACATATATAACAGGTTCTACCTGTTATTGTTTTACCTTGATTGTTCTAACGATCTTCTGTTCCGTTGCTGTTTTGACTTTAGTATGATATGCTTATTCACTTGATAACTCAATAGCTTCAGTTCGACATAGCCTACGCTGCACACTCAACTGTTTTAGTTCGTTCATTTAGCTTTTAACAGTTTATCATTTATCATTTTAATAATTACATGTTTGATGGAAGGTACTGGCAAAGTCCTGTTTTGCGATCACATGAACTATACTTGGGACACTCCGAGCATTTTTTCCCGTAGTCATAGATGTTCTGCCCAATTATATTACCCCTAAAATATGTCACTGTTTAGATTCCCACCTATTATATACCTGGGTTCGTACTGGCATACCACATGTACAGCCGAGCCACCCTTACAAACTGAAGACGCACACCCAATATATCTAGTTGAAGCCCATGCCATCTTCGAAATGGTTCATTCAGCAATTGAATAAGAAAAGCTGAATACCTGAGTTGCATGTCCTATTCCTGTCATGAAGAGTTCATTTGTTAAGGTTAATCCTCTCCATCCATATTTCACAAACTCTTCTTGCCATACATAGGATGCTTGTGTTATCTTAAACCTATGATTTACATGTGTAAGCTTGGAATGATACCATATTTTCTTTGTCGATACCGCTACCGGAAACCATAAAGAGGTTCTCACCATAGTCGTCATCGTCATCTTCATGCTTGAACTCGCAGCGATCGGCGACTTTTTGTGCGCTTCTCTCAACTTCACAACTCCATTCAAGCTTTAACATGTTGGAAGCCGTAGGCATACTGAGGTTTCCACCTTCGACATAATTTCCTTTAGCTATGGTTGATCGTAAGTCATTGTGATACTCAAGGACTGCTTCGCGCTCTTGCTAAAAGAGAAAAAGAAAGTTGGATAAAGAGAAACTTGTAATAACCTCCGAAGTCTGACCAGCACAGGTATTTAATTTATAAGCTAAAGATAGGGGAAAGAGAGACAGAACAAGAAACAGACTAACCATAATGGGAAAACGATAAAGCTTAGAAAATGAAATTTTCTCCTAGTCAATATGTTATTTATATAAGATGGGTAAGAGGAAAAACAAATCGTTTTGTTTATTCTTAATTTCAAAATAGAATTCGTGTCAAAACCATGATTACAACTTATTCTTTTGATTATTTGCTCAAGCTTTGACAATGTTCTTGAAAGAGTTCTTGCAGTTCAAAAGAACAAACTTCATTCATTGACTTCTCTTTCAACTGGTTTTTGCAGAAAAAAACAGTTTCATTACCATTTGATTCACAAAATATTCTTCAAACCTCAATGACTTCATTGTGAGTGTGGGAAGACGAAGGGGGAAGAAGAAAGCTTTTGGGGGTCAGCATTGAGAAGTCCTTTCAATGAACTAATGACAAACAAGCAGTAAGGCAAGATTCAAACGTCTTTATTCAAATACAAATTATTATGAATGTTCTTCTCTACTTATCAATGGCTCATATGTCAAATAACCACGTTAGAATTACACTTTGAACAAGAGATATTTGAGAAATCTGAAAATGAGAACAAAACACATGAAGAAGGAGAAGACATAACTATACTGGTTAAAAGCTTAAGAAGAATATCTGAAAGCATCATCGAAACATTTCTACACAACATATTACAAATGATATCTTTTCGTATCTTATTTTCTAAAGATAAAAACGATTTAACAAACAATATTACAATATAATAATGATAAGAAGATCTTTCAAGCACTGGTTTCACGATAATTTGGAATCTGATGTGTTCTGAATTGTGCTTGTGGCGATGCTCGATATGATGACGGTAATTGATTGAAATGTGTAGTTGATGGATATTTCTCCAGAAGTGGTTCCTCCCTCAGAGCACTTCGGTAGGCAAGTTCATTACTGCAACGGAACGTGTGTATGTGTGTGGTTCTACCAGAGAGTTGTTTGCCTGCAAGTGCTGCAAACGTGCCACCAACACAAAAACACGAAAAGAACAAACCAAAAATGAAAAAAAGAAAGAAACGATTAAAAAAAAGAGAAAAAAAGTGGTAAAAGAAGTGTTCGATGATGTTTGACTTAAATAACTCTTTCTTTCCCACTTTCGCTATCTACTTAAGGACATGCATAACCGAGGTGATCAAGAGAGACTCAAACACCACGAGTTAGTTAGACGATATTAATGTGAAAAGAAGAAAACTTAAATTTTAGAAGCTTTTCATGAGTAGAAGTGGTAATCAGGCAGTGTGTGAGTTGTTTTTGGAATTAAAAAAGAAAGACTAAGAAAAGTATAATTTACACGTTTAATTGCGCTGCATTCTGTCGTTGAGTTTGCCATTGGAAGAGATTCTCATTGCTAAAAATTTAGAAGCTTGACTGTGACGAAGGGTAAAGTACTTCTAGACGACAGGGAAAATTCACAAATAGTTTTGAAATAGATTACTATCATCTAACTATGAAAGCTTTAACATAGGGAAAGAGTGAAAAGCAGACACAGGTGTGACTTTACATTAACAGTTGAACGCTATGTTAACCATAATGACAAATCATATCTAATATCTAACTAATCAAGGCATGGAAAAAAAAGAAAAAAAAAAGAAGAAAATTAGATAAAATCTGCTCACCTCTGTGTATCATCTGCTTTGGTAATGAACTTGTATGTTGTAGCAAGGCAACATACAAATGCTACCGCCCAAGCTAGGGTTCCCATCATATGTAAATAGAATGCATATCCAATATGTTGCTATAATTAAGAGTAATTATGCATGATATAGGCAAAAGCCATACTTCATATGTTCCGACCATTCCAGTTACGAAACGATTATCGACACGATTAGCAGAAAGGAAGAACACTCCATCAGCAATAATAGAACACATTACTGCAAATTATTCAGAAGACTTTTGTGGAAACATGCCAACAGTAAATGACTTACAAGCTAAGAAAAGTGATCCGGTGAATACGAAGGCAGTTGGTGGGAAACATGGAGCACATACTCCGGTACAGATAGAAAGGAAAGCCAAAAGCTGAGAAGAGATGATGAAGAACAGTACTACTTTGTGCCAAGCTGAAATATACTTTATAAGTTGAATTCATTCAATATGGCAGCACAAACCCCAGAATCTATGATGCTCTGATTCTCCAGCAGCTCCATCTTCATCGATATTGTTCAAAGTGTTTTGAATAACTAATTCAGCAGAATTATCAAACTGAAAGAAATGGAGCATAAAGAAGTAAACAACATGAGAGAAGAACAACCGCTTCGCATAACTCAAGAAAGGTGAAGTAATATCGTACGTTCAATCGATTCGAAATTAGCATAACTTACTTTGTACATACAGTGAAGTGGTGTCTCATCATAGAAATCACCTACAGCAACAACATGCTTCTCAGCTCGAATACAATCCCACCATAAACCATGCTGGAATGGATAAATGATTAGTTGCACGAATATTAGGAAAGTTGCTTACCTGATGTTCAGCACGGAACTCACGGATATCTACTACTTGCCAAGCAGGCGAAAACACTCCTGCAACTGTTAAACAGAATCCGGTAACTATGAAAAGTATTGAAACGATGAGCAACCCTTTCTGGGTTATAGTGCTCGCCATCAAAAAACTGAAAACAAGGAATGTAAAAGCTAATTAAAAAATACAATAAGAAGTTGACGATAAAGCTGAAGAACAAAAAAAAGAAGATTATTTCATGAGAAGCACGTGAGAACACTCAGAATCTGTTGATGATTGTTGGTCCATGGTTAGAATCTGCAAGAAACCAGAAACGGAATCGATTTGTTGGTTATGTCGATCAAGAAGGAAAAAAAATGAAACTTTCACTTCATTACAAATATATAAACGAGAAATGAGACGAATTAGCCTTATTCGTGATATTTCTCATAATGCTATAACCTCGTGTTACCGTATCTATTGGTATACATGTATGATGTACGGAAGTTAGTGTGGCATAGACATTGCTCATAAGCACTCTCCCCACTTTAACTACATTTTTTTCGACATAAATTGATAGAAAATAACGATAAGAGGAAATGTATAACAAAACCGGAAATGAAAGTAACAAACAAATGATAATTTAAGATATTTTTTTTGTCATTTTACCAGGTATCGTATTAGGAAATGTAGAAATGAATTGTTCCAAGACAGATGGCTTAGAAGGCAAATCAATTGGAATGGCTTTTGAGTCATAAACCTGTTGGTCATAATTGCTTTTTCGTATTATACACATAAAATCCGATTTGTAGTTGTTAACAAACAATTTTTAATAATTTCGAGAATGTGCTTGCTCATTCCTTTCTTCCAGACTGTAATTCTCTAGCAAATCGTAACTGAGAGAGAGAGAGAGAGTCAGTGAGAGAGAGAGGATTTTCAGTGAAGCGGAAAAGACATTTAAACGAACAAAAAGTTATAATAAAAGAGGAAGGATTGACAATTGAGATGATGTCCTCGAAATGGGATAGATAATGACCATTTGTCGTCAACACGCTGTTTGAATTCAGAAAGATAAGGCCTTCAAATGATGAAGACTGAGAGAGAAGATGGCTTGAAAGACCTTGAAATCAAATTTTCCTGGCAGCTCCCAAAAATTCATCAGAGGTCAAGCCGTCCTATCTGTTTTCATTAAGCAATCATTGATGAAAGAAAATGTTATGACAAGAAGTGAAAAAGGATTGGAATTCACTAAAAGAAAGTTTTATTTATTTTTTTCATTAGTTTGATCAAACTTTTCTGACTTTCATGATTTCTCAAACGTTTATCTTAGCAAAATCTTTAAACGGAACGATCTTCGCACCGTTTTCTATTTTAATGTATTCACGGTTTCAACTCTCCGGCTGTATAACGATACTCATCAAATCAGATAAGAGGATCTCTTGATCACTACCAGCTGACCTCGTTCGTCAAAATATGCTAGTTAAAACATATTTTGAAATTATCTTTTAACCATTTACATATAGTTAAATATGAAATAGAAATGACACACGACATCAAATGTCGGAGAAACTTCATACCTGGCGCCGTGCCAAATATGCAGATTCTCTCAACGCATGAAAGAGAAATGAAAACAAAATAGTCAAGGTAACATTGCAAACAGGAGGATTAGAGATAGAGGAGAAAGGAGGTAAAGTCCTAAGGACAAAGGTGACATTGAAACTGACGGACCAGAGGATGTACGTCGTCGTCAACCCCGCCACAACGACTTCAGACCCCCAATCGATCCGGTTTAGAAAAGGGGGAAAATGAATTTGAATGTATGACTGAATGTACTCTGAAAATTGGAATGCCCACACTTGGTAAAATGACCAACATAAGGACAGTTTTTGGGTGAATTGTTCAGGTTAGGGCGAAATACAAAAAAAAAACGGTATAGCCATATAAGCTGATTTAAGAAAGTACGCGTACGGGGTAGCAGCTGACTACAATTACAAAGAGGGACGACAGGCTTGTAGCTTCACTTTCACATTTCCTGTGCCAGCTGGAATTCATAATGAAAATTTGAATAAAGCTGAATGGGCAAGTATGAGATTTTGGAAAAGAAGAACAATTAACGCCATTTTAAGGTTAACAACACAAGGATTACTAAATGGGACATTCAAACGAAGACAAATAGCGAAATAGTCGAAAAGTCGAAAAAAAAGTAAAAATACAGGTGAAATGTAAACAGAATATAGGCTAATCTATCAGCTGAATGTAATAAAAAGCAAAATAACACTCTTTATATGGAAACGATTGATGCAAACGGTGGATGTGAAATGATTTGGAAGTTGAAATTGGAATAAGCATATGTCACGAAAAGCTAATCTACTATATGACTATAATTGGGTAAAAGACTGGGATGAACAATAGCCGCAACAGTTCCATATGCAGAAACAGGAAAACGAAAGAGAGAGAGAGAGAGAGAGAATGAATGAATGAGAGAGAGACGATGAGAGAGAAAATGACGAGGGGAGGGCAGGAACGGTAATGGCCCCTTCAAAGCTCAAACGAAAACCCCGGGGGGTAACTATGGATACACTTGAAAACATTGTGTCATGCTCAATCATGTGCAAAGTCTTTGAAGTAAAAATTGAAAAGAAGGAAAATAAACTATCATTCCTTCTCTCCATATGTGTATGTGTGTGTATGTGTGTATGTGTTTGGGAAGAGTGACAGAGAGGAGGAGGAGGGAATTTCATCAGAATTTCCTTAGTTCATCTACGTCTGCCAAACAGTCGGCTGACGTTAATGACAATAGCTATCCAGACGCCGACCTCAATTGCTTTTACAGTCATCCCTCAGTCGATATTTTTCTTTTTATTCTCTTTTCTTTTACCTGTTTCTGAGCAATTTGTAGAGTTTAAAAAGAATTTTAATATGACCAAAAAAGAAGATGAAAAGTACTTATGAGTCAACTGTATACGAAAGAGTATCTCAAGTTGTATACTTTATGAGATTTCTAGTCACGGTTGTCAATACTCAGGAGAGAAAGGAAATAATTTGTAGTAAAGAGAGTTGGACAGACTAGGTTATGAGTTATCTGATGATACTCTCCGTTTTTACAATCAGATGAAGATCTTTGAAAGGGCATGATAGAGAGTTAGTTGGTTAAGAAATATATTTCGTTGATAAAAAGGGTAAAAATGGAATTAATGATATCCAGGAGGTCAATAGGCAACACTTGAATGTTCAATTGTGGATAGAAGAATCAATAACATATATAGAGAGAGAAGGCTGGCTGGATAGAGAAAGATAGTACTTTCAATAGCTGGAGGCACATTCTGACTGTTCAGAGACCTTGAAATATAACGGTGCATATTTGGGATGACACAATTTCGACCCAATGGGAGATCTGTGACGTTACCTACAAACAGGAGGAAATACTCTCTCTCTCTTCAATTCATTTGCATTTTCCCCTTCATCTCTTCTTAGAACTCAATCCATCTATCCGCCTTTCTTTCTCTTTCTTCCTCTATCTCTTTCATCCTTTAAGATCCAATTGCCGCCAATTGGAAATACCTCCGTGCGTTCATTTCATAAACGTCTTCTATTATTAATTTCATGAAATAATTATTGGAAGTACAAATGTGAAAAGGATGATTTTTGAACGGTCACCACTCGACTCAATATGCGAACCTCATTAGCATAAACCCCTGAAACTCCACGTTTCACGTGTATAGCGTTCGTGAGTTAGTCTCACAGGAAACTCAGAGCATCTTCGATCGATTGAATGTAAGAGCATCTAAATAAAAGTTTTTCTTCTCGAATCTTCTTCAGGATTCCTCGGGCGGGGAAACAACTCGTGAGATCGCGAGCTCTAGGTAGATATCGTCTTCCTGAAAGTATTTATGTAAGAGGCAACAGGATAAGAAAGAGAAAAAACGAGCAATTTTAAGGCAGAAAAGGAAGAAGGTTACGATGGACACTTACAATGGGACCCAACCTCAAAGAAAGTAAGAAAATCCGGAAAACAAAAGCAAAAGCATGTCTACAGACCCTTGTTATGATGCAACAGTTTCGAGAAGCTGTAAAGTACGATGATTTAACTTTGATAGTTGAAACTCTTGATAGTTTGGGAGCTGCAGGAACGGTAACACTATATGTTGATTATAATATATTAAAAACTATCAGGAAGCTCAAATTCTTCATATTGCTGATTTGATTTTAAATAAATCAGCCGAACCATTGAAAGAAGCTTTACTGTGCGCTATCTGTATTGGGAGTCGTCCTTTGACTGAATTCATACTGTGTTTGTTCGACGATTTTGCATTCAGTGAAAGAACAGGTAAGCTCTCTCAAAGCTAAAACATTCATAAAGGGTTAAGCTTGTACCGAATCCAGTGCGTTTCCTCCTCATATGACGCCACTTTTACTAGCTTGTATAATGAACAATTTCGCAATTGTGGAATGTTTACTACTCAGAGGCCACACAATCAGCCCTCCACATCATAATAACTGTTTGTGAATTTTATTTTCCTCGTTGATGATATCAAGATCTGTTATAATCATTAGGCGGATGTCTTCATTGCTTAAGAATGCCCCATTCTGCTTTGGCTTCAATGCAAAAGGTTTGTTTGTTACTTATTCAATTACTGAATCTACAAAAATATTCTGTAGGTGGATATTCTAAGAGCGTTAAGTTCAGAAGCATACTTATGGCTTGCAACAGACGATCCATTCGCAGCAGCTTGTGCTCTAGCCAGTGATCTACAACAGTTCATACGTGATGATAATTTAGAATATATGGTATGCTAACTGTAATTCACTTTTCCTATTGTTTGTGTGTTAGGACTGGTACAGAAGTTTGTTACAAAATGTTCAGCGGTTTGCTGCTCGCTTAGTTGATCAAGCTTGGTCAGAACATGAATTAGATTTGTTTCTGTCACATGTAAGTTCTGTTAATGTGAAACTTGAAGAACAAATTTAGAGAGACTATAGTCCACTCCTTCTGTGTGAGGACCCATATCCAAGAGTTCAAATGGCTCTAGATTCTGAAATGAGAGAAATGGTATCAAGTACGAATGTTCAACGAGCTATGGAAGAAATATGGTGGAGAGGTAGATTTGAATAAGTTTTCCTTGAATTAATAAACTTTTTGCCTGCAGGATGGGGTAGTTATGGTTCAAGTCCAAAGAGGGATTCTTATCGTAACTTCCGTCACTTCATTTGCTATCCTATTCTAGCTCTTCTTTATATCATAAGTAATGGCAAGATGGTGCAGTCATTCGAAGTACCTCTAGCTCGGTAAGTATACATGTTATTCTCTTCATCTTTTTTCGTTTACTCTTTCGTTATATATATTTCTTCATATATTCAGATTTATAAGTAATTTGTCGTCATATTTTGGATTTGTAGCCTGTTTGATCATAGTTCGACTGTTGCGAAACAACTATGTACAGTTTCCGTTTAACTCAGGTAAGTGAGAGCTAAGTAGAGCAATAAAAGGAACGATTTCATAAGATTAGTTATATTACCATTTATAGCTATAGCAACAACGTTAGAATTCTATATTTTCTTATATGTGGCTGGTATGTTAGTTGAACGATATATTCTATTCTCGAGACATGGATTAAGAAATTATTTTCGATTTTGGTGGCGATGGTTTGTTTATAATACATTAATTTATATAATTTAATATATTTATTTCAAGGTTTGATTTTATGCTAATCGGAGTATTTTTGCTGTCAATCCATTTATGGATTACAATATTCTTTGTTTCGGATTCATTTCTTATGAATACACATCGTATTCATTGGGTATACAGTTATATAATTATATAATATAATTTATAATTAAGACGTGGTACGATGAACATCTTCTATATGAAATATATTTTGGGACAGGATGTGTCTTAGCTATATGGAAAATATTTTATTTTTTTCAACTACGCAAAGGATTAGGCGGTAGTATTGTATGTTTTATATGAAATAGAAGATGATTCCTATGAGTTTCAGATATCAGTTGGAAAATGTGTGTCAACAGTCTATAATTATCTTGTGATTATGGCGGTTATTATGCTATCATTTGCTGTTGGCATTAATATTATAGTACAACCTTATTTAAATAATATTGACAATACAAATGGAATGCAACGATCCACAAGTCCACATTTCACTGAGTTCGTTTAAGCTTTTCAATTTCTTATTTTGTTTTAACTTGACCGGAAGCCGTTCGGTATCATGATTGAATATAATCGTCTTATAGTATTGTTTCATCGTATCGAAATCTGTATTGGTCGTTCTATGGATATCTTGATCCTCAGTTTTATCAAATCATTGTTGGCAACATGGGAGATGATAATGAAGCTTCATCTCACGTAATAACTAACTTTTCGATTGAAGTAAGTTTTTGTTTGTTTACTTCATATAATCAGCTATTCAGATTCTGATGGCTGTTTATCATGTCATTGTTATAATTACTCTTCTTAATCTTATGATATCCTTATTGGTAAAAAAAGCTGATGAAGTGTTGGTATGGCCTGATCCTTCTATTGTCCGTATTTCTTACTATTTCTTTGCGTTTTAGGAGAATGAGGAAATGGAATTCAAGTATATTCGCGTAGTGGTATACTCAGAGTATATTCATTGGACATCAGCAGTTCCACCTCCATTCAATCTTCTCTATATTGCAAAAGAATTAATATGTCGACTATTTGATGAAAAATACAGGAGATCCTGGCCGGTCAGATAATTCATTTTCATTTGCATCATATTCAAATCTTTTTTCAGGATTTTCTTGTTGATTCGAATATTGTTCAACCATCATCTGATGAATGTGATCAAGAACATTCAGCTTACAGAGTACGCTATAATATACATTTTATCATTTACAATATGTATCTCAGAATTTATTGTTAAAATCGTTTCAACGTTATCGCTCAAGTAAGGAATGTCATTATAAAACTGTGTTCCGTACTGAATTCGATGCTGTAAGCTTTATTATGGTTTTCTGATTAATTTTATAACCATGTTGTGTGTTTCAGAAAGATAAGCCAACTCAATGTGTGCCGAAAGTAGCTTTCATGAATGGACCACCAACTAGAGTAGAGGTCGATGCAGGAATAACTCTCAACACAACCCCGACACCATTTACGGATGAAAATAACAACATTGCTGTGCCCACCAAAAGACGAAAAGATTCTACTATTCGTAAAAAGTAAATGTTTTTTTGCAATCCATCCTAATCAGAGGTCATAAAGCATATATGAAAAACGATTTATTTACAAACAATAAGAGTGATAATAAGAATTTAACCTCTTGATCGTTTCGTTTTTTCTAATTCCAAGGCTCGTGCCAGCTTTTGATCAAATTCTTCAACTGTTAATCGAACTGGTCGATGCTTATCATCAGCTTGTCGTATTCTAGATAATAAAAAAAAGTATAAAAAAGTGATGAACAGTAGCCATGATAAATGGCTTACCGATGAACAACATCCAAAACGGATACTCTATCAGCAGAATCTTTTGATCCAGTTTTAAATATATTATACTGCCATCTATTGACGACAGTTAGACAGAAAGCTGGCGATCTATCCGGATTTGTGTGATCGGGTATTGTCCAATGAATATCTATAGATAATGATAAAATTTTAAATTATATAATCAGTTGTATAATTTAAACCATGTGATACAAGTTCTGGATTTCGTATAATCAGAACACCCCATGACCCGCCATAAATATCTTCAATGATTCGTCGTATCATCTAAAGTTTTTAGTTTGATATTATAAAAAGACTTAAACATAGACGTTTTCTAAGCTTACTTGCATTTGTATGGCCGGATCTTTAGTCTGTTGATTAGCTCTGATAACAATATTTCGAACATGATTCATTGGACAATTATTCAAAGCTTAAAATATATATATATATGATTAAGCTAATGATGCAATTCATTTACCTGTTAATGATTCTCTAATGATTAATAAAAACAAAAAAATTGTATTAAAGTACATTATATAATATAATATATTTTAGGTCATAGAAGAGGTAGAACAAAATGACAGACACTATTGCGCCTCAATCTGGATGACTCCTGTTGAGGAGGAAAAAAAAGTAGAAAGTGAATGAAGCCAGTTGATGATTTTGCCATTTGTATAAAAGAATTCATAACATGTAAAGAGGCAAAAGCTTCAAAATCCAGTTTCCTTTCAAGGGAGAAAGACAGAGAGAGAGAGAAAGAAACTAAAAGTTAATTGCGAAATACTATAAGTTCGGATGAGAGCTCAATCATCCAACACAATAGATTTTCAGATACGAAAAAAGTGTCAGAAAGAACAATCCGAAGAGGTTCAAAGGAAGATAGTAAAGGTCATGCTTCGGATTGTTTATTAAGTCCGTTCCATTAGTGAACGTCTAGCTGCAAAACATGTCTGAAAATGAAAACTTTCTTGATCAACACACACACGCATACACACACTCATACATATACCTACAGACAGATATGTAGTACTTCCAAACACAACCGTTCATCGAGCCTTGTTCACGAAAAATGATATATATGAAGCTTCATTACGTTCATATCCTAACCCTTACGTGAGCAAACTCATGAATTGGCCGTGTAGTAAGTACGAACGAAGGTCTTTCTCGCCGATTCTATTGAATAAGTAACAAAAAACGTAAAACAATAAAAAAAAAAGGTTTTATCGCCATAGTCTGGCAGAAGTCTATTGAATTAAAGGCGAAATAAGTTAAATAAGTATGAGAAATGAATTATTTGTCTAATAGCCTATCTTATTTCATTGATAGAAATGACTAAAAGTGAAAAAGCTAAAATAAATATTTTTATTATAAGTTTATAGCTTAACTATATATATATATAAATGTTATAATCATGTCATATAATAATAATAATAAAAAGGTTGGAATTGAAGAATAGGACCCGCCTTTAAGGCTTTTCTCCTTATCACTTTACTATCTTCTATTTCCATTTGTATACAATATTTCATTCGCAAAGTCAGTAACATTTTGATACATTTGACTTGTTGTCTATGCTTCTCATTCAATCACAAAACCTAATCATTCATACTTGGTGTTGATTCTTTGTTTCAAATCACAACCAAAAAATAACTAAAAATTTCATTTTTCATTACGATGCTTTCTCTCTCTCTCTAGTCCAAAGTCAAAAAGTCACTTTTATAACCTGAAAAGGGTATTGAGTTACAAAATCTTCCCCATCATATTTGGAAGCTCATGTGATTCATTTGTTCTCATCCAACTCTCTATGTCCTCTTTCAATTTTTAAAAATGTAAAAACGAGGATTCAGAAGCTTTCAATGTCAACTCGTCCAACCGGATTGCAGCCTCCTTATTTCACAAACGAGGTATGTTTTTGATTTTAAAAGTGAAATTGCATTTCGCTTTCTTGTTATCTTCCATATCTCACATATGTTTCTATTTACCATTTTAGGGTTTGGATTTTCGTAGTCGATGGGGAGCTGTACCTAAAAGTGATAGTGTCAGCTTAGCCTCCGCTAGTCCAGCACCAAAGAATTATACCTTATTAACCAAATGTATAGCAGAATTCATTGGAGATTTCACTTTCGTCTTTGTTGGTAATTATATTGTTAAATAATAGTATATAATTTTATAAAATTTATTTACTTAGGAACCATGCAAGCTTTTGTAACGCAAGGAGCAGCTGATAACATTCTCCATGCAGCTCTCGCCCACGGTTTAACAATCTTCATACTTGTCGCCTCCCTAGGACATATAAGGTATGCGAAAGAGCAAGAGTCAAGTATGAATCAAGAAGAAAAAAAAACTTTTTTTTTGTCTTTGATTCACAAATGATTGGAATAATCCTTTCAAATCTGATGCTCTTTATGATGTTTCAAAGAAATTTTTGGTCAGATTATGAAGCATTAAAATTCGTTGGAAATGTCATCAAATGTGACATTAATCTGATAAAAAAGTCGTTCAAATAATGATAGTAACTACTGAAATACGACAATTTATAGTCGTTCTCTTCAACGAATTCAAATGATGATAGCATTCATCAAACTATAGATGAATGATTGTGAAGCTTGAGCTTTCATCAGGATGTATACTCATATAGGCATCCCTAGAACTTCATATAGTCTATGAAGATATTGTGACGCACAAAGAGAGTGAGAGGTGAGAGAGAGATCTTCGTACTCCTACATTCTCTGTTTTGCGACTGAAATTACAGACATTCACTTAACTTATGAATTTTGAACTCCATAAATGAAACTTTAAAGATTAAACTTGATCATAACTATTACAAACAAGAGATTATTATAGTGGAGGACATTTCAATCCAGTTGTATCATGGGCTGTTGCTATAAACAGAAAGATGCCATACTATCATTTTCCATTTTACATGATGTCTCAACTGTTAGGAGGTATATGTGGAGCTTTCATGACTGCCGTGAGTTTCTATCTTATCGTCATCGTCTTGTCCTGTTCTTGTCCATATACGTCAGAGTTATCATCAAAAGCTTAAGGTTTTAAATAATCATAGCCATGATGAAGATCGAACAACAATCAAAGTTGATTACAAGTTTTCGGAATCAAATGGCCATATAGTTGGTGAACTGAACGATGTCATTAATCGAACTATAAAAGTTTGACTTTACAAAGCTCTTCTCCTATGTTCCCTTTGTTACTTTTCGTTTTTTCTCGTATGGAGACATAGATTCATATTCTTCAGGCCGTTATGACGAAAGGTGAATTCCAATCAAGTCTCGGAGGAGCTACTCTTTTGAACGAAGGCAACCAGTGGTGGCAGGTATGTGTCAACATATTTTTTATAAGAAAATTATATTTGTCCTTTGAAAGGGATTCCTCTCCGAGACAGTTGTCTCATATTTCCTTGTTCATACGATCCTCCTGACTGCGGTTGACACAGATAAAAACGTTTTGGCTCCTTTAGCCATCGGCATGACTCTGACCATCGACATTCTCGCTACGTGAGATGAAAACATCCTGCATTGTATATTTATTTATTTAGTGGAAAAATTACGGGAGCTTCAATGAATCCAGCCAGATCTCTCGGTCCAAATATTGTCAGTTCCATTTTCTTAGACACAAAGCCAGCAGATCTTTGGAAACATCATTATATTTATTGGGCAGGACCATTCTTGGGATCCACAATTGCAGCTTTATGGTTCAGGTAATTCTGAGAAACAAGAATCCATTTTTTTAATTTTTTTTTCAGACTCTTCGAATCAAGAGAAGAACGCTATATCAAATAAGTATTGATTCGTATATATTATAATTGTTTTAATTTATTTTTCTTTATTAAATGTTGAAGAACAAGGCAAGATATGAAATACAAACAGGCGGTGGTAGCTTCAGTCGAATACTCGAGCTTCACGAGCAAAAAATGTTCTGAAAGTGGATTATAAAAATGATGAGAATTGATGAAAAGCTTATGTTTACTTATAGATTATTGAGGCGATGATAGATCCCGTGCAGGGTCCAATGTAGTAAATCCAATGATAAGCCCACAATAGTGATGACAAATCATTTGCTTTGATGAAAATACTTCCGACAATGTTTGGACCGAATGAACGAGCTGGGTTCATAGACCCGCCACTCACATTTCCGCTGAAAAGATTACATTTCTGTATGTACTTTGAATGATTCGAGAAGTGCGAAAAAGTACAAGGAAAGCCATAAGTACTTACATGGCTAGTATATCAACAGCTACGGTAAGCCCTATAGCTAACGGAGCCAGAAGATTATCACATTTATCAACAGCGGTTAACAAGATGACCATAACGAGAAGGAATGTAGCAAATGTTTCCACCAGCAAACCCTTCAAAGAAATGCCGAAATACAAAAGAATTATCTAACAGTTATTATTTCTATTGTTTCGCGTACAAAAGAACAAAAGAACCGACGCTTATGATATTGCAAATGTTTTAGAAAAGAAGCAAAAACCATCTGCTTACTTGATACCATTGATGAGCTTCTGATAATATCGTTGCTCCTCCTTGAATTGACACATAGGTACTGTAGGAGCAAACAGCCTAGAAGATCATTCTTTAATGAACAGGAGGTAATAGCTTCTGATCTTACTCTTGTTAATGTGGCTCCAACAATAGATCCGCTGAGTTGACTTAGAACATAAACAATGCATTCAATTACTGGTAACTTCCCAACTGCTGTGATTCCTATCGTAACAGCCGGGTTCACATGTGCTCCACTTCAAGAAGAACTTCAGAATCCCTTACTCCGATTCTTCCATACCTTATACCACCGAACGCTGCTATCAGGAGAAAAAGCATGAAACCATGAGTTAAAGCTGCATGAAGAAGACCATCTGCTTCAGCTCCCTGAGCTTGCATACTGCCTTCAACGTAACTTTGTTCATATCAGACTGAGCTTTCTTATTCAAACCTGCGAATGTAAAAATAAGGACGCAAAAGAACTCTGCTGCACATCTGCTAAGAATCGAGTAATCCACAAGACCATCACTGTTCGACAAGGACGGTCCTCCCTGAAATAAGTATATGAGTGCCTAGAAAGAAGAATTCATTTTTGGAAAAATAATCAGAGTGAGCGGTTGTATTCTACATTTAGATTCATAGACTTCATCTAGGAAACTATTAATGAAACATACGTTGAATGAGAAACTTCTATTACGTGAGCCGCCTTTAGCCAATTCCACAGTTGGAATTTTATTAGAAATTGACATATTAAGAAGGAGAGCTGAATGATTAGTAGCAATACTATTCCAATGAATTCCAGAAAGAGTCAGATGCTTTCGAAACACTCGTTTCGAAAAATGTTTTCAATTTAAAGGAAGATAGATGATCATTTAGCGGGTTGAAAGTTCTTTTCATAGTCAGAAAGATATTTTGGTCGAGAAAAATATGAAAAAAACAAAATCATCAAGCTGGTTTTTGCATGTGAGTTATGGATGCAGCAGATTCGCAAGTGACGAATGTGAATGAGAGAAGTCTCGAGTGCAGTCTGTTTCCTACCATTTCGGAATCATCGCTTGAGGTACGACGTTTGATAGGGCGAGCTGCAGGTGGTGGCCACATAATTAAGAAATATCCAAATAAGGAGTTCTATTAGCTAGGGAATTTAGCATATTTATAGTAAGGTAGTTGATCAAATATTTGACAATTAACTGCTGTATACTTTTAAAAATTAATATCATTCCTCATCAAAACCATTTCCTTTAATGTATCTCTTCGTTCTCTCTCTCACTCTCTCTATCTGAATGGAATCCGAGACGAAGCTCTTCCTTCTCTGCATCGCATTCTCTCGTTTACCTTTTAAGTAAATTGACAATGAAAAGAGAAATTATTTGAAGATATTGACCTCACCATTTACAACAGTTTTCAATTGAACAAAAGCCATTCTTTGATACTCACGAACCTTCCGCTATCATCTTATGGATGATCCAAAGAACATTTTTTTTGCTCAAAATCAAACATATACAGTTAGATCTCCAGTTCACATAACTATTCCTATAGGTTATCATCAGTTCAAAGTATATTTTAAAGTTTTTTTTTGTGCAAAAAAAGGAAAAGAAAAGTTATTGACGCTCTTTTAAGGTCAATTTCACGGTAAATGAATGATTTTTTGATGTTTACACACATCTTTTAATAACTACAGGAGTGATATGTGATGTTTAACCGAGATCAAACTTACATATTGCAGCTTTTCATCACCGTCCTCTGAGGACACGCTGTGACGATTTTTCAAATATGATGATGTTGATAGCATTGATGGGGGAATAAGATTTCCTCAGGCAATATTCTCTCAGAAATGAATCAGTCATCATCCCGTTAGCTTGCAAGAGAGATGTTTCGCATAAACATGAAAGTAAATAAACAAAAACATATATTTAGTATGTTATATTCTTTTATAACTGAACCAGGTAAAGGAAGAAGCGGCTAAGATGAAAAAAGCTTTCGAATTCTTTTGTTGTCGGCCGAATAATCTTTGATGGTCACTTCTCCGCCCATCAACATAGGAATAACAAGCGAAAGCTATTCCTTGCTCATCTTCTTTTCTTCTCGTTTAACTTTTCTTTTTTGTTTGTTACAATAGATGTTTATATTAAAAAATAGAAAGTATGTTTACCTGTTTGGTTGTGGTGAAAGAGGTTAGCTCTCATCATTACCTCCTCTCCATAAATTGCATACAAAATCGAACTTAAAAGATTTTTGTTTACAATTTATAGAGAGTGAGAAACGACCATTCGATGCGAATATAGAATAATCAACTGAACGATTTGGTTGAAGCTCATAAAGATACAGTATCCCTATGGGGGCTTCCTCAGTTCGGCCCATTTTCTATGGCTTCATCATCCCTTTTTTCTTCCTTCAAATCTCTCCATCTAAAGAGTGTTAAAAGAGAGAATTGATGAAAAGTTTGGAGAAAAACAAAAATTTTTATTAACAATCATGTGTATGAGATCTAACAAACAATAAGTTATCAGTAATAACCACAATCTCTATGTTGAATCAACTTATATGTGAGCTGGCTTTATGAAAGTCAATCTTGTTCTTCGTTCAAAAAAGAAAACAATAGTTTCAGCTACTGTCAATAGAGTTGCTCCGACATACAAGCCTATTGTACCTCCGATTTCAGCTGAAAGCATATCGTTGATTATGAAATTATGAATTGAGATGAGCTTACCGAGTAATAAAAACATATTATATGACCTTTCCTGAATGATAGTTTCCTGTTTGAAATGAGCAAAATAGAGCTTTACATGAAGTAAATTTACTCTGAAAATACAGTATACTTCAATATATTATTATTATTGTTTATATTCTTATTAATCATATGGATTTTATGAATGCTATTGAGCTCTTGCACCTGTATGCATCTCTCATTACCGTAATCATACGAAAGCCTTACTGATCATATTGAGGCGATGGAGAGTATGATTGAGCAATTTGAACTTGTCTATGAACACGACTTAACCATTCTCCGCGTAAGAATGAGCTTTTCTATAAAGACCTTTTTTTTATTTGTTATGTACGAGTCTGATGAAACCTTCAAAAGTGGTATTCGCTCGGTAATATTCTGAAGGCAACGTATAGTTGTCAGAATGCCGGCCGCTGAATCACCATCATCGTTTATTTGCATTTTGTTCAAAAAACGATTCCGTGCATCCAAACCATGATGTAATTCTTTTATGACTTCATTTATCTGAAATTACATTATTCTAACTGCGTGTGTGCAACCTCTCCTCAATTCATCACGATGCTTTCTAATGTAAACATCTTTGCATTGTGATTAGGTTTTGGATGAATGATAAAGAAAACTAACGGCATCGATTATATCTGAAGTCATTGGCTTTCGAAGTTTCATCAATTCGACAATTTCCACATTGTCATGACCCCCCTCCCTGAAAAGACAGTTTGGATTTAGGATGGCCTATACATCATCACCTGTATAGATTCTCAAATTGTTTTATATTTATCTGATGATTATGCCAATCAAGAACTTTTATTCGATTCGTTGAATACACATTTCGAAGAGCAGATTGCACTTTCTTCATGACGTCCTCATATGCCTAGAAACAATATTCTAATAATAATGACAGCCCTAGGGAGAAACAACCTGATAGGCTAATGAATTCCTATTAGCCATATGATAAACTGTTTGAGCATCTAATAGAACGCCATAATATCTTTTGAAAATCTGCAAAAGAAAAGAATTAGCAGTTCTACTGAATTTTAAGTACTTTTCGACATTCTCCGGATGTCAGCTCAGAGTTCTCACTTGTATCATGCAGCTTCATGACGCAGCTCTTTAGTTCTCGAATGAAAGGTAAAACTAAAGATATTGCTGGCTTATTTAAGGACGGGTTTGCAAAGTAAAACCATAAGAGATAACTGTTTTTCGAACAGATTCTTCCATCTGTTTCAAGCCAAACGTATGAGCTGGATGCGACAAATGAGCTTCGGTGGATCCAAGTTGCAACAGAGACAAAGCTATCTGCAGGATTAATTGAACGGCATATTTGTTTTCTTTCTGGAGTTACCATCGAGTAGTTAGCTATGAAGCCCTGATGCTCTTGTATGTTTCCATCTTTGTCCATTATGAATCCAATGGTTCGAGCTGTACTATTCAATTCTCTTGATAGACTTCTTGTAACGTAACTGAAGAACTTTTATTTTCATACTAATTAATCTAATTGTTAACTAACGTTGTCACTCTCTCCCAAATGGATTCCGTTGATCTATATTTCATCAAACTGTACTCTGAAGATCTTATGACGCTTGAAATGAAGCAAGGGGTCCGAAACTCGTCAGTTTGTACATCAAAAAGCTAAAAACTATTATGATTAGCTCATTTCGCACACAGCAAAAATACCTCAGTTGCCAAGTGAAAGAAGTTCTGAGCTTCTATTGCAAGAGACTGAACAGCCCGAACGACGGGAATTCTCTCATTGGGGATTACCTCCAAAGCTTTCTGAATATTGTTTTTTGTCAAAAGCCTTTTTGCTAGTTTGTACTTGAAATTCTGTCAGCCGTTTCTCTTTCAAATCTTCCCAATCACTTGGAAGCATAGTCAATATCTCGGAAGGGACCTATGATAGAATGAGGCATATGAGATAATACTGAGTGGAATTTACTAGTTTCCCTCCGAAAACTACTGAAGAATACGTAACGTCAGTGCAATCCTCTGGACACTGCTGTGCCAGAGAGACATCTTCTGATTCTGATGACTACATGAAACGAAAGTAGAGAACATGCTCTTGGAAGCACAGCTCACCATTACTCTTGAAACGCATCCCATCTCCTGATAAAAGGTGCAAACAGGTCTTCTCCGCTTTCCTCTCTTTGTTTTATTCATCTGAGTAGTTCACAGGTTACTGTAAATGTAAAGACTCAAACCTTTCCTTCTCCAACCATATAATTACGATGGTAAGGGCTCAAGACGGGGCTACATCCACATTCACCTTCGATCCTCTCTACCGTATTCGCCCATTTGCATGCAGCCAATGAGTATTCGTGTAGATCGAAGGGACCAATATCTCTTTTGCCGCAATGTTGCTCATAACGAGAAAGCTTGAAAGCAAAACAAAGACTGTTAATATAAAATACTTCCAAACCTTTCGAACTTCATTAATAGGTATTGTCACTATCTTTCCAGCTTCCAAATGAATACCTTGAGCATAATCGGTTATTCTTTGGCCTTCTTCATAAATTGAAAGCGTAACTCCTGGATCAATCACCATTCCAGGAATAGTCTCATAAACTTCCAAATTTAGAAGTAAAGAAAGTGTTGTTTCCGGTCCTGAAAACCACGTTGCATATGAACCCTATTCGCTCCATACCTGGTCGACGAACAGTGACATTTGGAGTTACAGCGAAGCATAAACCGTCAGCTGTGAAAATAGGTTTGATGTCGTCTTGGCATGATCCTGACTTCCCGAGCTCGCAACTTAGAGAAACAAAATGAACTGTTGTCTTTGTTGTGAAACGATTTCTAACCTTACGAAAAAATCATCCACAGTTTGGTGAGCAGTTCGGTATACATCCAGAAGATCGGTATTATCAAATTCTTTCAAAGATTCCAAAACTGAGATATTCTGTGATATCTGTAATACACGTGAGGTATCTCTTTTCATTTCCATATTTACCTGCCCATCACTATCGTAAACGTTACAGATTGCTTTCACCAGCTCCGGTTTTCTCTCGACGATTGAAGAAACTCTGATTAACTCTTAACCTATTTACTTCACATCAATTTACCTGATTTGCATTTTATTACAGATGCCTATAGTGGGGAACTTCATCATTTGAGGTGTGTCGTATGACCTTCGTGTGGTTAAAGGATTTCTATAAAAAGCAAAGTTGAACAATTAGGTGTTGGAGAACAAAAACCTGATGAAGTAATAGGCAACTCGTTCGCATACCTGGTACACAGTGAGGCCGAGGAAGAAAAAAAGAACTAATGCCCATACAAATCTGAAAATAAAGCAAATACAGTCAGTAGAGAGTGGTTATGATTCAGTACCTGAACCATGTTTTATATCGAGTATGTAAATATCGAAATCCTAACATGGAAGTGTCATCGGCAAAACGATCTAAGGTTGAACGGAGTTCTTGCTTCTCATGTAAATAAGAATCCATGTTAGCATCTTCTGTTCGTCTACGTCTAGGCATCTGTTAAGAAAACAACAATCACAAGTACAAGAATTTAATGAGAGAGGGTTGATTTTTCATAAAAAAATCATCTGTAAATGAACGGAATGATCTAATGCCGAACAATGCAAAATGATTTTGGCATCGCGTGATGCAGAAAATCATTGAATCACAATTTAGTCTCCTCAGACATATTTCAATTTTTCTTCGAGATATTGTATTTCTTTCAAATTTGCTTGGATATCCGTGAAATTTTCTATGTACACGCTTCTTGCTGCATCTCGAATACTATTACATTCAATTAGTAAGAAGCTTTACGTACTTCCGGTTGATTTGCATGCATGTAGTCTCGAGGAAATACGAACCATCTCATATGCCCTTTATATCTTTTTTTGCAGCTGCATTCTCTAGACTTCTGCAATTAACGGCAACATCTCGATGGAACTCCTAATAGTTCATGCTAATTATGACAGTTCACGTGAACCATCACGCATTCTTGGAACACGACAATCATTATTACTTTTGGTGTTTGACGTAGAGCGGTTGCATTCGGTTCCTTGTACTAAACAGAAATTTCAAATTTCGTTAAACAATTCAGTTTTAAATAGTTTATTATATGATAATAAGTTATTCTGACTTCATCGAAGACGATTCATAAACTTCATCGATTCGATAAACTTTTTCTGCGGCTGCTAGATATCCTTCATATACCACCGTTTTTGGTGTTATGTCGTAATGATAATGACCTATAAACGGAAAAATTGCAATTACTACAATTAGGAACAAGACGAAACCTCCATCACCATGTTCGGAGAAGCAATGGGTATGTTCTAGCCTTAAATGTCTATCAGCCTCTTCAGAATGCATGACTGTGGCGCAAATTAATGGCGATTTCATATCATAATACTTCAACCACTCGTTTAACTGAGCAAATAGAATTTTCAAATGCTATAGTCGGAATTACTACCTCATTGTTATCCTTGAAAGGACAGTTTGGAAAGTCCGGCATGATATGCACTTTAGTCTTAGCATCCTTTATGATGAAAAAACCAGCTAAGGATACAAGTCTTAAAGAGATGAGTATGAGGATGCAATCGCATAACAGCGTCCTACTTGCCACTATAGTGTTTTTGTAAAGCATCTCTAATACAATTAGTCAGGTTTGCGCTGCCTGTTCGAACTTCACATTTAAAATAAACTAAAAAGGGTAATATGGATAGAGATCTTTAAAAATGAAGCGAAAGTATTTCAGATACGATTTTTACACTTCATTTGACCAACATACCAACTTGTGATTGAACATTGCTAGTTGATAACGCTAAATTGGCCATCAATGCAAACTTCGGCGAGCTAACATACTCCGAAATGTAACCTCTGGATTTATCACAGTTCCTCAGAGTAACTGTTTTAATCTTTAAGGATGTTCAAACTTTCGATTATCATTTGCATAAACTTGGTATAGCACCTGTTTTTCTTTTAGGTTGGCGTTCGCAACCATTTCACAGTTTCTTCCAACAATAGGATAAGGTCCTGCACCAGGACCGAATACATAAGCATTTTTCTTTCCACACACAGCGGAAATTGTCTGAAGGAGAATTGATGAAATGAATGATTGAAGGCGAATATATACCTCTATATCATATATTTTGTCTTTTTGAACAACAGGAGTTAGATTTGCAGGTCCTCCGACTTCTGCAATGACCATTCGATGACCAAAGCCTGATGATGTTTGGTGGAACGGGTCTCGTTTTAGATCTGTGGACGGAATGTATATTTAACTCCATGATACGCCGAGTTAGAAACCTGGGCATTTTCTGACATCAACAAAAACAGTAGCAAAATTAGCGGAAAGAGCTCCTTCTATAACAGTTTTTAATTCTTCCAATGGAGGTACATGGTTTTCAAGAATAGCTGATAAGTTTTCTGAGCACTCGAGCATTCTATATATGGTAAAAGTGTATAAAGAGAAGAAGAACAGTTGTATTTGCTTGAAAAAACGAAGATAAAACGTTTGTTGAACATGTCAGCAGCTAAAAATAAAGCAAATCAATCAGAACACGGGAGTGGTCACAAGTAGTTTGATAGCGAAATTCACCCATATTAAAAAGTTTTTTTTATAGACCACGAAGGGGTCTGTTCAATATTAAACTCAACTTCAACAAGAACAAAGAATATTTTCTCGTTTTATTGACAATCTTTATAAAAACATATGTTTAATTAAAATTAGTTAAGAAAGAAAACTTCTTGTAGCCATATTAGGTTAAATGGTTTTGCGTCAATGTACACTCATCCTATCGCTGGCGCCTTTCCTGTCTTGTCGAACTCGGAACGAAATTTCTCATGAACGATCTCACGGAAAAGTTCAAAACATTGACCCTTTAAGGACATGATATCATCTTCGACAATTCTAACTTACGTCGAATCCTTTAACTGACTTTCTGAAATTTCCCGATACGCACATTTGATTGAAGATACGAGTAACAAATCCAGAGCATTTTGGACACGACCTAGAGAGGTAAGTTGGATGATAACCCCATTAAGTCTTAATCGAACCCGTCAAAGCAATGGTAGGCGCATGTATGCCTTAAACATCTGTTAATCATAGTTAAATCTTCTGCAGATTTAGCTACGCAGTTCCCAGCACAATCTAACAGATCGTGACATTCATCTTAACAAACTGCATGATTGATTTCATTACAAAATCACTTACCAGTTTCATTAAAACGAGTCCCACTCAATATTTCCACAACTTGCTGCTTACTATTAAAACATAATGGGCAACGATTACACTCCTCTTGACATCCAGACGAGAAGATACAACCATAGTCAGTAGCCTGAGAGACAGCTTGTTATCAACTGGATATCAGTTCAATTCAAACAAGCAAGGCCTCAGAAGCCACGAGGACAAACCGCATCTATATCGTTGTACATTTCTGCAGTGATTGTCTTCTCATCCAGTTTATCCACTAACCAAGGAAGCTGAAATTAGAAAAATTTAAAGTCGATTACTTCATTCACACTCACATTAACACATTTTTGAGTTATTGAGCACTGTAATAAATCTCTACACTGCTTATTTATTGTGGAGTTTGCAGTATAGGCTAGGTGAATAGCTTGGAGTACAATGAAAAACCGAACCAACATCTGAAACAGGGGTTGATTGCAGAAGCGTTTAAAGACACTGTAATGATATGCAAAAGGATAGTTCAGAATAGAAGACAAATATCTGACAACATCCAGCATACCAACGTCCAAAACACAACAAAATACAAAGAAAAATCAGTGAATGACAATCTTCGTTAACTATGGGGTGTGTATGGAGAAGTTGGATGAAGCTATGTCAAACCATATAAGATTGATTCTCATCTCCTTAGAACTGGAAGAGAACTGATTTGACAACATTCATAAAGACCTCGAGCAGGATCAGACAACAAAAATTTCAGTAAATAACATTCAAAACCTTCCAAAATAGTTTTTTTCGAACTGTTAAAATGATTTTCAAGCCCCAATAATTGTCTTTCAATTCATTTAGTATGCCCTTATTAGACAGTATATTCCTCTCTATTTTCCCATATTAAGAAAATAAACAAACAAATATCTGATCGGAAAAGGTATGCCAAACGATTTGCCGCGGATCTCACGTCCATCAAAATTTCGCTTCCGCCACAATCTCTTTGGCACTTGCGTCACACCTTTAACGTCAGATGTGAGAAATAAACTCTTATCTCCTTTTTCGGTATCTGCATTCATCTTAAACGGATACCTTATAAACAACGATAACAATCTAAGTAAGAAATGTGAAAACTTAATTGTTTAATTGCAATTTCATATGCAAAACCTCAATAAATGAAGATTTATATGACAATATGCATTTATGGATTGCGTATTACAATGAAAACAGTCTTTTCATATTGTATTAATGAGATACAAGGTGTATGAAGTGCTTCTTGACATTGTTCATTATTAATATTTTTCCCCCTCAAGTAATGTTATCTATTCATACATTCATTCATTCTCTATCTGAATCATCAGCCTTCATATCTCAATCAGAACCAAACACGGCAAAGTCCCACCAGAAAAAAGAGTAAAAAAGCTATTTGTACAGCTTATTAACGGTCGGCAAATCTGTCTGCTCATGTCCTCAAATGACAGACACATTCTTTCATACTCTCTTACTATTCTGTTATATTTGCAGATCTCTTTTGTACTATGCATAAAATGATATTTGTCTATATGTGCTGACCTAAAAAGACCTTCAAAATAAAAGAGTTTTTGCTTTTACAGTGCTGGCACTTAGTACTATCTCTGTAAACAAGATGATCATATCGTTTTATGCTAATTATTTGCATATTATATTGAAATATGCTAATTTCTTTTGAATTTACCTTAACTAATCCACGTAGCGCGTCCACGTCATGCTACTCATGCACACACAGACACACACACACGCCAACACATCTTTTCATTTCAATTCAATTTCAAACAGCAGAGCGGTTGCTTTCATACAATTTTTTTTTTCAAATTTTTCCAAACAAACCCATTGCATCTAATTTCTCTATTATCTTTTGATTTGCTTATACAAATATTCTGGGTAATCGGCTCATTCCGTTTAATCAAAAGACATTTTTATTGGCATAAATGACGATTTGAGGTAAAAACCATTGTGAAGCCTATGTATAACGTATATATATTTCGTATAATTATCGTAATAGCGGTATGATCAGAAGATGTTTGACAGACAATCATGACCATGAACATGCTATTACCGTGGGAACGAACGTTGAGCTTTTTTTTTTGTTCTAATATGGAAGTTATGTACGACCTTTATTCAATTCTTTGTCATTTGGTGAATATCAGCTCAATTGTCTGCACACCTTTTCAAGAGGATTGGCACACTCGTCAATTCGTTCTGATTTTATGCAAATAACCTTAACCTTTGTAAGTAACCCTTTACCTTCTTCATCTTCTTTACCTTCTCAATCTCTTTATACGTCAACTCTTACAACTGTTCATTCTTATCAAGAAAGAGTTATTTAGAAGTCTTGACCTTCCGATTAGATAGCCAATATGCAGGAACATCTTTTCTGTCTCTCTCGGCTGGAACTGAAAAATCTTTTTCTTCTTTTTTTTTTTGAAAAAATCATTTTCAAGTGTACCATTCATTTTTCATTCTATAAAACATTTCTGACGAAACTATACGGATGGATGATTAATCATATCCCTGTAGGCCTTTTTGTATTTTTTGCATTCATATTGGATGTGGGTGGATTGCTAAGCCTCTGATTGTCATTCGTGTTTCTCGGACTGTCCTTTCCTCAGTTTTCACATAATCTCATATAGTCACCTTCGACTATATACCTATCCATCATATCATCTTGTCATATATGGACAGTAAATCTATTCTGTTATCCATTGTGATTGAAATGTTATGTTTGGTTGGAATCTGTGCTTCTTTCTCTTAAACAATTTGTTTTGTGATCGTTGCTCAAACAGCGCTAACATCTATTGAATTGCTGAGGTAGAAATCAAATGAGAACCCGAGTTTTCTCTTTCTCTCCCAACTACCTTCATTCTCTTTCTATTTCTCTTTCACTCTCTATCTCTTTTTTCATTGGAGCGCATAATTCCGTTGCCCAGCTGGTTCGTTTTGAACAGTTCGCTTCTTTGCCGGTCAACCAGCCACGTGTACCAAATTCTCTCTTTGTAATTCCGAGGCAGTCTCATCGCTCTTTTTATCTCTTTGCCCTCTTGCTCTTTCCTATTATTTTCATCATTCTTCATCTCTTTACTCTTCGGTATGAATCGTGTCAACGCATATTGACGTGATGTTTCTTCATTTCTTTCTCGAAATTCTTTCTCTTCTTGCCCATCTCTCTACATCTCACAGGATTGTTCACATTGTCTTTCATAACTCGAACATGTTAATCATTCTTCAATCATATTCATAATTGATGGAACATCTAATGATGTTTACAAGTCTCAACGAATCTTATCAATCGGAGTTATCTGATGCTCTAGTAATTGGATACTATTTATATGAATAATTTATTTTTTATTCTCAGATTATAATCATAAATTTTGAAATGTATAAAGATTGGCTGATCATTTCTGTCTTACTCACCAAGAGAGAGAAAGAGAGATAGAGAGAATAGAAATGAGAGAGGGACGAGAATACTATGATGAAAAGATTTGATTACAACCCCACGACCTCAGGTTACTCCTCCCATAACTGTCCATGAACTATGCTCCGCCTCTCTATTCCATCAGAATCAGCATTCTGGAAACCTTCGATAGGTGGTTTTCCTCTCTGATCTTCTAATTTTTCCTTTTTATATTGTAATAAAGTCAAAAACATTCTACTGTTGACTCCACCAGCAATCAATAGAGAGAGTTGGTCGTTTCCTTTTGACTGAGTACCATATTCGATGGCAATTTGACAGTCGGCTTGTTCTTTCTCTGCGGCGGAATTTTAGCGCACGTTGACCTTCTTCTCATTGTTTTTAACTTTCATTGAGTCTTTTGTCATATAATTTGGGAAAAAAGAATTAACTTCTCCAGCGTAAAAACCTCTGAATGGACGACGATGATGCGAGAAATTTTTTTCTGACCTTTTCACATTTATGTTTTATCTTTCGCCGAATTGAATGGCATTGAAAGCAAATTGGATTTGTAGTTTAGGAGTTTGCTAGCCTTCAGAACAGTTTCTGACAGTTACTGTTCAATCTCATTCTATATGTGAACGTCTTAAACTTAATATTGTCCTCCACAATATCGTATACTAATGGTATTCTCTTTACAGGCAATTACCCTGTGGGCAAATGTTCGATCGTCCAACTTATATCTGACCTCTCAGACAGTTATCAAGATCAAGTAGGAGACAAGAATTCGAACTCGTAAGTCTTCTGCAGAACTTTCAAATTGAAAAACTACTGTTGAAACGATAAAATCTATACTGAATGAAGGCCAAGCACAGGCGAGAGATCGTTTTCATTTTTTTTGGATCAGAAAATTTTTGAAAAAAAAAAAGTCTTCTGAACGCTTAATTTGCATATTCTCTTCGCAAATGAATGAGAGAGAAAGAAAAAATTCGAGAAATGGCTAAGTTTTTCCATTTTTCAGTGAAATGTAGGACAAGGTCGACGTTTGAGTGACCACAGATTTGCTCCAAAACAACTTGGGTATGAGACCTACTGGTACTCTTCCAGTTTTGTATTCTAACAAGGTAAGCGTCATTTCATCAGAGACAAGTATACATAACAAACTTTCAGATATCTATACAAGTAAACAAAGAATGAAAAATCAAAAAAACCATTCCACACTCTAGAATCAACTCCATTCCATCTTGTAATCTAATCTTCTAATATCTTGTCAACTCCCCCCTCCAATCATTCACTTAGATGATCAATTTCCAATTCGAAATGATCATTCTAGTCACAAATTAATTTATTTTATTTATATTTATATATATTTTTATTTTTAAAAGTAAAAAAAAGCAAATTTTTATATTGGAAAAAACAATTTAATTGTTTAACCAACACGTCAGCAGTGCCTGTGATCGTTGTACAGTCTTCTTGGTAGAAGAATTTTATATTTATTCCTCTTTTATATATATTTATATATTCTATATTAACATATCCGTTATATGCAGCGTTTCACCACAAGTGCCTTATAGCTGTACATATAACTCATATCTCTTCCTTTACGTATTCCATTTCTATTGTAATCATTTTTATTTAAATAATAAATATTATATATTTTAAAAAGCGCGGGCGGAGCACCAGCATCACCAGCAGTAGCACAAGCAGATACAAAGCAACATCATCAACAACAGTAACAACACCAATTCAGCATCTTCGTATATTGGAGGCTGATTGGCCATGACAAATCATTTGTTTTGGCGAAAAGAAAAAAGAGCGGATGCTTTGTGTATGATTCATTTTAAATAATATTATGATAAGAAGACACAATTATTATCGAGGAAAAGCACTGTAAAGCCTTGAAACATTTCCTTCGTCACAAATAATACAACACACGCAACACATAGTTCAATATGAATGAAGAAAGAAGAAGAGATTATCAAAAGTGAAAAAATAACGATACAAATTCCCGTAGTACAAGTATGTAAAGGCATTACTAAGCGTTGATTATCAAAAATTTTTCAAAAAGCTGCTTCATCAGTATATCACCATTCTATTTTCATATTCTCATAGAGATGTTTCCTATTGGAATAACAAGTTCCCGAATTCTCACATAGTTCCAATAATTCATATAATACCTTAAAAGGATTCATATTTAGTATTATGTATTAGCTTTATCTATCTCACTTTATCTAACTGATCTTTCGTGTGTGCTGCGGAAATACAGAATCTGATACGAGCTTCAGTCATTTCAGTAGCCGGGTAGGACACGACTACAACACCGACTCCACGTTCCAACATACCTCGTCCGAAATATCTAAATTCATAAAGATCATTGACATACACTGAGGAAATGGGAATACCCGCATTTTGCTGGATAATAGGTCATTACAGGTACAACTGGACTATCGTCACTTCCATAGATAACCAAACCGGCCTGTTTAAGCTTCATGCGGAAGTACCTTGAGTTTCTAGCTAATCTCTCAATTCGTTTGGCACCTTTGAAAGCGATAGTTATTTTTTGAAAAATATATGTTTTTCCCTACCATCTGTTGTTCCATCTTTGCCCATGATGATGGACATTGATGTGAGTACCTGTTGAGCAACTGGAGGAGACATTGAAGCACTGTAGTAGCAAGTATGCGATTTCTTGCGTAAGTACTCTATGATGTCCTAAAACAATTCTATAGTACACGAAAACTGTCATGTTTTGAATACTTTTGAGCCAGCGATATAACCTCCAGCTGATCCGAAGCTCTTAGTGAAAGTTCCCATCATAACATCCACATCTTTAGTGTTACAGTTCCAATACTCGACTACACCTCTACCTGTTTTACCCATAGCACCTGGAGACATACGGTAAGTAAAGCAGAGTAGTGCATTCAATTATTACCAATAGAATGAGCTTCATCTAAGTATAAATATGCTTTGTATTTCTTTTTCAGCTCAATAATCTTTGGCAAAGGGCAGATAGATCCTTCCATAGAATAGATTCCTGGAAGAGCATTGAGATGAAACCTTAAGCATCTACCTCGTAACAAACCTTCTATTACAATGAGAACTTTGCTGTATTTTGTTTTGGTGCGTGGATTTCCTTCACGTATAGCAGCGATCAAGAGTTCCTCCAGATGTTCAGTGTCTAAAGAAAAGTGCTAAAAGTTAAAGTTTTATAAATAAGCGTTCATACCATTATGACGGAAAACTTTGATGACAGCGCCCGATAATCGGCAACCAAGAATGAGGGATGTATGGTTTCGCTCATCCGATATGATTAAAGTGTTCTGAAAGATTATAATTGAAACAAAGTGTTTTTATTGAAAAAACATATTCATTAGTATATGGTGTGATATTACCTTATCAGCCAAAGCGGCAATATTCATTGAGTTTGTGGCAAAACCCATACTACAGCAGATAGCATCGTCTAACCCTAGGAATTCAGCAACGAGCTTTTCAAGTTTTCTCTGATGCTTTGGAATACCTGAAGTTGACATATTTAAAACTGTCAATGTTAGCATTGAGTATATCGGCAAATGTTTACAAAAACTTACCAAACTCTTTGATTGACGAGCATTGAGAAAGTCCATTCTCTTCAATGGCCTTAACAGAAGAATCAGCACAAGGACCAGATGCTTGAGCGAATCCGAGATAATTATAAGAACTAACATTTACAACTTTTGTCTTTGTTCCCGGGAATCTTCAGAAAAATATTTTAATTATTATATTGTTCAATGGAAGCCATACGAGAAAGTCCAATTGCTGTCAGTTGTGACTCGATCAAGCAGTTCAACTGTGGAACCGGGCACCGTGGCAATAGGCCTTTCAAAGACATCTTTGATTCTGTAATTCCTCTTATAAATATTGTCCAAGATAAACTTTGAAACCTTATGTACATTCGTCTTATATAGAGCGCATCGAAATCAGAATACAACGGAACGAAATCCTGAAAAAGCTTGCTTACAGTTCACAAACTGAATTGTATGTTACCTTTTGCTTTTCCAGTTCCTTCGTTCCCTTATCTTTTTCAATTCCTAATACAACCAGAAAATGTCTTAAATATGCTGAGGCTATAAGTATCAGCCACGCAATATAGATTGTTACAACCCGAATCAAGCTCAACTAAAATTTTTTTTCTTACTACCTAATTTGTTTCGAATACCTCTTCAAATTCATTCGGACTACGTTTGTTCACATCTCCGTATATGTCATGAGTTTCTGCTTGTTTTACTTCTTCGACTACAGTTTTAGGTTGTGGCTGAAATAAACAAAAGTTAGAGAATAAAAAAGTTGTAAACAGCTTGCTTTCAAATAGCAACAACCGTTCTAAGCAAATTAATGTTCCAAGGTACTTGAGGCATGCAATTCACGTGAACAGCCCCTGTTCTCAAATAAGAATAAACAATTAACTTACAATCAGAGGAGGAATTTTAACCACACGAGGTTCTGGTTCAACTTTCGTTCTCTTCACAGGTTTTCGACTAGAAAAGCAATATAAGGAGAATAAATGGCAAAAAGTAAAACTTACTTTCCAACTTTCACTAAAAGCTTTTCCTCCACCAGTTCATTTTGAGGAATAATATTCGATTCAATCTAAATTTCAACAACGTAAGATGAATCTCAAAAGTATAGATGTACTAATAATGATTTTGTCGTTTCTAAATGAAGAGGAAAGTTCTGGTAGACTGGTGATCGTCTGAAGCTGACGACTTCCAGCTCAACGTCGTGCACCATCTGAAGTAACGTAATATGAGTTAGACATCATGAAGTTTTCATATATGGAGAGATGACAGAACAACATGGAAGATGAAAGATGGAAACATGAAGTATCACTGAGCAAGATTCACACTGATTCAATGGTTATCAATCTCTTCTCAGGAAATGATTTGATCAGTTTATCAATTATTATCAACATATAGTTAATGAATCAGCAATGGCGAATTTTGAAATAGTAACTGAGCTATCTATTACGTTATTGGATGAGGTATCAAATGAGTCATAGCAGTCGGCGGATTAATTTGAGACAAACAGAAAGAAAAAAAAATTGATGAAGTTGCTTAGTGACATACTTACAGTAAGAGAATATGCTTAATGGTAAAACTGAAACAGGCTTAAGTCTAGTTGTTCACCTGTTAAAATTGTGTCACATAATGTATAATAAAGGAGTGAACTCGAGGTACTTTGAGCTGATTGGGCAGCCAAAAAGCAAATAGAAAATTGTAGAAGAAAATGAAAAGTTTGAGTTCTGACGAGAGGAAGAAGAGAAGAAGAGGAAAAAAGCTAGAATATTGAAAACCGGCTGTTAACAGAGTCTGGAAGATGAAGATGATGATGATGAGAATGTAGAGAAAGAAAAATTTAGAAGTTGGCAACAACGTCACAATAGATGAACATGCTTATAAGAAATACGGACAATGTTATTGTGAGGCTCGCAAAGTCCAATAGCTCAGGCGATCAATGTGTTCAAGTAGTCTACGGAAGTTGAGAAGGTTCAAATGTGTATCTTGTTTACTCGGATTATCACAAAAAGACATTAACATTATAATTTGATCATAAGATTGTTTGAATTATTAGAGTTGCAGAAAAAAAAACAATTCCGAGATATCTGAGAATTGATAAAGCGTTATCTAATGAGCAAGAGTTCTGTTTGCAACTAATTAAAAACAATTCTCAAATTGAATATGCATTGCTACTGTTCAGGTATGAGATATGTATAAGAGTTAGGAGCCATGATGAAGGAGAAGATGAAAATAAGAAAAATATAGTCATAACGACTAAACCGGATAGTTTCCCCGGAAACAAACACACATTTCATAGATGCAAGCTGATGGTAATGTAATATCATTTTACTATAATTTTATACGGAAATTAAAATTTAAATACTCAATCACATACTCTCAATTTCAATGAATTCTGAACAGACAGCAATGATCAATAGTACAAAGCATTTGAAACTCAATGATAGACGAGAGCATAAGGCAAAAGACATTTAAAGAGAATGAAAGAGAGAGAGAGATAGATGGAGAGAGAGAGAAGGAATAGAAGAATATACAGAAAGGAACAGAAGATGTGCAAATATCAAACTCACGTATATGTATATTAACTTTATACTATTTTATAATATCATACCTTATCTCAAGCAAACGTTAAAATGTATCAAGATGTAGTCCGACCAATCAAGATGATTCATGGAAAAAATAAATAAGATGAAATGGTTAAGAAACGTTCTGCTTGTTTATATGTTGCTCTTTATCTCGAAAGATATTGATGATGAAACTGTAAGGGGGTTTCCTGTATTATTTATACTTGGCGACGTTGATCAGTGATGTTACCGTTTTCTTGTTTTAATACATCCCGAAGAGATGCAACTCGCAAAAGTTCATGAGAAGGAGAGAAAAAAATGCAAAGATGGATAGGAAGAGAGCACGAGAGAAAGATGCTATAAGAGAATAAAGAAGAGCAAAGAGGAGAAAGAGAGAAAGAAGAAGAGAAATAGAGTGCTGAAGGCAACATAAAGGTACAACAGAACCATCAAAGCTCGTCATTGGACTTGCTCTTTGAAGTTAAGAAGACCCAAATACAGATATCCATGGAAACCTTTCAACGAAATTTATTTTTAAATGTGGAAGCCATTGAACGGGTCACTTTATACTTGAAAGCAACAATTGTAATTGAATTTTATAGAATGAGCATAAATATGCATAATTAAGTTCATAAAAACCATTTGTGATCCGAACGCTTGGTGCTGGCTTTGGTTGAAATTTCTGAAAATCTGGAAAGGGAGAAAAGAGAAGAGAGAGAGAGAGAGGTAGAGAGGAGATGAGATGAGAGAGAGTGAGTAAGATGGAATGGAAGAGAGAGTAGAGAAGAAAACATCTTCTGCTATGTTGTGGCTCTGTGCGATTTTGTTGTTTTTTGTGCACAAACAGGGGCATCCTCCGTTCAAAACTCCAAAAAAAGAAAATATTTTAATGAGTTTTGAGATTTTGATGTGCCAAACAGTGTGAATAATCAGTATACTTTACCGAATAACGTTATAGAAAACATAAAATGATAAGATTACATTGGTGATATATATTTTAAAAATGATTTTTATTATAATAAGATGGCCTGTTACACAAGAAAATGGCAATGAAGTTTCAAGTCAATATTTGAAACATACAAAAGGGGCATGTAAATATTTGAGAGAAATCGTCATTTCCTCTAATTTTCATGTATTTTCTCTGCTCTTTAAATACATTGTGCATGTATCTGCTTCAACATCTATTGAACACTCTCTTCAATGTAAAGTCTTATCATCTATTGCTTAATCTCATAGATTTTCACACATTAATAAAAAAAGTTTTTCTTATTTTTATTATCATTTATATTGTATTAAGATCTATATATATTTACATTAACATTTAACTGGATATTCTGTATCAGCTACAAGCATGGCACTACCTGAACATACATGAAGTACTTAACTACTTCATCTCAATATGCTCACCTTTTCGGGGTGTTATAACTTTTGTAGATGCGTCTTGTTCAGCTTCTTTTTCTTTTTCTTCTTCATCTTCCTCTTCGTCTACTAGCTTTAATCCTTTAGCCCAATATATCACCCATATATCAGATAATAATGAAAATACACGTAAGCCTCCATAAATAAAATGTAATCTGAACTTGTTCAAAGTAAGAATATGATTATACTAATCTATACCGTATTCTTAAACCATCTGTATCGTATATGGGACATGCTCCTGTATTTCCACAAATATTTTGCCACATGACACAACTCATATCAATTATTTTACCCCAGAATATAGGAGAGGGTAGCGTAGCTGAAGAACAATGCATTTACCTCGAGATATTGACTTAATTACCTAGTAAACTAACAAGAAGTCCGTTGAAACCTAAGGAGATACTACGATGCTCAGGTGGTACAGCTCTGAAAAGCTTTAATTCGCAGAACTCGATTCCTTCTTACCTCAAAATGATAAGCATTCCAGGTACTACACCCATACCACCGAAAATAGCACCAATAGCTTGGTTCAAGAAGTATAGCTTGAATTGCGAGTTGCAATGATCTGAAAAATTTGAGTGACTTATTTCTTCATTTTTGTCATACCTGTTTCACAGTTTGCTCTGCTCACTGACAAATCTTCCGTTCCAGCACAATCACATCCTTCAAAACTGACCATATCATTCTTGTGGAAAGGATTCTAGAAAATTTTTGATACAGTTGAGATTCTATGTTCCATAATCATACTTGTAGTGGGCATCCGGCATGGCATGGAGAGTAGAACACTTCTCCTCTATAAGTGAGTTGAATGTGATTTAATAAACTATTTCCTTACTTCGTATTGCAAACAGGGTAAAATGGCATTTGATCGCACATGCAATCTGGTCTACACGAGGGGAATGTGAAGTTATTGGCTCTGAAATAATGAATTCTCTATATAATAGCGTCTGAAACTATTTTCATTTTTCACGTGTACGCATAGTGAACGGTGGGTCTAAATTTCTTTTCATTTTTCACGTGAACGTGTAGTGAGCCGTGGGTCTAGAACTATTTTCATTTTTCACGTGAATGCATAGTGAGCGGTGGGTCTAAATTTCTTTTTATTTTTCACGTGAACGTGTAGTGAGCCGTGGGTCTAGAACTATTTCCATTTTTCACGTGAATGCATAGTGAGCGGTGGGTCAAAATTTTTTTTCTTTTTTCACGTGAACGCGTAGCGAGCCGTGGGTCTAGAACTATTTTCATTTTTCACGTGAATGTATAGTGAGCGGTGGGTCTAAATTTCTTTTCATTTTTCACGTGAACGTGTAGTGAGCCGTGGGTCTAGAACTATTTTCATTTTTCACGTGAACGCGTAGTGAGGGGGGACTCAAATATTTCATTTTTACGTTAGCAGCAGTTCATTCATTTAATATTTGGAATTTTTTATGAAACTAACTGTGCTTGTTCTTTTATCAAATGAATGACAGATTGACAGCCAACTCCTCCGTTGAGGAATGATAAAAATGCTGCTACCATTGAACAAACGGCCACCCATGTAGCTGCTTTTCGTCCTGAATAGGGAAAAAGAAGATGAATGAAAGAAACACTTGATTGCTTTACCTTGTAATCGGAATTTTTTCATAGCGATACTACCAATCATGACTCCCGCAGCAAAGCCAATAATACCAGAGCCGGCTATATACAGAATTTAATTGAGAAGACATGATTAAAACCTGACCTTGCCATTTTTGAATTCGATGTTGAGGAACTCCGAATTGTATTTCTAGATACTTTCCAAGGAAAACAAAGAAGCTGCAAATGTGCTTATACAGATTTTCTGCATTTTGCAGCATACCCTTTGAAAGCCAAAACATCTACTATACGTCCAAGCATGGCACCAACGAAAATTGGGTTTTTGAACAAAGCTTTTACAGTAACTTTGAATTCTTGAAATAGAGATTTAAGGAAAAAGCAATTGGATCAGGAATAACCTCCAACTTTTTCTGAAAGTGTTGTATGATCATCATTCTTGACGTGGCGATCCCTCAAATTCAGTTTCTTAGTTTTTTTTGGAGCAGATTCACTATAAATTCAAGAAATTGGAAATCTTTCTCGTATATTGAACTAACAGCATGGGACTTGCATCGGGATTTTGAACAGTTTCTTCGTCTTTCTCTTCCAAATCGTCTGAGGGGAAGAAGAACAAGGCTACTGATGGGAAGAATAAAACACATCTTAAGTTAGTTGAAAACTTGATGAGAAAAGCATAGTACTCATACCCGAAAATTAAAAATCCGAGCCACCAGCATCCAATCCACATTGGATCTTCTGGTCGTAATCCTTCAGGAGCTGAATATTAAAGTTTAAAAAACTACCTTAATTCATTGCTTACGTGAGAATGTGTAATAGATTGAGTTCAGTTTACTTCCAACGAGCAATCCGATGACAGGACCCAAAATTTTAACAAAGAACATACAAGCTATAAAAAAAATTAACAAAGCGATAACAACACTTAACCTCACCAAAGTAAAGAGGGAGATTAGTTTTCTTCACATTATCATCCATCAAAGGTAAACCCAGAGAAAATGGCATTGTTCTTAGAAAATATAAAAACTACAAATCATTAGCTCTAAATGCTAACCTTCCAACTCCGAGAACCAGTAAACCAGAGAAAATCATAATGAAAGGTCCCAATCCTTGTTTCTCCTGCTTGCATTCATCAGCAATGTGCTGAAAGTCACAGTTGTAATGAACAGCACACTGCAGTAAGTTACATTTTGTCTCATGGAGTTAATGGACCGATGACAGAAAGCGTAAGGAAGGGAAGATACAATTCTGACAGAAGAGAGATCGTCAGGTGAAACCATATAAGAACTTATAAACGTTTCCTAAAATCAGAATATCAACTTCGAGTCCTTAGTTATGAAAATTAACTGTGATATCTTGGCAAAGTTTAGTTTCTGCGTTTTCATCACAATATTCTTTATACAAATGGAAATATTCACTAGCGTTTTTCTGAAAGAAAGGTTTGTTCTTGAAGATACATCAGAACTACAGTACCTCTAAAGCCTCTGCATTCAAAATATCCTTATTAACATCAAAATCCTTAATAGTGTTGTAGAACCATTGATCTGAATCTACTGAGAAAGTAGCGTTCAAGACATATCTGCAAGATGAAATCGTAATGTTGTTTCATTAACTAGATCTACCTGTTGATTTCATAAGTTAGATCAGGCTTTATATAACTGTCGTTCACATCAAACTTTTCTACAGGAAATAAGAAATTTGAAGAAGCTATCATGAGATTTGCTATCGAGATGAGAATACATCCTCCTCCTATCCACCTAGCTCGATTTCCCTTCAATTTCGAAGATTAAAATATCTTTCTTCTGATTCACAAAGATTACTTTGCCTCCAAAATAACTTGTGAAGACTACAACTGGAATGTAAGCAAAATCTCCAGCTGACACCATAGTTCCACTCAATCTTGATGGAATTTGAAACTGTTTTTCGATGAATGTAACGGCCCTGTAATCATGTTACTATGTGATGTACTAAATCTTTTTTTTTGAGAATTTTTTTCTAAAAATCAATGTAATCCCTTATCAATGAAGAGCCTGAAGTAAATGATAAAATAAAACAACAAAACAATACTTTTGATTGCTTTCCGATTAACTTTGTCATTTCTTTTCTCAATTCATTTTTTCGTATTTGAGAAGAATCACAAAAAAATAAAATAAACAAACAATATGACATTTCTCAAATAGACTGTCCTTATTGGAAAGCATCTACCTCTCACCCTTCTTCTCTCTATGCTTCTCTCTCTCTCTCTCTCTCTCTATCTCTTTTAAACTTCCTTCTTCATCTTTTTTCTTCTTTTTTTTTTCTACTTACTCCCTTCTATCTTTGTTTTACTTTTTCCTATCTTTTTCGTTTATTATAGAAAACTCTAATAAGGATTTAATACTATTTAAGTTTCCTTTTTTGATAAAAGGATTTATATTGTTAGAGAATGACATGGCCTTGTTTATGTTCTCATAGTACTACTATCTTTCAATAAAACATTCACAAATCCACACACACCACAACTTGGCATTACCTCTCTCTCCTTCTCTCTCTTCCTCTTTATGACATTCATAAAAGAAATTATGATTTTTTTTGTTCATAATTGATTTAAGAAATAATATAAATTAAGGTCTACATACGCTGTCATATAAAATCCTCCTATTGACTCAAGAAAATAGACTGTTCCAAAAACAAGAAAAAATAATTTGATCTATAAATACATCTCAAAAATAGAAATTAATGGAAATACAAACATACCTTCGTATTGATATTCATGATGATTTATCGTTATGAATAAAGGATAATAATTATTAATATTGCACAGAATATAAGGAACAATATAATGAAAAGAAATATCAAAACAACTCTATATAAAGTGATTAGTTTTCTTCTGCTTTTTTCTTCTTCTTCTCTGTCTGCCAATCGCTCAGACAAAATATAAAGAAATTACAGAACAAATGTAGAGAACACAAACTCTTATCAAGTAGCTAAAAGTTGATAACAGCATAAGTTGAACCCCCCCCCCCTTTGCTTTCCCCCCTTTTTGACGATGTTATTATCATCCAGGGCAAATGATCTTGATCAATGATAGTTGGGCCCTCATTAGGAAAACTACATAATTACACATATAGTTTTGTACCTTATTGAAGTAAGTTGATGATTACAAATTATGAATTGCTTCATAGATCAGAATCACACATCAAGAAGAAGATTACTGTCCTTAGATGACGTCTATGGCAGGTGTCCATAAAAGGTTAATTGTTTGTTATATCACGTATTCTAGTAAAATGATTTGTTTGCCAAATTAGCATAATCATATGATGTTATTATCTGTCAACATTTATATGCTAATGTGATGCATTTTTATTCTAATTAATCAATTTGTTTAGTTGCATTGCTTGTACAGTCTTAGAACGGTTGCTTCACACTGCTTCACCCTTCCTCCATTGTTTTATTATTTAAACAATTTTATTTTTAATTCATTTCAATTGAATAAAGATTCTTATATTTAATTTTGATAGGCATCTCCAGAGCACAAAAACAGTGTCAAGACGTTGTTTGTGTCAGAAATTGAGAGGATTGAGCCCATTTGTTCTGTCAGACAAACGAATGTCACGTCTTATATAAACGAACAATAATCACGATTTTGACAAAGAAATCAAACCTTTTTGAAGAGATATTGTTGAGAGAGATAGAAAGAAACGAAAAAAGAGCAAGAGAGAAATAGAGAGAGAGAGGGAGATTGAGATAATAAGAAAAGGAAGAAGGGATGAATGAATTCTAGATGGTTGAGGACAAAACTGTCTGTCTATCCATCCACCATCTATTGTGAAGTTATCCGACCCGGTACCTCAAGTCTCATTTTATCCCTCAGATTTTGTTTTTTGATGCTATTCCTATTCAAACTCTAATTATTTCAGAGCAATAATGAAGAAGAACTTTGTTGTGATAACTTTATTCTCCTTAACTCAAGCTTTCATGCCAGAGCCCGACTTAACCAACTCCATATACAATCATCGAAATGGTATTGAGCCTATCGATTATGAAGTTGAATCTTCAAACAGTAAGTGCTTCTCTCTAAATGAAGAAGAATATTCCCTGTTAAAGATCTAGTAGAAGGAGGAAAGAGTGCTGAGAATGTCGATGAGCCATCTATGAGCCCTTACAGAAAAATGACCTTCCGTCGTAGAAACATCAATAACGCAGGATTTCTCAGGTAAATCTCAGCATAAAATATTTATTTAAAAGGATCGAATGTTCTTATAGCAATTCTGGATTATCACCTTTCAATCGTATGAGCTACAAATCTGCTTATGGCTCGAATAGAGGTAGTTCATCATACTATCGTAACAGGTCAGAGATTTATCTCATCGTTCAAACATTACGTCAACGCTGAATTTTTAAGAATGTCAAACTATGGTAACATGAATAATAACTTTGCTAATGTTTTTTCCAACAATGGAGGTTTCTAGATAGGTCAAAACGCTTACGTTATAATCTTCTTAACAGATGCTTACAAAACTAGAGGTCCTTTCCAAAGTGGCCTTATGGGTGGTACAAGAAACTCTGGATACTATGGAAGTATCAGCGCTACACGCAATAAGTACAAAACGAGACCAATGGATGCATACGCCAAAAGTGAATGCGATGAACTTTCATTAACTATTTTTATTTTTCTATAGATTCGTACGGATCCAACGATCTTATGAGCAGTTTCAACTCCATGCCTAATGCTTTCGCCAGCAAGCCTTATATACCTGCTATGGGGCACTCCAGCTCTTTCATTCCTGCTGTGCCTGAGCAAGGTTACAAACATCTCGTTCATATTTATCATGTTTTATTCTTTACATAGGACGCTATCCATCTGGCTTTGATTACATGTCGACATTCGATAACAGACCTTCCGCTTCTATGAGAAGGGAGAACGACCCTTTTAAGAATCAGATCAAAACCAACTCCTGGGCAGGAACGGTTTGTGAACTAATTCTCTCAAAATATGAATAGTGTTCATTATAGTTCCGAAGCCCTGCTGATTCGGATGAAGCAGTCATAGACGGCTATGCCGATGCCATCAAGAAGAAAACCTCCTAAGTCCCCATTCGAGGAAAATATTTATTTATTGAAAATTTCTATTCATTTAATCTAACATAATAATTAATTTCCATGATAAATAATTCAATTATCGTATATATGATGTTATTTATGAAAACAGACAGATAAACATACTTTTCAAGAGCTAATGAACTTGATATTCATTACTCTCTGGCTCGTTTTCCCTCTTTTCCTTTTACTATCTCTCTTTCTCAACTAATTAACATTATTTTGCCACATTTGATTGTAAATACAACTTAAAAGTGAACTAATATTGCTTTTCATCTTGTTCCTTTGATATTTGAAAGAAGATCTAAAGGTCTGTCTGTTATTTGGTCCTGTGAAGAAGTCTCAGCGCTGTAGATTCTAGCCAACAGTTGAAACTTCCTCGTAGCTGCGCTATTGGTCCTAGCCCGACTTTTATGACATTCAATGCCAGGGCGGGTCTTTGCATTACGGGAAATAGATTATTTCAAACCGGGTGTCATCGTAGAGTCGCTTTTTTTGAACAGCTATTCCTGCTGCAAAGGGAACACTTTGACTAAAACAACGGAATGAGTGCTAATAATTCTGGCTCAACTGAGCAAAACGAGTCCAACGTTGAGGTAAGGTTTCAAGGCTGTAAAATGGAACTGTTTTTTTAAATACAGAACGAGCAGAAGTCTAGTGATGTTGTTCTTTTACCGCAAGAGCTCCTGATTAAGCACCCTCTGCAATCTCGTTGGGCCCTTTGGTATTTGAAAAACGATAGAAACAAGGATTGGGAAGAATGTTTAAAGGTAAAAAAGAAATGCGTTCATGTTTTCCATAATAAATTCCAGATGGTCTCTGTTTTCGAATCTGTTGAAGATTTCTGGGCTCTTTACAATCATATTCAAACTGCTAGTGGTCTTAACTGGGGCTCTGATTATTATTTGTTTAAAGAGGTTAATAACGGACAATTGTCAAGGTTACATTATGTTTGTTAAGGGAATCAAGCCAATGTGGGAAGATGAGAGTAACGTGAAAGGAGGTCGATGGCTTGTTGTTGTTGATAAGCAGGTTTGTATTTATTTACTATGTTCAATTGAATTTTTTATTTAAAGAGAAGAGCTCAACTTCTTGATCACTACTGGATGGAGTTACTCATGGCTATCATCGGAGAACAATTCGAAGATTTAGGAGAATACATTTGTGGCGCCGTTGTTAATGTCCGCCAGAAGGGTGATAAGGTGAGGTCATGAATCTGTCTCGAAATTGATAAACAATTTTAGGTCTCTCTCTGGACTCGTGATGCTACCAGAGATGATGTTAACACTAGAATTGGATACGTGTTGAAAGCAAAATTAGGAATTCCTGACAATGAGCCTTTACGGTTTGTAATCAAGTAATGCACTTGATTTTTGGTTTGTTGTAGATATGAGGTACATAAGGATTCATCGGCTAGAACCTCATCTATGGTTAAGCCACGCATTGTTTTACCATTAAAAGGACCTCAGGCTACTTCTACTACGCCTACTGCTGCAACTCCAGCTGCTACACCTGTCAGCGCAGCTTCATAGGTTTTTTCTAATCTCAACCCATCTCAAGAATCAGCATATTAGCTGATCCTTTTATACATTACGGTAAATTCTCTGGTTTTCTTACTGTATTTCATCATCTCCATGCCAGAGAGTTATCTTTAATTATAATTCCGGTAATCATTAGAAAATGTATATCGTGACTTTGAGTTCTGTCAGTTCATAAGACTTACGTCACTTTTTGACGGTTTTGTTATCTTCAATTTTAATGAAATAAAACTAATTAAAGTTTTCGGTTATTCTTGGTTATTGAGAAATCGAAGCTCACAAATTAGAATTATAGAAGCTTACACTAATAAGTTCCTGTAGTAGTGAACCGTTTGGCAATCACAAACAACTGACCATCGATTGTTTTGGGGTCTTGTTTTCATTTTTAATTTTTGGTTTCGCTGAACGGTTGTGCATGAACCAGTCAAATCATGCTAATTGGTAAGTTTGGAAACTTTGGTTTTTCTTTGATTTTCGAAGAAAAAAAAGGAAATTTGTTGAACTGCTCCCATTCATCGACACTTTTCCAGCTTTTCCAAGAAATTTGGTTCCTCCATCACTGAATGCTTGTCTTATAAACCCTCTGCAAACCACTCGTTCTACCTTACACGAAACATGCAGTTAGTGTTATTAATCGGTTTTGACAATTCTCTTTATTTATTTTAAATTTCTCCCCTTTCTTTTCTGAAGTCTTCTCCGTCTTGCTCTGCATGTCTTTTGTTCATGCAATTCAATGAAGTTTTCACAAACACAAACTGATTCACCGACAATAAAATGCCCATCCTCATTTTCATTTTTGAAGTCAACAGCGAGAAAATGTGAAAATTCAGGCTCTTAATTCATTTTCTCCGAGTTTTTGTTGGTCATTAGGCCATTAGTAGCGTTAGAGACTGCACACAAAGTTCGTTAGGCTCAAATGTGCTGAGACAGAACTTGTATTTTGTACTTCCGTGAAACAAGTTCTCTTGTCACTTACGTCAATTTACCTCTTCTTTTTTGTTTCTCTGCTCATCTGCTATTCTTGTGCTCTTTTTTCTCTTTATGTAGTTGCTAAGCTGAGACAGATGCATCGGAAGCTATATTCTTTAGTAAATTTTAGAAAATGGCCGAAAATAGAAATGAATTATTCACCAATTTAATATTTTGTCAAATGTTTCTTCTCTTGCGTGCGTCTTGTTTGGAAAATGCTTTTGTTCGTGCCTCTAAAAATTATTATAATGGCAGCTGAAAAAGGTTTTTTGCGCTTTTCCATGTTAGAATAAATCAAGAAGACATACATACATTGTAAGCCTTAATCAAAGTAATTCAACTCGATATGCCCACATATGGATGCGACTGTCCCTTCAAGCGTCTCTCCCGTTCTCGATTGACATTCGATGCTATTTTTTGGGGTTTCCATCCAGCATTCCGAATTTACCTTATAATTTCAACATGGCATAGCTCATGTATGGGATCTGTTACAACTGACCTTTCAGCTGAGCCGTTGTAATAGAATTTCATTTTTTCATGTGAAAGTACATTTTCCCTGAAATTTCTTTCTTTTTTTCCGCCATATTCGCCGACGACTTCTTTTATTTGGTGAAAAGAAGAAGACAAAACTGTTTTTGACTATTCCATTTCTCCCACAATTTGCTATAGCGTTACACAGCATGAACCAACCGCTCATTATCTCAGTCAATTTATGAATGATATTAATTCATTGGCCAAATTTGGGGAAAGATAGGCGTCTCTTTCCCGTTGACCAATTTTGTAAATGCAATATCATGGAATGTTTGTGTACTGCTTGTGTTGTAGAAATTGTAGGCTGTTTCGTCTCTGCATCGATAGTGATCAAATTTGACTGCGTCGATAGTGATCAAATTTGGCAATCTTTGACTGTGCTTTCCATAATTACTTTTATTTCCAATGTCTTTCTTGAGAGGGAAAGGGAGTGGAGAGAGTTGATTCCGGAGTTTCCGATGAAGCTAACTAGTTTTACAATAGGTCATTAAAGTTTTTCCTGGCATCTTGTCGAAAAAAGGACTATACTAACTGCTAGAGAAAAGAGGAGGATAAAAAAAATCTATGAACTTGGGCTGTCTATGTGGAGAAGCGTCACAAATTCAGAGACGAGGGAAGAAGAGCAACAAACGAACGCAAAAAAGCCTATTTCCAGCCATTTCTGCTTCTCTGCTCAGTTTCCAGCTCTCCCTGCCTTTCTTGCTCTTGTATTCCCTTAGAAGGCAGTCTGACTCCTCTTTTCCCTCTTCCTCTCTCCCTGTGTACACCCAATAGTATCTTCAAGCGATGTCGTATTTTTCTTGTTGACATAGTTAAAATACTTACATAAAATGTCAAAAAAATGAATATAAGTAATGACTTTAAAACCATTTTTGTCATCAACTCCTAGCTATTTATCATCACCTTATTGACAACTTATGCTGTCCCAAATCGGGAATTTGTGCCATTTTTGAAGAAAGACGGAAGGTATAACGGAGCTATTCTATTTGACTCGCTTGTTACCAGCAGAATGCTTGCTTGTTACCAACAGATTGTGATATAAAAAATATCTTTTCAAGCTTTGAAGCATCGAATTTGTCATTTGTCTCTGGCTCCCTTTTCTTTCATCTTTGCTGGATCTTAAAAGTTTTTTTGTTGTATTAACAAGCTCAATAGAGCTCTTAGCTTTTTGATAATTCTCACTTGCTTTTCCGCCTCATGAATTTGGCAAAATAGAAATCTTATAGTAAAGTCAGAAAGCATATAAAAGGATGTAGTCGTTCACGTAAACCTTGCTTGACGTCGTCATCGTCGTTGTCGTCGTCGTGGCCATCTGCCACTTAGCCCCATAAACTACTTAGCTTTCGTTTGTGTTCCATCAGTTTTCCGCAAGACAAAACATTGAACGGATTATGTTTATTTCACTGACTTCCTCAAGCTTCTTTCAGAAAAAAAAAGAAAAACCTCTATACCGTAATAGGTCTCTTCCAAACAAATGTCTTCTGGCCTTTCTTTGCCTGCAATCTCTCAGCTTTAGTTTACCTTCAAAGACACAAGAAGGCTTTTTTCGTTTAAATCTTTTGATTACTTAAAAAATTGAAAAATCCAATGACTAATTCCTCCTCTTTTCACTTGTTCAGTTTGCTTACTAACAGGGCGAACTTACCGACCCGTCCGAAAAAAATGCTTCCTTGGTTTCGTTTGTCTTCTAACCAATGACACAATCCATAGCCGTCATCATTTGGCAGCTTCCTTTCCGGACTTAATTTCCAGAAACGTCGCTTTCTTTCATGTTTGTGTGTCATGATCTGCCTTCCACACATCTATGTAGTTCATTCTCCCCTTTTATGAAAGTCCGGATACTCAACTTCAGTTCTTCGTTAGTCTCTTCCATTCACTCCCTCTTTATTTTTCTCTATCCCTCCCATACTCTCTCATTTTCCCTCTCACTCTATTTCTGACATTCATTTCCTAGCTCACTCCGCTTTAATTTCTGTCTCTTCTTTAATATTTTCCTCTTTCACTTCTTCTCCAAACTGTCTCTTCAACGAAATTATCAACGTTCATTTTGAGTTGTCAAATTTGCTTCTATTCGACCTCCCTGTCGCTCAGTAGCTTTGACCGCTTCGACCTTTCGTTGTTGCTGTCATTCCCATATATTGGAAAGTGTCAGCGACTTTTATCAAATGTCTTCCTTTTCTGCCTTCCTTTTTTGTCTTTTTTTCTCATCATCAGCCTTGCCAGTATTTTAAAGCTTTTCCTTAGAGAAAAAAGCATATAAGAGAAGATTGAGAGTGTTGTATGGAAAAGGAGAACGATCGCGAAAGAGGGAAGTAGGAAGGAGACAAATAGATGAAGAAATAGCTTTAGAAAAAGGTCCTCATATCAATCCTATTGGCTGGTCTTTTTGAGCCTCTAGGCTTGGAGGGTTGCCTGCTTGACTGGCTGAGCTTGCATTGGCCCATATCCGTATGCGTCCCCCCTATCGTCACGGCCTTCGCATTGATTTTCCGTGCAGGGCCAATGAGCGCCTATGGCAAAGTCCATCTTATCCAGCATCTGAGGGGCACTGAGTTCAGGAATATAAGCATAAGCAGCTGTCTGCATAAATACGCTCACATATTGAAGGGTATGAATTTTCAGATGAAAAAAAGGAAATAAAAAAGGACAAATGAAGTGGTAAATGAGCTGAATTGAAATAAACCTTTAACATTCTTTAAAGCCACATCCATATATGGATGAATTCATCAGCCATCTTAGAACAATTGACTTCAATATGCAACATGGTGAGGGAGTCAGAAAGATGATAGGAATTCGTGAGACAGCGAGAAGCAAAGATGAATGAGAGAGCGAGGGACTGAGCGATGGGAAGAGAGAAAGAGAGGGAGAGAGAAAGAGAGAAAGAGAGAGGGAGGAGAGAGAGAGATGTATCAGTCGTTCGGCAGTGAAGGCTCAGCCTATTGATTGCAGCCATGCCTGCCTCCTAATGGTCGTACTCCGTTTTCTCTGTCTCTCTTCGTCTCTCTTTCTCTGTTTCTTCCTTTTCCTCTCTTTCCCTCTTATTGGATTAGTTGGCCGTCATGTAGAAACAGAGAAAAATACTGACTGCTTTCTACAGAGACAGATATTGAGAGAGAAAGAGAGAAAGATAAAATGGAGAGTAAAGGAGGTGTTGATAGTGTAAGAGAGAGAAAGAGAGATTTCATTCTAATAAGAACTTCTGCTATGCTTCTACGAACTTGCCAGATGGCCGTCGTCGTCGTTGTCGTACTTGTGCCAGTCGTTAAACTTGTCCTAACTTAACTTTAAATGTTTTTCATCTTATTTATAAAATCTGAGAACTTTTCTATCCTTATCGTTCTTGTTGTCGTTTGTCATTATCGTCGTTCTCCTTACAGCCAGCCGGTCCTCCATTATTCACCAAAATTGTCCTAACGTCTCAAATATCCAATTTTCATAATTTTCAAGTTCAAAAACTAAATTAAAACTTTCCAAATTTCAAATGTTAGAAGGATTGCAACATGTTGTCATTTTAATATCATTCACGAGAACAAATCATTGCCCGATCGATTTCATCGTTGTCGTCTTCACCATCTTCATTTGGTGGCCCGTCATGGATCATCACACCGTTCATTATATCTTTATTTGTCAAAATAATATTATAACACTATTTCCTCTTCAAATATCTTCACCTGATCATATCAAACTACTTGTAAATTTTGAAAATCAAATTTTCATTTGTATACAGACGGCGAGCGATGTGTATAGCTTTGGCCAACAACCAACATTTCTCTCTCTCCCTCTCTCTCTTTCTCTTGCTATCCTTCCCTCTCTCTCTCTCTTTCTACATATATGTATCTCCTTTACCACAGCTACTACCAGTGTATATATTTATGGTAGTGGTTTGTAATTATTTATTTTTCATCTTTCTATATTTCAATTTATTGATTTTTATGTTCTTAATATGATACTTAGAAGGAGATATGTGTTTAACAGCCTGTTAGTTACATTTCGTATTAAAACGCAAAATCATTTACTTACTTTCATTACTTATTTGGTAAGAAGATCATTGTGAAAATATGTATATTTCCACTTTTTTATTTCTATCATTGTTGACCCACATATCAAACATCCCCCCCCTCTCTCTCTCTCTGTTCTCATTCCCTCTCTTCCATTACTCTTCCTCTCTCTTTGTATTCCCCTTATTGTCTGCTCATCTCCATCACCTAACCTTGTCTCTCTCTATCATCTCTTTTTCTCTCTCTCTTTTCTCTCTCCATACCTTATAAATATTCTTATCAATTTGGAAGAGCATTTGTTTCTTTTCAATTAGCAAATAATGCCGCCATATTTAACTTTCGAGCAGTTTGTTGTTCCTTGTCGTGTTTCATTGCCTTATTTGGTCCTGGCATTCTCAATATTCAAATGTTTTTCCAATTTATTTCTTAATCATTCATTAATGTGAAGAAAAAATATTATTTCAATCACACTTTGCTGTGTAGGAGCGTCAATAATTCGTTTAAAAACTTGAAAAAGCAATTATATATTTAAAGTCGTCGGCGAAATCAACTTATTTTCGAATTAAAATTAGAGTTTAAAGTTGATTTGAATGTTTCAGGAGTTTCAATCCCTCCACCCCTCTGTTTAACAGATCACTAATCCCTCCAAAATCTCATTGAATCGCCAGGTCGATCTGTCCCATGCTAAGCCGTCTAATATATTTCATTTATTACTAAAAGAAGATTATTATATCTTTTTATGTTTTATATCAATTTTATTCTGTTTGAATCTTCCTTTCTGCTTTGATCTTGTGTGTGTGTGTGTATGTGTATATGCGCGTGTGTCTGTGTGTGTATGTGTGTGGCTGTTGCCATTTATGGCCGTATTTTTCTCCTCAGGCGCCTCTCCATGCAGCCTGTTTGCCAATTTTTCTTTATTTCACACGAACTTGCTATCACCTTTTTGCCTTCGTCTTTTGTTGTCTTGAGATATGCTTCTAGCAAGACGACGTTGTTGTTTATGTTTTTTTGCCGGACAAAAAGAAAAATCATTTTTTAACTAACAGCAAGCAAATGGTTTTTCTGAATGTTTATTTGATTTTTGTCTTTAGTTGTTAATTCGGGATTTGTCATGTTTTTCTCGCCCGTTAAAAACAGGTATAATGTTTTTTGATCCGAGAGTACTAAGAAATTTCATTCAAACCTCTCCTCCCCCCCTTCTCTGACTCTCTGAACATCATGCAAGGGTCATCAAGAGGCAAAATACATAAAGAGAGATAGAATGAGATAGGGTGATGAAGAAAAATTGAAAGAAAATGAATGAATGGTACAGATAACTAATGAAATCACAGCTGCCTCTGGATGAACAATCATTTCGTTTCCAAAATATGAAAGGTTTTCTGCGTCACGCTCGAATCTCGTTCTTCTATTTCATTTTATAAATCTTTTTTTCTTTTACAAATTTCATTGTATAACGCTGAAGAGTATATTCGTAATCAAACCTATTATCTTCACGCAATCATTTTTCTCTCGAAAATCTTTCAATACTTTTGTGTTTGTTTTTTCAATATTAGTTCACCAGAGTTATTTGTGTGAGCACATGTGCTTTTTCGCTCGGATTGTTTGTTAATCCTTTCGTTTCTTTTTGCTTCTCTTTTTTCTTTTGATTCTCTTGTTCTTTAAAAGATTTTCAATGTTGCCCAATATCGTCAATGATGTTGAACGCTTCTGGAAGATTTTCCGTCTTACATACATTTTGTGCACGGAAACAGTAGCCATGAACAAAGATTCGAACATCAGAAAGAAACATCCTCATTGATAGAGTGAGAATAGAAAAGCAGAGAGTGTGTCTCTTTGAAAAGTAAAGAAAAAAACATTTGAAATAGTGAGTAAATGAGAGAGAGAGAGGTGAACCAACAGTGTCAAAGGGTGGGTTGGAACTGTTTTGTATTTAAACCGCCTTTTGAAACGTAAAAACTTTGCTTCATCAAAGAACCAAAATTTAAAAAGAATTTGAGCGGTCATGTTCATCAAAAAAAAAGCGAATTCAAGTTGACTACAATGGTCATTTCAGCTTTCATTTCAGGGAGCTAATCAGCTGTACTCAAGCTCTTGATTTTCTTTCACTTCATCGTTTCTTATGTTGTATTGAATTGCAAACAATAGTTCGAAAATTATTTTGAACATTCTCGTTTTCTCGAATATAACTGTCAAACTGTTTTCACGTGTAACTGGCGTTAATGACGTCATTTACACGTGACTAGTCATTTCATTACTTGCTGTAGGTGTTGAACGGTTGCGTTTGTTTGCATTTCATTTTTCAAATCTTTATAATTATTGATGGAAGTTCTACACCCCCTTAGTTTTCTTTTTCTTTTTTGATTCTTCTTCTACTTCTAAATTTCCTATCTGAAAAAAATTCTTTTTTTTTTTCTCCCTGACTTCTCTTTCCAGATCAGGCGTTTTGTTGTTTCCGATTTAACATTCCTTTGACTTCTTTCTATACGGTTCATGTTCTTGCTATTAGTTGTCAGTATTGCTTGTCAACATCTTTCTCTTGCACGAGATTTCTCTCTATCTCATTCTCTCTTTCTCTCTCTCTCTCTCTCTCTATTCATTCTTCAACTTTTATTTCATTCAGTCTTTTTTTATATTCAAATGATTAGTTCTATCAGATTTCTCGTCGATGTACCTCACTTGTGTTGTTAAGCTCTTCATCTACTCTTTGCTCTCTATTTCATCAACATCAATCCAACGACCCATCCCTCCATCCCACCAAAACCTTATCTATCTTGAGCTCTGTTTTTACGAAATTCGATTCTTCACAAGATCCGCCTCACCGTAGATGGATGTGGAGAGAGCAAAAAATGAAAATATTGGAGATATATGAGAGAATCATAGAAAAAACTCCCAATTTACACACGCAACTTTTGAGCTTACAAACCAAGGCCATGTCGGGTAGCAGCTGCTCTCTGATTCTCTCATCCTATGTAGTCATAAGATTCCATAGAAGGATTCTCTATTAACAATCCCAGGCCCGTCATCCGATCATAGGTAAACCTGAATTAATCTTCGAAGAAGCAAAGGCACAAACACATAACTTGAGCTTCTCATCATCAAACATCTGGAGCATATGCTTAGACACAAACCGTTTAAACTTCATTACACTGTATACTTCTGCCAGGTCTCTCTCATACCCCCCTTCTCTCTCTCTCACTCTTGTTTCCTTCCATATTATTCGCATATTTTCTCCTCAAAAAAAAAAACATTAATGTACTAGTGTAGATAATAATCTATTTTGATACAGTCACGATCTTCTATAAGATTAAAAGAGAAAAACTTTCTCGTTTACACCATTTAGTTCTGTTCATAGCCATATACAGCTATTTCAAGAATAATTTAAAAGCATTTCAAAACCTTCACATCAATAGAGAAAACGGCTTTAGCCGGCAACATCTTGATATGATTCTGCTATGTGTCAGCTTGTCTCCTCACACTCAGCTACCAAAAAAACGTCTTTATGTATGAGAATTTCTAGAACATTCCCAACATCAACAGATTTATGTATATTTAGTTGTATATGAATTCATATGTTATTCTTATATATTTATTATTTTATTTGTTTGAATTTTCAAACAGTTATAGGACCGCCTCTGCCTTTTGCTTACTCCCCCCCCCTCTTCTCTCACCCTCTCTCTTTCCATCTCGGAAAATCATTTCTCTTGTGCATCAAGACCTTCCTTAAAGCAATTTTCTTTTTCCTTCATACTCTTCATTTCTTTCAATCTTTCTATCGCTTTTCTATTTTAATAGATTTACATGTCATAAACCATTCATCTAATGTAATTCAGTCTGATATGATGCAGTAAATGTTTCGTACATACGTGGAAACCATAACGTCTTATCGACTCTTATCGAATCTTATCAATGTTGTCCTTTTTGCTTCAGTAGCTAATCCCTTCAAATCATTATATTCTTTAATTTTATCTTTTATCTTTATTTTTTTTCTTTAATTTCGGTCATTGTTTGAACTTATGATCAAATGCATTCATTTCAACAGATAGATTTGAGCTTCTCCCGAAGTTTACCTTCTGTTGCCTTTATTGCCTTTCGCTTTTCATCTTCTCATAAAATATTCATTTTCTATTATTTTGTCAAAAAATCGATTTTTAAAATTTTTCTTTTCAGTGCCGGGATAGGGCAATGTTATAGATTGTTTGTTAGAGGCGGATTGCTTAATTGAAATTTCTTCTAAGGCGCGGCCCAATGGCCAAAGAGTTTACATTCAACTGGCGGCCTATCGTTAATAAAGTTCTCGTAGAAGGCTCTATATTTGATAAAGTTGAAGATGTTTCAGTAAGTTTGAAATGTATAATACTATGCTAATATCATAATTTGCAGGTGTCCTCTCATGAAACACAGGGTGAGATCAAATATAATGTTAAAGTGGATGAGTTTGGGTTTTTCGTCCAAGTGCTAGTTGATGGACGAGATGCTCTCGTCATTGATTTGTCACAAGTAATAATCGATAGAAGTTCCCACCATTGCTCATGAAATTCGTTTAAGGTATGGGAAGCTAGACGATATGGCAGTCCTGCCTTATGGAAATCAGAAACAGACTCTACCCCTAGAACAATAAGAGAAAACTTTGAAGAACGTATAGTATGGATAACTCATGGAGAAGATATTGTGAATGTTAAAAATATTTATTTTGTAGCTGAAAGTATGGAAGTAGCTAGGGTTCGTTTTCACTTTCCTCGGTTTCATGAGCAAGGAGATTATTTCCCTGACAAAAAGCATTTTTTCAGATATGGAGACACGGTCTTAATGATATTTTGAGACAAGCTAAAGTGCGACATGTATGTCCAACAACTAACTTTCTTAAATAGTACGTTTTTCTCGCATTCTTTACTATTCTCTGTAACTTGTTATTCGATCAATAATTAATTGGCGGTAGTTTTCGTTTGAAATTAATCTCCACGTAACATTCCACGTCTTACGTGGAATGCTAAATTACCTTTCATTTCTAAGCGCTTAATACATTCGTGCGGTCATATGAATATTATTCTTGGCGACATCACTATATAATAACATATTTGTCGTTTCAGTTGGAAATGGCTTACGTTAAGCGTATCAGATCGACGAAAAATCCCTACGAAGCATCTCATAAAAACCTTTTCCTCGGGCAAATCGGAGAAAATGGTTCAGAAGTGCTTAGCTGATTTGGGTCTGGGTGGAGAAAAGGTAAACTTTAACTGATTTAACACTTCTTAATGGCTATGATACACTGAATGACATGTTGTGCTGCTATTCATAGATACTTGCATGTTTGTTTTTCCTGAAATTGCTATAGTGATAGTTATTGCGAGCACATATAAGCTAAGCATATAATTGAATTATATGCTTAGCTACGAACTTATTGTAATTCTGTCGTGATTGTGTGTGTTTTATAGTATTCAGTACCACGGGTAATCAATCGTTCTATGGGAAGGAAATTAAGGAATTTCTACAAATGCAGAAGTCGTCGAAAGCGAAAGGTTGTTGTACTTGTATATAGTGGCATGTTTTTATTATTTATTTGAAAATTTGTTGTTGTATGGTTTAATATATTTCTTCTTTCCATTTCGAATCGTAATTGACAATACCAATATTTAATTAATTGATTATGATTTCGAAAAGGAAAGAGAAATTGTTAAATATATGCTCGTCTATATAATGTTAGCTATGAGCGTGCATGATTCTTCTTGCATCTACTTGTATGTAAAGAACAAAAAACTTTTTTTGGACAAAAATATCAAAATTATAATTTAATGACGAATATGGTTAATTTTATTAAATGTTATTAAAAGTTATTTTTAGGACAAAGAGGAGATCGATGTTGAGACTCTAACATTTGAAAGATTTCAACGTTTGCTCTATAAAATTTGCCCGCGTAATGATGTACAAGAGTTGTTCGTGAAATTGTAAGTATACTTGAGGAATTAATCAGATCTTTGCTCTTCTACAGGTCGGGACAAAAAGAATATTTAACAACTGAACGTCTTGTTGTCTTTTTGAATGAAGAACAACGTGATCCTCGATTGAATGAAATTCTCTTCCCGTTCTATGATACTAGCAAGACCCAAGCCTTAGTCAATAAATATGAAACAGACTCAAATTACCTTGAAGCAGGTGGGATAGGGATAATCATGTTATTTTCTTGATAACAATTTTTAAGGCAAAATGTCCGGTGAAGCTTTCCTCAAATACCTCATGTCCGACGAAAACTCTGTTGTTTTCCTGGATCGTGTAGATCTTTTCCAGGATATGGATCATCCTCTATGTCACTACTATATTAACAGGTCTGATTGACAATAGCTTCAGTTAAAACATATCCTCTTCAAGTTCTCACAATACTTATCTTACGGGTAGACAATACGGAGGTAAATCATCGTCTGACATTTATCGACAGGTTCGAAAAATTTCTCTCAATTTTATCTTCATTTTTCACTTCTGCAGGTGTTGTTGTCTGGATGCCGCTGTATCGAGTTGGATTGTTGGGATGGTACTGGTGATAATAAGGGAGAACCTATAATTACACATGGAAAGGCAATGTGTACGGATGTTTTCTTCAAGGTATAATTAAATGAGAACTTTATATACTGAAACATCAATTAAAGGATGTTTTATACCAAATCCGCGATACTGCATTTGCTCGATCCGACTATCCGGTTATCTTATCGTTCGAGAATCATTGCTCGAAATCAAATCAACTCAAGATGGCAAGATATTGTATGGATATATTCGGCGATATGTTGCTCACAAAGCCGTTCGAGGATTTTGCGGTATTTCAATTCACACTATTCTCACCTTACTCATTCTTCTTTTCAGCTTGAACCTGCTGTTCCTCTCCCTTCTCCGAATCGTTTAAAGAGGAAAATTCTTATTAAGAATAAAAGATTAAAACCTGAAATCGAAAAACATCAGCTAGAACAGTTCCTCCGAGAAGGAAAGCTAGATGAAGAAGATGAATACCAGGAAACTCCTGAAGTGGTCGGAGAAGATGTTGTCATGCCACGTGAGTTTATTTCACCTTGTTTGCTACCATTCTACCAAGTTTAAGAATCATTCTCTACTTCCTTTGATTGAGCTCTAGAAATATTTTCGTTTGGTTTTTCTTAACAAGCTTGTGATAATTTTGAAAAGCGACGCTTCTTAATCGATTATTTGCCTGTTTCGAAAGGAAATCTGCTTAGTTTGAAGTTATTAACAGTTTTAGCCGATTACTTCTCACCTTACGGAGAAGATGCACCTTTCCGTGTGAGCTTTTCTTTTTGTTTTTCTGCATAATGTAGAGAATATTCATTCGAAGCTTCCATTCATAATTTGCAATGGTTTTCATAGGGATTGGTGCATGCTTCTCTGGGTTTTAATTTTTTGACTGTATGAAAGATTCTCCCACTTAAAACCAAAATCTTCATCACCTTCTTACTAACCCTTAGTGTTGCTAACCTAGCGAAAGACAAAATTAAGATGGACAGAGGATCTCGTATCATAGCATATATATATAGCCTCATCCATATTTGCAAGCTTCTTTATAGCCGACGACGACGTATCAGACGAAGATGATCCTTCTGTTCAATCTTCTGACAACGTTGTTAGAGGACCTACAATTGATACTGTGCCACTTCTATCACCATCTGATCGCCTACAGAAGCTGTCTTTTCGCTCGCCCAAATTTTCATTGCGAGGGATTTCCACAAAGCGTCGCCAATCGCCGATAGGTCGGTCCAGATCTGCTTGTCCATTTGAGAACGAAACGATGTTTTCAATGCACTTATCACAATAGAGTTCGCCCGAGCATGATAAGGGGTTGTGTGTTGTGTGGACTGCCGTGAATCTACTAGCTTTCATGATTAAGTTAACTAAGCATGCCCTAACTTTCTTCTAATCAATCCGTATAACTATTTGTGTGCTTCTACATTTCCACTATATCTTTTCATCTATCTTTCTAGTCTTTGTTTTATTGTCGTGCTCACATTTCAGCAGGAGATCAACGTGCTCATCCAGAAGAGGTTGCTGCACCCGTCACTGCTCCCGTGAAGACTGGTAAGATCGTTGTGTTATATACGTTAATATATCAACCCATCGCGATGGATAAAGAAGACACCATTATATGAGGTTTCCTAATAGGAAATGTGCATGGGATTTCCTATTAGTTTATATGTTAAACGAAATACGAAAGGTGCCGCGACATATTCAAGCATGGAACACTATGTGTCTAGAAAACACACGTGACGTCCAATATTCATTTTCTATTTATGGATGCTTTTTGTAAAGATAATAGGCTGTATTGTGATACTATATTTTGATTTTTAAAATTCCATTAATTAGATACTTCAGAAACATTTTTATTTTAGGAGAACCTTCAAAGGAGAATGATGAAGCTCATCCCGAACTTCAAAAGCAAAATTTTATTTCTAAAAACCTGAAATCACTGGGCTTCTCCAAAAAACAGGTGTGTTTTAAACAATTCCTTTCCTGAAATTTCTAGATGAGTTCTCTTAGTGCGTGAAAGTGTTAAAATAAGCTTTTGCACATATTCTAACATACTGCACACACACAACATCTATTTATACTAACATTATAGATATTTAAACTTTTTTTATTAAAATAATGTTATATATTTGTTAAAGTCACAAATATCTAAACAGGAACTGGCTGCCTTTGAGAGAGGTGGAACTGACAAACGATCTTTTCGTCGTACAGCCAAAGAAGATCATTCTGATTCTGCGGCTCTGCTAGATCTCCCTCGTACAACTTCAACTAAGGGCAAGAAGAAGGCCCGTATTTTCAGTATTATTCCCGAATTTTCGTTACGAATTATTAGAAATTCACCTAAAAGTCTTACCTTTTGCGTTTTCTAATGATTTGGCATCATCTTTCGCCTATTCTGTTTTGGTTTATCTTTTTCTTTCCAAATAATTGGCCCATGCTAACACGCACGCTCGGTACTGCACGGCCTACTGCTCTTTCGCCAGCTCAATTTGTTCCGCGGTTTATGCCCCTTCAAAACCCTCTTTCTCCCTTTCCAAATAATGATAACTTTCTTTTTCTTTTCCGCACGCACCGCCTTTAGCCATTTGTTTTTTTTTATTTTAGAGGCTTATGCTTTATTTTCATTTTTCTGTTCGGCAAATTATTGAGTTGTTCTAGGCTGTACTTACAAAAGAGGAAGAAGAACGCATTTTCGCCGAGTATCATTATACTGGAGCAACAACCAACATTCATCCTTTACTATCATCTTTGATCAACTACACTCATCCCGTAAAGTTCAGTGGATTTGATGTCGCTGATGGTAATATCAAATGATACTTGACCGTACAGTATCTGTTCTGTTTCAGCCAATAACCTTCACTTCCATATGTCCTCATTCTCTGAGTCCACGGGTTTGGGTTACTTGAAAGCTTCAGCTCCTGAGTTTGTGAATTATAACAAACGACAGCTCAGTCGAATCTATCCGAAGGGTGCTCGAGTTGATTCCAGCAATTTTCTACCTCAGGTATTCTTGTAATACCCGTCAGATAGTTTATTTTACCTTCGCTTCTCAGATTTTCTGGAATGCAGGATGCCAGATGGTTTCACTCAATTATCAAACTCCTGATATTTATATGCAATTGAATATGGGAAAATTCGAATACAACGGAGGCTCGGGCTACTTATTGAAACCAGACTTCATGAGACGTCCCGATAGAACATTCGATCCTTTTTCGGAATCTCCAGTGGATGGTGTGATTGCTGCTCATTGCAGTGTTAGAGTATGTTTATATTGGAAGAAACTATATTCAACTGTATATCTCTAAGGTTATCGGAGCCCAGTTCTTGACAGAAAGAAAAATTGGCACTTATGTTGAAGTGGAAATGTATGGATTGCCAACTGATACGATTAGAAAAGAGCACAAGACCAAAGTAGTTGCTGGAAACGGTTTAAATCCGGTGTATAACGAAGATCCATTCGTATTCAGAAAGGTTCGATTTTCTATCTCGTTTCTTCTGATAGCTGCTGTCTTAGGTTGTACTACCTGAATTAGCTGTTTTGCGTTTTGCTGCTTTTGATGAGAATGGCAAGCAGTTAGGACAACGAATTTTACCTTTGGATGGACTACAGGCGGGATTCCGTCATATATCTCTGCGAAACGAAACAAACCAGGTAACGAGTGATGACAAATTCTTATATAATTGTATGAGTTCAGTCTACAATTCTCGTTCCAACGATTTTCGTGCACATTGTTCTCAAGACTTATGTGCCTGATGAATTGAGTGGTAAGATATGAAGATTCATATAAATCTAACTTCCCTGTTCAAGGTCTCGTCGATGCTCTAGCTGACCCTCGTGCATATTTATCAGAACAGAAAAAGAGGGAAGAAGCTTTGGCTAATATGGGAGTGGATGACAATGATATTGCCGAAGTTCCAATCAGTAAACCTAAGACAAAACTTCTTCAAAAGTCTAATGGATCTGCTGCCAATCTACTCAATGAGTATGACCGTTTAATCATACTAATTATATTTTTTGCTCTTCAGCAAGGAGAATCCGCCTGTGTCTGCAAGATCCGAACCTGCGGGGCCTTCTATGCCTATGAAAACTTACACCGAGCCTGGATTGGATAAGTTCAAGGTATGTTTCTTGGGATTAATATATAGATATATATACATATGGATATGGATATGTATACTGTACGTATCATTTTTTTCAAAACGTAATTCATTAGGGTACTTCTATTTCTGCTTCTTTGAAACGAAGCCTGCAACGTAGTAGAGGTGGAAGTGGAGCGTTATCAGCTCCTCCTCCTATGTCTCGTGAAGCTAATGCTTCAATTCGAAGAAAAGACGATAAACTACAGGTCTAAACACCTGCTCGCATTTTTTGAAAGAACCTGCTTGTTAAGCATCTGAATTCTTTTTTTCCATGCATGAAACTGACAATGCCAAACTTCTCCCAAATGCAAAAAAACTCAGAAAACTTTTTCAAATTACAGGTTGACCCTATCGAGATTGATGATCTACGTAAAGACAAACAGTTTGCAAAGCTTTTAAAGAAAATACAAAAAGATGAAGAAGATTTAAAGAAGAAACATCAGAAACAAAGAGATTCTATCCAGAAGCAACAGGTAATTTCTTTTATCCCAATTTGATTATAAACAAAGGTTCTATGGGCATCCTAGTTTATAAAGTTTTAAAAATATATATAAAAAAGTTTTGTACTGCAGCCACGACGATCTTCCATTGTCTGGATTGTGAGTTTTAAAAGCAAATGCTCTTGGCTTAATCCGTGTCACTGTTCTACTAAAATTACTAAAATACTTTTGTAACAATTGCTTTTTTCTTTCTTTTTGCAAGTCAAACAATCGGAAACAAATTTAATTTGAATCGAAATTCTGCTCACTTCCTTTTCAAAGTTTTGTCTTCTCTCTCTAATTGCCAAAGTGTGCCTTCTTGTGACGATTTGTAGTGAGCTTTTGTGAAATCTATTCCATATAATTTCTTTGAAGCAAACAAATGTGGATAAGTTGATTACACACAACCGACGTTCTACGAAGAAGGATAAAGGGTCCAGAAAGTCTGTTTCTGAACGGGGAGGGACCGATGGAGCTTGTAGTTCCGACATTGCTACAAATGATAAGGTTAATAGACACTCTATTTCCTAATGACATCATACTTTGAAGGTTCGTTCTCTCGTCAACAGTCAAACAGATGAATGGTCAGCCATGATCAAGAAACATGAAGTAGAAGAGTTTGAATTGAGGAAAAATCATGTGAAGGAACAATTCGATCTATTGAAGTAAACTAGACACTCACCAATTTACCTAAAGAACTGTTTTCTTAGAAAACTGCTGAGTGATGCTCAAAAAGCTCAGATGCAAGCTTTGAAACTGAGATTAGAATCTGAAACAAAGGAATTGAAGCAAAATCAGACGAAGAAAAGCATTGAAGATGCTCGTGTTATTCAAATGGCAAGTTTCTTTCTTCTTTTCTTTTGATTAATTCGATTCTTCAGGATAAGAGTATTAAGACAAAAGCAGAAAGAGATAGACGAGTTAAGGAACAGAACGATAAAAATTTGAAAATGTTTGTTGAGGAACGACGACGCTTGGCGATGAAGTTGGTTTTCCTTTCAAGACTAAGTAATGTGTTTTCTTCAGAGCTGAGAAACATGAGGAACAATTAGCTAAACGACATGTAGATCAAGCTGATCAGTTAGAACGAGAGTTCGATCGTGCTAAAGAGCAAGAAGAAGCTTTGTTCCGAGAAGATCAGCTAGCATCGCAACCTTCATCAGTCGTCTAAATGGGTTCATATAACTTTATTGTAAAATAATTTGCCACAAATACTTGTATGCCAAGTTCCGTAGTTTCAAATAGAAAAAGCCACTATGATCGCCTTCTAATATAATTAAAGCCACATTCGAAATCTGTGATTTATAAGACATTCGTTGCTCACCTAAATGGTCTCTTCTTAATTTATTTCCCTTTTCATTTTCCCCTTTTCTAATAAGACTTATATATATTTGTGATACTTCCATTTATAGTTGTACGTTAGTCCAGGATATTGTCTTCACCACTATCTTTCTGAAGATTTCATTACTTATGCCCGAAACCTCGCTGATAGATTTGCCCTACAACCTTTCATACAAACCCGGTTGAATCGTTTTTTTCTCTTCGCAACTCTCTTCTTTCACAAATTGAAAGTAAGAGAAGAAGATGGAAAATATGATATCTCAGTTGTTCATTCCTTGTTAGATCAACGATCTACTTAAGTTTCCAAGGTTTCGTAGGAATTATTTTATAATCAGGTATAACATTATTAAGACAGAGATTTTTATTTGTTTCATAAAACGGTTCGTAATAATTTGTATATTCTATATATAGTAATAGACCCGTTGTCGCATTTGTATTAAAGCCTCATATTATCTATAAAAAATTATCTTTTTTTCTATACTGTACATGGCAATTCATGAGCTCTTCGTTAGCTCCGTTCGAAGAAGCAAAGAGCAAGACGAGGGTGCCTGTGCATTATTACTTACTCGATTACATCCATCTGAGGAACAGTGAAATCCAGGTGGACAACAGAAATCTGTGTTGGGGCAACAAACTCCTGATGGAAACGGGCAGCAACCTAAGCTGCATGTTTCAAGATCTTTCATACAAAATTGCAAAGCATATACCATATTCTCCGTTAGCAAAGACACAGCATGTTGCGTAGTTAGGGCAAGCGAACATATCTTTCGGATCACATAGGTTAGGAGAATCTTGTGACTGATGGCCTATTTTAAATACTGCAATAACTGATTAAAGTAAAGTCTCTGGATAATATGAAATCACTCACAGAGTAAGAAACAAATTAAAATTTTCATTTGTGTAGATGACCCACGTAATCAATATGATGATTTCTATCTGGCTACTGATAATCAGAGAGCATAATTCTTATCATCTTTAGAAATATCAATATTTAATTCTTTTAATTTGAAAATGAAGTATTAAAGAATAGTTGACAAATCATATTGCAAGTCGAACCATAAGAACATGAAACCCATCATCAAGAAATAGATTACGGATGTTACAAAATACATCATCAAAGTAGTTCCGCTTGAGAAAGATGTGAAAGCTATCAATCCACCACAGAAAAAGCAAATTGAAAAATACCAAATCCATTTTAGGGAGACGTAACGGAAATATTCGTCCTTAATTAAATAATTATTTTTGTTACGGTCTTCAACATACTGTTGTCCCTCTCTTTTTATGGCGGCGGATTTTACACTCCCTGTGTTTCAATGGTCTTTTCACACGTTGAGGGACTCCATGAATTGCTTCCACAGCCCCATCCCACTTGTTCGGACCAATCATTCGATAAACATATGGCACATTCGGACCCATAAATAAGCGAACTCCGAACCGTGGATCTTTCAGGGCGATCTTGATAATGTTCTTAATAAGTTCATTGCACCAAACCCGTTCCTACCTGCCATATATCAGGCTTGCATCCTATCAGACCAGCAATTTCGTCCATGTACTTTACGTAATCAACCTATTTTAACAACTGTACGTTTGTTGTTGTTTGTACTAAGAACCTGAATCGTGTGTTTTTCGCTTTTGAAATATCGTCTTTCCATTTTTTTCCGTTTATCTGTAATGTCGTCGAACATCTCTTCCTTCGATGGGAGAGCGACGTTCCCACTGAACACTCTAGAGACCCATCTTGACTAAAATGTTTTTTGTTACAACGAAAAATAAATGTTTTTATAATTTCCGATTAAAAAGTGAAAGGTCATATCACGTGAAAGGTTACGTATAACAACCTTCCCCTCAATCAGACCTAATTGGGATTCTTCAAAATGGATATAACCTTTCGCTTCGGGAAGGAAACAAAACAAAAAGTGTCACCTGAATTTCGGCAATTGGAGCGACACTGCCAATCGGCTGTATTAATCCAATTATGGCAATATCGTTATGTTCAGGAGGAAAGACAAATTTGTAAAGCTGAACTTTATGATTCTGAACTAATTAATCTATTTTAATTCCAAAAAGACTAAAGACCTCGATGGAGACTACATTTTCGGGCAGGAAAGGAAAGCCGAACGAGTAGCCAGTACATTGAATGAGCACGTCACATTCAATTTCCTTCCCATTGGTTAGAATAACGGAATCTTCGGTCATTTCTCTTATGTCTTCCTGTGGTTTAACAATTCAATCAAGATTATCCATAAATTTGAAAAAACCTCAACACTGATGTATCCGGCTGATATTAGATTGGCTAAGCTATCATTGACGGTCGGGTGCTGTTGGAAAAATCTGAGTTCGTGAAAAATCCATTTGGCTATTTCAAAGACGATCATCGAACCTATGGCTTGGTCGAAGGCCATATATATCATGGTCCATTCTCTTCTGAAGACGATGCTCCATGAAATCGTTTGCGACTACCCATGGAATCGTATCCATAATCCAGTCATAGTATCTAAAATTAAAGGATTATGAAGTTAGAAAATATGACGACCTTGTCATAAACATAGTGTCGTAGGGCATCCCTCCTTCAGCCACTCTATTGAAAATCCAAGTTCCCCGACGGGTAGATAGGGTCACCTATACAATATAATAAATTTCACACAAAATGTTGACAAATCACAGATTTAGCTATTTTCGCAATATCCACCGCAATATCCAAAGCGGAATTTCCAATTCCTTGAACCACCACTTTTTTGTTCTCGAACCCCCGGAAGTTGCGGTATTGTTGAGCGTGCATAATCTTTCCACGGAAAATGTTGAGATCTGACAACGAAAAGGTGTCAATGATAATCTTTTTACATATATACTTTTAATATCGGCAGAGATGGGAGTAGCATGATGTCCTGTACATACTATAAGCCTATCGAACTCTTCAGTTGACCCCGAACTCAAGTGCAAGAGCCAACGTCCGCTGGTGTTTTTCTCAGCCTAATCACATCTTTCTTTGTTAAACACAGGGTACACGAACCTTAATTACACTCATATTGAACACGATATGTTTCAATAAATCAAACTTCTCAGCATACATTCGGATATATTTGTTAACATACGAATGATGCATGAAATTTGAAAAATCTTCTGGTGGAGGGAAATCCGAATAAGCCATCATTTCCTTTGAGGTATTGACGACAGTCGTTTCCATGACGGTTGATGAAACCTAAACATGATTATTTCTCTCGAATTATGCAATGCTCCAAACATCTGGATTGTCAGGACGATAGTTCCACAAACCACCTATTTCACTGGTCTTTTCATAGCAGACAACGTCAAGCCCTTCTTCTAAACAAGATTTGATGCTAGGCAAGCCAGAAGCTCCGGCTCCAATGATGGCAACCCTCATTCTCTGAACGTAAAAGTGCTTAAAAAACAAACAGTATGAATACTTTGAAAAGTTAAGAAATAGAAGGAATAGTGGTTGATGGATTTGACTGTAGTATGACGAGCGATAGAAATGACTAACGTTGACCTCATTTGGCGGATTTCTATTGATCAGTTTCTTTGAAACTCGGGCGACGGAGAGAGGACGTATCCCCATCAATTGAAAACTGTTAAGAGATATAAGCAAAAAGATAAGAGTGAAGACTGAATTTATTAGTAAAGTATTAATTTCTTAAGAATATACAAGTTGAATGAAGGCATAAAATGGTGTTTTCTCAAAACCTAAGGAATCAAGTGATAGCAAGTCTTTGGTCAAATAATCATCAACATGTGCCGAATGGATATGATCAGTTTTAGATTCCTGGAGACAATATTCAAGAGTCGACCTATTGTTCGCGTTGATCACAGCATCAAAGACTGTTGGGCAGTTTGAAGAAGAATCCATATTCTCACTATTTGTAATAATGAACCTGTCTTGATTGCAAACTTTGAGCTCGGGGTGAAGGGAAATACTCTAAAAAAATGTTCTTCTTTTTTTAAAAACAAAAGTCCAATTACCGTGATAGCTCGGGAAGCGGCTAGGATAGAAAGAACTGAAACCGTATAAACAAATGCAATGGTCCCTACAAGGGCGAATAAGTTTTTCATGAAGTCTTGGGATTTGAAATCAGGTGCTAAGATTGTAAGCTCGTTATAGGTTGGGCAATTATGTTTGCGCCAAATGTCCCTCGCAACCCATTTCTCTATGGAGGTAAGCCATTTCTCAAAATCATCTGGACGCACATTAACATCCCAACCCTGCAATAGAAAGGTTACTATGATATTTGCTTTAAATTTTGTGATTACCAAATTGTTTATTAAATTCCGTTCTAAGACATTCATGTCATCTAATGACATTTCCATCACTTCTGCCCAATCAGAGTTAGTTGCTCTATCAAATGAATCCGCATCGTGGAGGAACTTCGAAGCCAAAATCAGCGCTGGGACATAGAGATCAGTAGGTTCTGATGCTTCGAAGAATGCCTAATATAAAGCATGATTTTTTCTGATAAATTGTGTATATCAACCTTATTCTTAATTCTCAATCGATCCAAGTAAACCATAGCTACGACCATTGTTATAGAATCAGCCAGTCCTGCACGTGATATGTTTGATGAGCTCTCAAGATCCATATAGTCATAAGGAGAATGAGCATCAAAGTAATCGACGATCATTTCTGCAATACATGCATATTCACACGAATTAAAACTATTGTATGCCTGTTAATGGTCCGCTGATAGTTTGGGCTCCTCTACTACCAATACATAAAGTTCTCTTAATTCGTTTCCTCAGACGACGGAAGTCTGAGAACATGGGAGCCATTCTGTAAAAATTGGACTAGTTTATTAAAATATATTCAATAAACAAAAACGATAGAGAGAGAGAGAGCAGAAGGCATGAAGCGAGAGATGGGCTGTGCTGTGCTATTTGATTCATGGAATTATAATTAGTTTCATCTTCTTGAATTCCTCTATTTCGAATGCTTCATGACACGATACTCTTCAGCAATTAATTCAATGATTAAGGAATTAAATTAGCATGGCAAAAAGTTGGTTCTAAGAATATTACAATAGTTCTTCTCTGGCGCTCTGCCAACAGCTGCATATCGCTTGACCTCGATTCAGTGCTCCCTCTAGCTGACGCGCAGCGGTCGCGTCGCGTGTACGCGCTTATGAACGCAGCGTCTCATTTTGTCGCGGGATATTATGCGTTTTTTGCATGTTCAAAAGTTGTTTGTAGTTTTAACTTTTATTTTCAATTTTTTTTTTTATTTTTATTAATTTTTTTTTCGCTCAGAGCTTTTGCATTCCAGCTTGATCTATTTTTTTCATAATTTTTGACTGAAATTTGTAGATATTATCATGTCTGGCGAAGCCGTGACCACCACCACCGATCAGGGTGATAAACCTATTACTGAAAGTAAAGAAACCGCGGAGAAAATAGCGTCACCTGTTAAAGAACAAGCCAATGGTAATAATTTGTTCTCAAACTGATTTAACTGGAAAGTCTATCTTGAAGATCAAGTAGCTGATACAGCCGAGACCGTAGGCAACGCTGAAGCTAATGGTAACCCAGAAGAATCTAAAGCCGAAAAGGGTGCAGAGCCTTCTGTTCCAACTGACGCCGCAGCCAACCCGTCCGTCGAATCCAGTAAAACTGAAGCTGTTGAAGCAGCAGCAGGAAGTGTGGAGGAGACGATCGAGAAAAAGGTTTGGTAATATAATGAAACATGAAGATATTTTTTTGTTCAGGAAATCTCCATGGATACAACAGGACCAGCGGAAGCTTCTGAAGCTGAGCAACCTGCAGCTGCTGCAGCAGCGCCTCAAGACGTTGAGAAGAAAGATGACGAAGCAGAGAAATGGGAAGTCATAGACGATGAAGAAGTGAAGAAGGTTTGTCATTATCTTTGATTGTTGTGAATGTAGGTATGTTTAAGGCTAAAGAAGCTGAAGAGCAACACCGTGAAGTCGAAAAAGTGAAAGCAGCAAAAGAAAAAGCTGAAAAGGAAAAGGCCGAAAAAGAGAAGGCTGAGAAGGAAAAGGCTGAAAAAGAGAAGGCTGAAAAGGAAAAGGCTGAGAAGGAGAAGGCCGAGAAAGAGAAAGCTGAAAAGGAGAAAGTTGAAAAAGAAAAGGCCGAGAAAGAAGCTGCTGAAGCTAAAGCAAACGAGGCGAAATCCGCTGATGCTAAAGCTAAAGAGCCTGAAGAGAAGAAAGTTGAGTCGGAGACTGCTGAAGATAAGGTTTGTGTTTGCTATCTATCGATTCTGCTCGTAGGTACTCGATTTTTTAAAATTTATTCTTCCAGGGGGATGCAAAAAAAGTTACTTCACCTGAAAAGCCTGTCGCTGACGAGAAAGAAAAGAAAAAAGTGAGTTGTTAGTCTATTTACTGTTTAATAACGTCTAATTTTTTCTAGGAAGCTGAATCAAAGGACGAAAGTGGAGATGAAGCCATGGAAATTGTTGAAAACAAAGAAGAACCAGAAGTTGTTGCTCCTGTTGCTGTCAGCGGTGGACGCGGAAGAGGTGGTTAGAGCTTCTCGATAATCTTCAATTACCCATTATTTTTTATAGGTAGAGGACGTGGTAGAGCTGCTGTAAATACTCGTTCTCCCAAAACGCCTAGAGTTGCTGCTGAAGTAGATGTAAGCCCTGCTTTCTTGATTGATATTCAATTTCCAATATTTTCCAGCCCGAGTCAATCGCCTCATCACGCCCAAGAAGATCTACTTCTCAACGTGTTGATTATGCTAATCCTGATACCTCAACGGTTTTGGCTGAGGTGGATGATGAAATTCCCGGAAAATTGTTTAAGGTAGTTCTGAGTTTTTCTTAGAACTTTCCACTAATTTTGTTGTATAGGGAGCTCGTGGACGTGGTCGCGGTCGTGGAAGAGGAGCTACGAGAGCTGGAAGAAACTCCGATTCTGATAGTGACCACCCAGTCAGCGATGATGATGAGGTGTGTTTCTTTAGGTCAAACAAAAGTTAAGTGAATCTTTAGGAATTCGGAAAGAAGAAAAAAGCTGGAGCTGGTAGAGGTCGTGGTCGCGGCCGTGGAGCTGCTAGAGGAGGACGCGCGAGAGGAGGTCGTGGTCGGTCGTCAGCAGGAGCACGACGCAATAATGTATTCGATACCATTTTTGTTTTTTAATTCATTTTATCATGATATAGGAATCAGATGACGATGATGATGTTCCTCTGGATGACTCCAAGAGTGATGATCAAGATAATGAATCAGAAGAAGAAGCAATCCCAACGAAGAGACGCGGCGCTGAAGCTGCTCACCCACCTAAGAAGAGAGCTAAAGTTGCTGAATAAGTTATTTGCAGTTTTAATCCTCTTAAAATTAAATATTATATTACCTTCGCTAATATTTGCCAACGCCAGTGTCTCTATTGGTCTCTTCGCATTTGATTGCGTTCCTACGACAGCTAGGTTCATAAACTTTTGTACATAACTAATCTAGGAACATTGTCATCTACTGCCTGTATCATACCGTTTCCAGTGCTTGTAAACAGTAGCACTCGTTATATAATGAACTCATTGTTTTATTGAAACGATCATCATTTATTCTAATATCTCCTGTTTTTATGAAAGTATTGTTGTTAAATAATAAATTGTTGTGTTCACTTGAAACTCGTAACTCGATGTCGTGAAGTGTTTCGTGTCGCTAGCTTAGTATCTGTCTATTGATTTCCATTAACGCTAATGGTACTTGATAGGTCTGATTCGACGAGAGGTTTGAAACCAATATGGGCAAACGAGTTTCAATTTATGAGGTAGGTCGTAGTTTTTTTATTTTTTCTTAACAAGACGCTTGTTTCTTAGCAACGAAAATCCGAATTAATAATGAAAAGGGAGGCGGCGCCTCTCGTGGGGTGGGGAAAGCATCGATTGTCCTCTATCTAATTTATACTTAGCGCTTTTGCTCCAGACTTTCTCTTTACTCATGATTCCGATTGGCGAGGTATGTACATACACGGAAAGAAATGGTTCTTTTCGAAATTAAATTGTTATCATTATGTTGAGATAACGATTTTCCAAATGTTGTGACAAAAATGATATGGAAAATGAAGATTGAGAGGCGAAAAAAATAGTGACTGTTGTGTGCATGCCCATATAAGTGAATGAGAATATTTTTGGAATGTTCCAAATTATGCGAGGTTCATAAATGTTTGTGGGACTTTATATATTTAAACGGATGACGTTTCATGTATTGATTTTAGACTCAAGATGGTCGGGCGGATATGACCAATTTCGAGATGGACTTGTTCGACACAAGAATGAGTAACTACAAAGCTGACAAAGATGAAGAACAATGTTGCAGGTAAAAAGATTAAACTACGCATACCTTGTGCGTTTTGAATAAATTATGAGAAAGGGATTATGAATTCAAACATGTAAGGGGCAAATAAGAGTTAGCTGTGGTGGTCCGACTTCACTTAGTTCCTGTATCTTCCACAAAGCTGTTGAAGCTCCAATTCTCATTTCAATTAGAAAGATATTTGAAACCCCAGCGGAAGAGCTATATATCCAATTTCGGAATCACGTCTTACAAAGGATTGATGACTCTTCTTAACCCGTCGTTTGTTCCATTTCCATTCCAGCCTTGATCAAACCATAGTTTTTTTCTTTTGAGTTAACAGAGTAAAGCTCTGTATTTTATTCTTTAAACAATAAGGCAATGGTTTTATCGAGAAAAACTGAATTTGACGCCATAAGAGAGCATTATCTTTACACATCCAGATTTTATGCTAGTAAAAACGATGAGTGCAAGTACTCGTGTAGGTTAGAAATCTAAACTCTCGTATGTTCATGATTGATATATGGAATGTTTTCAGCTCATCTCGAAACAGAATTATCAAACCAGCCTGTCTGCCTATAACCATAGTGTCTCTGTTCATCATTACCTTAGTGTTTCTGCCGTTATTCAACGAAGAAGATTTAGAGGCTCCTACTAAACTATCCGCTTACTGTGATGCGAGTTGTAATTTTCAAATCGTTGAAAGTATTCCGACTGGTCTTACATTCACCTCCGGAGACGTTCATAACAGAACACATCTAGCGTGGATTGTGAGCGCCATCTTCTATGTCATTAATGACATTTGGTTTATTTCAGGATTTGATTGACAACGCTCAAAACTATATCGACATCGCTGCTTTATATTGGAATTTGAACGAATCTGATTACAAGACATCCATCTATGGCAAATCTGTTTTTCAATCCTTGATTAATGCTGGAAAAAGAGGTGTTAGAGTATGTACTTTCGCTTCAAAGCAGAGAGCAGTTTTTCATCTTCTCAGATACGCATAGCGCAGGATGTTTCCAAAGGGTTATCTAGTAACAGCGATTCAAAGTATCTTCTTGATCATAAACTTGCTGAAGTATGTTTGTTCCACGAAAACTATCTCATGTCAGTTACTTAAGGTTCGAACACTCAACTTCAGTCGTCTGGTTGGTTCAGGTGTTCTTCACACAAAGTTTATTATCGTTGATCTCAAGAACATTTACTTGGGATCCGCCAACATGGATTGGAAGTCACTGTCTGAGGTAAACATTTGTACTCTGCCATTCTCATGACATCATATCAGGTCAAAGAACTTGGCTTCACAGCAAAGGATTGTCCTTGTTTGGCCACTGATCTTTTCAAGATCTTTGCTGTTTATTGGAGATTAGGAGAAGTAAGTATTCGTTGCCATTTTGAGCTGTTCACGTTCGCTATAGGATGCTAAAATTCCCGATAAATGGCCAATATCCTACAGAACTACATTCAATATAGACACTCCTATGCCTGTGATGATAAACAATCAGTCTTCTCAAGTTTTTCTTTCTGTTGGATTTGTTAACTATATCTCAGCATGTAATATTTTCTTCAGAGCTCTCCTGGTCCATTTAACCCTAAGGGACGAGCTCACGATTTGGATGCAATTAAATACGTGATGGAAAAAGCTAATCGTTTCGTTTATGTCGCTGTGATGGATTTCCTACCCCAGACCCTGTACATGCAAAACAACAGGTAAATATATGAATGAGAATAAGCGGAAGTGAAATTTTTCGCTTCAGCTATTGGCCAGCGTTGGATGATGCGTTAAGATCAGCAGCTTTCAATGGAAAACATGTGCATCTGCTAATTAGTAATTGGGCTCACTCGAGGCCTTCCGAAATTGTTTTCCTCAAAAGTTTGATAGGCATCAATGGAGCGTTAAAAAAAGGATCAATCAAAGTGGTGAGCTATTCTTAATAATCCGAGAGGACGTTATGTATTCAGAAGCTTTTTACCGTGCCCGCCACTAAGGAACAAAGCGAAATACCCTTTGCAAGAGTGAATCACAACAAGTATATGGTATCGGATGTGCATGGATATATAGGTTAGCGATGGATAAAGAATGGTTTGTACGTTCTCTATATTCAAGGCACATCTAACTGGGCTGGAGACTATTTCATAACAACAGCTGGTGTTGGATTCATAGTCGAGACAGAAGGAGAAAATAATATCAGACAACAACTTCAAAGCATCTTCGAAAGAGACTGGAACTCCGAGTATGCGCAAGAACTTGTATAAAAACATGAAAAGGGATCTAGAAGGGCTATGAGCTCGCCATAATAATGTTGTATTCAAATCAAAAGTTTGCGGGTTATGTAACATTCAACTTAATACTTATCATATCTTAAATCGTTTTATGAACAAAACATGCGACAGATAAAGATTTCAGAAATCAATATAGACTAAGCTTTACTGAGATTTCAATGAAAATAAGAAAACGAAAGAGACACATATAGAACTTGAAATATCATATTTTGCATCAAAATCAGATGAATTTTATAAAAACAAAAGCACCACGAATGATGAAAACTTACTATAGTGAGTTGAGGGAGTTATGAACAGCATACTCAGTTGTGAAACAAGTTTTTGTAATTTTCGTTAAGAAAAGTTCTCCAACAACACGTCAAGCTTAACTGCTGACTCAACACTTATTTTTTCCTTGCTTTCTAGATAAAAAGTGACAAATGCGACTTCAATCAACTTCAATCAAACTGCAGCTTCTATTGATGGCTACGATCGGAAATTGGCTTTTTGAGATTTGAGAACTAGCCGAAGACGAGATAACTCGTTGCTCAAAAACCAGGAAGGAATTTTTCGGTTTTCAGAAGGGGAAGATTTTTAGTGGAACAGACATGGTATATTCACTGAAGAGGGTTCCTCAAGGTGAAAGTTGCAGTCGTTCAGCACTTGCACTTTCCATCCTTTGCCCATGTATCTATTCGAGGTTATATGATAGAACGGGAGAAGCGGATATGTTTCTCGGAATACTTCTACAAGCGTTTTCAAAAAACTCTCCAGGTTTTGATATGAAGAGAACGCTGAACCTATAAAAGCCTGGATGAATCAAATTCTACCATCCTCTTTCTCATTCTAAGACATGAAAAATTTCATATCCTGAAATGCGCGCTACTTCACTCTTGTGAATTTCGAATACGAGACAAGAGAGAAGGATGTTGAATACAAAAAAGAAAGAAGTCGACTAACTTCATGACCAATCGATGGAACAATATAATATTCTCCTATTCAATCATCCGTTGCTCGTAATCAAAAAGCACATAGAAGTAGAAGTATATTGCTTGCCAACTATACAGTGTAATATAACGTTGGAAATTTGCGTACAATATTTTTCAGTTTACGCTGGATGGTTATGAAAGCTTGAGCACGGATCATCTTAGTTGGCATCTCACATCTCAGTATTGAAGATGGCGTTGCTAACTCTACTTATTAATGGTGTACTGAGTGGATTGGGTGCTTTCATATGTTTCCGTATTGTTAAAGAATACATGCCCATATTCATTCAGAGGAAAATGGTGGGCAATGATCAGTGCAAGGTTGGCGAAGATTCTTATTTTTAACATAAGTTTTGCTTCTTCAGGTCAGCAATGATCCGATCCCCGAACCTATGGGTGTTATCTGTGCCGCGGTTTATTTGATCATTCTCTTCATTTTCATACCTATCCCTTTCTTGGAATGGATTGGCTTTGAGTACGTTGCTGATCTTGTCGTTCTTCGAACTAATTTTTCTTAGATCATCGTTTCCACATGCCAAGTTTCTTGCCTTTTTATCAGCTTTAATTTCTATTTGTACTGCAATTTTGTTAGGATTCGCAGATGACGTTTTAGATCTTAGATGGCGACATAAGCTTCTCTTCCCATCTCTATCTTCACTACCGGTTTTAATGGTGTATTATGTGCAAGGTATAATCCTTCGCCAGAATAGTCAATTGATGCCTAGTTTATAGGTAACTCAACCACTGTAGTGATTCCTTCAATATTACGGAATGTCCTCGAGCAAGTTGTTCCTCCTGCATTTTATGGCGATAGCTTCCCAAACGCTATTAACATTTCTTTCCTTTACTACATCTTCATGGGAATGGTTATTGTGTTTTGCACTAATGCCATCAACATTCTAGCAGGCTCGTTGGGTTGAACTGAACAAGATAATTTTTTCGTCTTGTAGGAATTAACGGTTTGGAGAGTGGTCAATCTCTAGTCATAGCTGTTGGTGTTGCTTCATTCAACATCATACAGGTAAGCTAGGAAGATGGCAATTTTCAATGCTTCTCTTCTATACAGATCATACGGTTTGACATTGATACTTGGCATCAGTACTTGTCGCTTTACTTCTTATTACCTTTCATAGCTTGTAATTCAGTTTTATTCTATTTCAATAAGGTACACCAAATTATCATTTTCGCTCACTATATTCAGTTTCTAGTACCCAGCTAAAGTCTTCGTGGGCGATACTTTCTGCTATTGGGCTGGAATGACTTTAGCCGTTGTCTCTATTTTGGGTCATTTCAGTAAAACCTTCATGCTGTTCCTTATACCACAAGTTCGAACTCTGCGCATAACGAATTCTGAAGACTTTTCTTTAGATTGTCAACTTTATTTACTCTACGCCTCAGCTGTTTCATTTGGTCCCATGTCCTAGACATCGACTTCCGAAATTTTCTCCCAAAGATAACAACGTTAGAAACTTCCCCAGAAAATGTTCATCTTCGTTTTACAGCTGAATATGAGCCTTGCGGAATTCAAGACAACAGACTTGAAGTTTTTAGGAAAAGTAGCTTTGAAATTATTCAAAACAGTGGGATTCCTACATAGGGAAGAATTCGAGAAGGACGGAGAAAAGTTTGTTAAACTGAAGACCGTTATCAATTTGTTTTCCAGATGGACGAGAATCAACAACTTAACTATTATCAATTTGATTTTATATTGGACGGGACCACAACATGAGAGAACTCTCACTAACATGCTTTTGGGTATTCAAGTATTAACAATTGGGTTTGCTTTCTTCGTTAGGTTCTACTTAGCAAGCATTTTTTACGAAGTAGTCAATTGAGAATAGGTTATTAATTAATAAAAGTGCAATTTCTATGAGTTGTTGTTATGAACGCGACAATCGTAAGTAGGGGTCGGTCTGAAGTTTTCGTACATTGCACGTTTGTGAATAATGATATACGAGTTCCATGTTCGTTTCTTGACTAAAAATAGATACAGTGACGAAAACTAGCAGGAGGAGCACAGGGACGGAAGAACGATTCGTTTTGGATATGAGCTTGTCACTATAGGAACTGTTGACTAATGTAAATCACTGACCGTACATTAGTGAAGTAAGACCGATAAGTACTGATATCGGCTTCTGGATATTTCCTTGAAACACGCTCAAATGAGAATAGGATGGACAATTCATAAAAAAAGTTAATCAAAATAAGTCGAATAGTTAGTCTAATAATTCCAAAATTAATTACCTTATTCAAAAAGGACTAAATTCGAAAAACGTGTTCAGTCGATTTTCGTTTTTTTTCGAAAAACGTTTGATGGTACAAGTATAATGTCATTATGAGTTAGAACAAATTACCTGGGGATGAGCTTTCTAAGATTCGTTCCTCGACCTCATCCAGACGATAATACGGGGGCGTGGTTTCGTGCCCGCTGTTTACCATTATTACCGGCTCGAAGCTGTTCTAGTCTATGTTAAGGATATTCGGCTCTGAATGAATATCATTTAGGTCTCTGTTAAATCTCTATCGTTTATCTATGTTATTTGGTTAATTCTCCCTCTTTATGATGTTCTCTGCAGTTTCTCTTCTTCTTCTCTCTCATTCAAGCTAGTGTATTTCTTAGCGATATCAGTTTTTACACCGAGTTGCACGGAGTCATTGCGGGTTAGCACGAATTACCCGAGGACGAGGTCCCAAACATTCGTCAGTGTACAATAACAGGTAAATGTTTGATATCATCAATCACTCTCAATGCTTTCATAGGTAAAAATGGATCAAGAAGAGACTTTTGTTGATCCATACGGGGACGAAGCTGAAAAAGAATATGTGAGTCAACTTTCGTTTCAGAACATAGAAACTGCTTATTGTTTAGTTAGTATGGAAAAAACCTGAGCAGGTTAATAACGAAACGTTGGATGATTATTTGACGTATTGCCGAACGCGTCTGATGTCTGTTGATCGGGTAAGTACAATCTGGAAGCTGTAATTATGTAATTCTCAATATTTAGGCACTGTATATTTTAATGAAATGTGATTATGATGTGACTAAGGCTTTCAAAGAAGTTAATAGTAGAGTCGTTCTTCACGAGCGTTGGACACGAGATGACGCTCTACTGTTTCGACAAGCCTATTTTCTACACGGAAAGAACTTCAAGAAAATACAATTAATGGTTAGCTCTTGTTCATTCATGTCTGGACTAATACCTTCTGTTCAGTTACCTCATCATAGTATATGTAGCCTAGTCGATCACTATTATCGTTCCAAAAAAGTAATGAAGCAAAGTAGCTATTTGGATAAGCTGAGCATAGCATTAAATGAAGAAGAAGATAAGTTTAGACTATCAATGCTCATCTTACTTGTTAGTTTTAAGATATATAACTATCGCCGGGTTTAATAGAGGAATATTTGATGCTGTTAATGTTGAAATGTAAGCAATCATTTCCGGATCTTCTGAATAGTTTTCTTTCAGGATGAAGAAATTTATCAAAACGTTCCAAGAAGGTTTATGCAACAATTGTGGTCATATTGTCAGTACTTCAACTACTTATTGCGAATCGCGCTTGTGTTATTCGTGTTACTGTTACAAAGAGTATGTTCTGCTCTCTATTCGATTTATCAAAATGTTTTTTTTCAAGAAAGTTTGACAGAATGCGTCCAACAGATTACGTGAGAACGATTTCTGATGAAATACGTGTCTTCGATTACATATTACCTATTGGTTTCTCGATCAGGAAGATGAACGGCGATGTCAACCTTATTATTACAGAATTCAGTGATTTACTTGACAAGTTTGACGACTTATGTTGTAGTGATGAGACTTCTAAAACAAGCGAGGTAACTAGTGTTCATTGGTTCTCGGAATATTCTGATCTGTTTAGATTGGTGATACTGATGTAGAAGTTGTTTTCATGAACATGTCGAAAACTCGTGTGATGACCCAGTAAGCGAATATCACCTTTAATCACTGGAATCTCTCTTCTTACAGCGAAGTCACTGCTCAAACAAGTGAGGGAATGTTGAAATGTCAAAGAAGGGAGGATAAACTTAAATGTTTCTCAACGGCATATCAGAACTCACAATCCAGCATTCTTGCCAATGCTACCAAGTCAGCCGAAGTCTATAGGAGTGTGATCAAAGAGAAGATGTACAAGAAAGAAAAATTCAAAATTACTTCTTCTTGGGGAGAGAGAGATCGATTTTATTCTTTCTATTGTAAGGATTCATCTATTTATCTATTATATTAATGAAGTCTCTCAGGTCTTTGTCGCTATGATCTGGATTTCGAAGTATCGGCGGAAGTTGTAGGAACGAAGACCCCAGATATGCTCAAAGCTTTTTATCGAGAAAATCAAGAACGTATTGATAAGGTATGTCATATGCATAGAATCGAACATTTTTTTTCGCAGTATATCCAGCAGAAAAATGATATCAAAGTGAAAAGAAACGAAGCTCAACCTGAGAGCATTGGAGATTTTCTGGGGGGAGTGGTAACCCTTGAAGAAGAAGACTAATATGGTTCTAGTTGTGCTCAACTTTTCGGATTTCCGCTGATCATATCGAGCAAGTTGTTTCTCAATACTGCATCTTTCAATTCCTTCATTATGTCAATGGCTTGCTGTTTTTGTGTTTCTTCATCCTCTTGTTAGTGTTCGTGAAGCATGCAAATTTTTGAATATAGTCTTTAAAAGAACTTGAAATGTCATAAGAAAGTGTCTTAAATAATAGAATCCTCCTTATTAATTTTATTAACTCGCTGCATTTTATGTGGTTCTCGCTATTCTTCGTTTGATCTCTGTATAAATGAATGTTTCTTCGACTCCTGTAGAGCCTATACGTATGACTGACTGACTCGTTAGATAAGAAATTATTGCCAATGGACAACCCCCCAGTGATCTATGTGTTTCCGGTATTTTCATGTTCAATTTTATGAATATCAATTTTTATAACTTGTTTTGATTCTCAAAGAAAGGGTGTGGTTATGTGACGGAGTCTGATGAGGAATCACCGAGTACTACGCTACTCCGCTTACCTCGGGGGTTGCAAGCAGTAATGATGTTGTAATGCAACATTGAAAATGGGAATGCAATTATCTCAGTTTTCACTGTTATTGTGATCTGAATTTTGATCTGCATATTACGAAATATTATTTCTTGAGGAATCAGGAGATTACATCACATCACCGTGTGGAATGGAAGTTATTTGCAGCATTAAGAAGGAGTAGCCGAGAGTATTCAATAGTCCACGGTAGAACATAAAATTCTTATCACTGCCATGTGACCAGGAGACCATAAATAAAAATTTGGAATGAGGCATTCCGTCATCAAATGATCAACAACAAAAAGAGGTTTCCGTGATAACTCTTCTGAATGAAGGATAATTAACATACTTCTGGGGACAGTCAGACATTAGGCATCTGGGAGGAACAGCAGGTCATCGAAAGTTGCAGTAATTTACAAGAAATTACAGGAACTATGATTCTGATTAATTGTAATTGCATAATACAATCGTCGTGCGATATAAATGAGATAAGAATTGTTCCATCATAAAATATTTTGCCTATATAAAGAGGAAGATAGCTCCGCAATCAACTTCCACTCCCCGAGTTAGAAGTTATGACGATCTACCTCTCCAATCACTACTCAATTTCGAAACTCAGTAAGTTTTCGTATCGCTTCGGTCTTCAATCAGTTATCATTCCAGAGAAACTATTCGCAAAACATTCTGCCGATGGAAAGACACTGAACAAACGGGCAGCCAAGTCCGCAGTTGGAGAACTTCCGCACAGCTCTGTCAACTTCAATGAAGAATATCAGAAAAGATCTGTTGACGGAAGCATAGATTTCCCAGGTATTAACTCTCCGGTGTAGCTTCAATTAACTTTTAATTTCAAGCATTTCTACACTTCGTTACTCCTCATGAGCATGCTCACAAACATCACAAAAAACACACCCACAAGCACTCGGTCAAAAACCAAAAGAAAGAAGCACCCTCAAGTTCGTCTTCATCTTCATCCAGCTCTTCATCTGAATCTGAGCCAGAGAAGCATCACAAGAAACATCACGGCCACGAACATTCCGTGAAGCACCATAAGAAGGATTCCTCTTCCAGCTCTTCTTCTTCTTCTTCTTCATCCAGCTCTTCTTCTGAATCTGAGCCAGAGAAGCATCACAAGAAACATCACGGTCACAAGCACTCCGTTAAGCACCATAAGAAGGATTCCTCTTCCAGCTCTTCTTCTTCTTCTTCATCCAGCTCTTCATCTGAATCTGAGCCAGAGAAGCATCACAAGAAACATCATGGACACAAGCACTCTGTGAAGCATCATAAAAAGGATTCCTCTTCCAGCTCTTCATCTTCTTCTTCCTCCAGCTCTTCTTCTGAATCTGAGCCAGAGAAGCACCACAAGAAACATCATGGACACAAGCACTCTGTGAAGCATCATAAAGAGGATTCCTCTTCCAGCTCTTCTTCTTCTTCCTCCAGCTCTTCTTCTGAATCTGAGCCAGAGAAGCATCATAAGAAACATCATGGACACAAGCACTCTGTGAAGCATCATAAGAAGGATTCCTCTTCCAGCTCTTCTTCTTCTTCTTCTTCTTCCTCCAGCTCTTCTTCTGAATCTGAGCCAGAGAAGCATCACAAGAAACATCACGGACACAAGCACTCCGTTAAGCACCATAAGAAGGATTCCTCTTCCAGCTCTTCTTCTGAATCTGAGCCAGAGAAGCACCACAAGAAACATCATGGACACAAGCACTCTGTGAAGCATCATAAAAAGGATTCGTCTTCCAGCTCTTCTTCTTCTTCATCCAGCTCTTCATCTGAATCTGAGC